AGAAAAAAAGGAGAAAATATAATATATTTCTCCCTACAGAATATGAATACTGTCAAATTATAACAGTTGTTTAATTTCTTTATCTGAACTGAACATCACAAGCATAATAAGGACCTTCCCCTTTAGAGTCAATGACATTTACTCTTAAGTAAAGCACACACTGAATTAAAATCTTAAGGATTACATCTGTCTGAGAAGCCAAGAAATTAAAAATCTCATTAATTAGATACACTTAAAATCATAACTGACTTGCTCTGACTGATGAAGCTGCTTGGATGGGCAGCGAAACACCTTAAACTAACATCAGACTAACACAAAATTCTGCAGTTGCCACAATTCAGCTTTCAGACACCTTGGCCTGGATGACTGAAAAGTCTTCATCAATACTTAGAATCAACATTTGGCCGTTGTGATTTTAACTCAGTGGGATGGAGGGATGGAAAACAGAGGAATGTTAAAATGTTCTTTGGGAAGGATAGTCCACAATGTATGATTGCTGCCCAACAAATTTTGAAAGGAAACCACTGCCAACCAGTGAAACACAATAGGTAACCAGAAGTATCTATAGAGAATTAATAATAATAATTTAGAGTCACTTGATCGAATGGGGGCGGCTATAGAAGTTGAATGAATGAATCAAAATAATAAGGAGTAACAATGGCATCCATTTTGGGCTTTAGCAAAGATGGCTGAAGCGAATTCATAACCATTTTGTTTCCTGTAAGAACTCTCCAACTGAAAAGCAGAAAAGGCAATAAACTTCCCAATCAGAAGTTAAGACTACTTGACTTCACCAGAAGGTGAGACAAGGAACAATGGATGGAAACTAATCAAGGAGAGAAGCAATCTAGAATTAAGGAGAAATTTCCTATCCGTGAGAACAATTAAGAGTGCATCAGCTTTTCTCCGGAAGTTGTGGGTGCTCCATCACTGGAGGTTTTTAAGAAAAGACTGGACAACCATTTGTCTGGAATGATATAGTTTCTCCTGCTTGTACAGGGGTTGGACTAGAAGACCTCCAAGGTCCCTTCCAGCTCCTTTATTCTGTTGTTCTGAATAAGAGTTGCTAAAGGATTAAGTTTCTCCTTGCTTCAAGGAGAGAGTTTCTTGATTATTTCATTCTGAGCATGAATGAGATATGGAGAGTACAGAAAGAGTATAAAAGGCAAGACAGGAAATAATGGATGGAAGCCAATCAAGGAGAGATGCAACCTAGAACTAAGGAGAAACTTCCTGACAGTGAGAACAATTAACCAGGGGAACAGCGTGCATTCAGAATTTGTGGGTGCCCCATCACTGCAGGCTTTTAAGAAGAGACCGGACAGCCACTTGTCTGGAATGGTATAGGGTCTCCTGCTTGAGCAGGGGGCTGGACTAGAAGACCTCCAAGGTCCCTTCCAACTGTTATTCTGTGTCTTAAGTCAAGGAGACTTCAGAAGGACCGAGAGAGATATCCCAGGAAACAAAATTCACCAGTAGGAGAAATTCCCCATTGCTAGAGTTAACCAGTGGAACAGCTTGCCTCCAGATATCGTGGGCGCTCCATCACTGGAGATTTTTAAAAAGAGACTGGACAGCCACTTGTCTGGAATGGTATAGGGTCTCCTGCTTGAGCAGGGGGCTGGACTAGAGGACCTCCAAGGTCTATTCTATTCTATTCTATTCTATTCTATTCTATTCTATTCTATTCTATTCTATTCTATTCTATTCCATTCCATTCTATTCTATTTCTATTCCATTCCATTTATTCCTATTCTATTCTATTCTATTCTATTCTATTCTATTCTATTCCATTCCATTCCATTCCATTCCATTCCATTCCATTATTCTATTCTATTCTATTCTATTCTATTCTATCTCTACTCTACTCTACTCTACTCTACTCTACTCTACTCTATTCTATTCTATTCTATTCTATTCTATTCTATTCTATTCTATTCTATTCTATTCTATTCTATTCTATTCTATTCTATTCCAGGAAAGCAAAACTCCAGTATATCCCCAAGAGAAATTTTCAAGCATCCTAAGTAGCAGCAAACCAAACGACAAAAACTCTTCGGATGGGAGATGAAATGTTGAAAAAAAAAAACCACCAAACTGATTTGGGTAAATATCAATGAAAGAGGGAGAAATCTCTCGTTCAGGGGCTGAGGCTTGTTCTTCTGACTCTGCTGGAGTAGCTTATCTTAATGGCAAAGAAGCCACAATAAGCAAAAGCTTGGAATCTGAAACGTGTTTCTGATTGGATAATATCCGTGTAAAATCACATCTCCCTTGGAGCGCGGCTCCTTAATTCTTCCTACGCTGGGGAACCGATAGGGCAAAACGCCAGCCTGATATTCCCACCAGCTTCACGCTCACGTGACCAGGGGGACGTTGCAAGGATTGCAAGTGGGGAAAAACAGACATAAGTGACTTTTTTCCAGTGCCGTTGTAACTTTGAACGGTCACTGAGTGAACTGTTGTAAGTCGAGGGCTGTCTGTTTTCTGGCGTTCTATTGGGACTTGATTCACACTCTTGTGTTCTGACAAGATGCTGAATTACTACACCTCCAGGAGAAGTGAATGCCAGCAAGAAGCTCACCAACTCTGAATGAACTCTGAAGGAAGCCAGTTCTGAATATTAGAACAGAATAGAATAGAATAGAATAGAATAGAATAGAATTCAGAATGAATAGAACAGAATAGAATAGAATATAGAATTAGAATAGAATATAGAATAGAATAGAATAGAATAGAATATAGAATAGAATACAGAATAGAATAAAATAGAATTAGAATAGAATAGAATGGAATGCAATGGAATGAAATAGAATAGAATAGAATAGAATAGAATAGAATAGAATAGAATAGAATAGAATAGAATAGAACTGGAAGGGACCTTGGAGGTCTTCTAGTCCAGCCCCCCGCTCAAGCAGGAGAACCTATATCAGGGGTGTCAAACTGCCGGTGTCACGTGGCGTCGCGAGTTTGACATGCCTGACCTATACCATTTCAGACAAATGACTGTCCAGTCTCTTCTTAAAAACCTCCAGGGATGGAGCACCCAAAATTTCTGGTGGCAAGCTGTTCCACTGGTTAATGGTCCTCCCTGTCAGGAAGTTTCTCCTTAATTCCAGGTTGCTTCTCTCCTTGATTAATTTCCAACCATTGTTTCTCGCCCTGCCCTCTGGGTGCTTTGGAGAATAACGTGACCCCCCCCCTCCTCTTTGTGGCAGCCCCTCAGATACTGGGACACTGCTATCCTGTCTCCCCTATTTCTTCTTTTCTTTAGACTAGAACCCAAGTCTCGCAGCCGTTCTTCATGTGTTTGAGTCTCCGGGCCATTCCAGGGTTCGGAAACCCCATGACAGAAGCCCTCTCCTGTTCTGCAGGGTGAGAATGGAATTTTAGAGAAACATCTAAGCCACTTCCCCCCCTCCCCACAACCCTCTTCCATCTTCCTAGCGCCAACCATGTGCGGATCGGAGGTGCCTGTTTCTCTTCCCCCCTCGCCTCCCAAACGGAAAGAGAGAGAGGGGGGGGAAAGGGGGGTAAAAGGGTTGAAGATTAAAATGTAAACAGCAAAATTTATTATAATTACAAGAGTGTTTCAAATTATTTCCTTAAACGGGCACATAATTTACTCCCAGCCAAGGTCTCTATTGGTGGTGAAAGAGGAAACCGCTCAACCCTCTGGTGACCTCTGACCCCGGGGGTCTGCAGAGATGTCATGGTTCATAAGCAAGGACGAAAATGCTCAGGTTTCCCAGGCTTTTAGGCGCCTGTTCTGGGATGCTTCCAGCATGTAGGTTCCCTTTGAACTAACCACTCATACCTGAAAGGGAACTTCAAAATAAACCTCTGATCCCTGAAGAGGGATGAGAAATCAAAAAGAGGAATGTGGAACTGTATGCAAGGAATGAGTTGGTGCAGGATGGGGGGGCCTGTTGGAAAATAGAACATAGAACAAGAGAGTTGAAATGGACCTGGGAGGTCTTCAAGTCCAACCCCCTGCTTAAGGTGGGGGTCTCCTATCATCCCGGTCAAATGATTGTCTATTTTTTTTTTTTGAAAGCCTCCAGTGATGGAGCACCCATAACTTCTGGAGGCAAGGCGTTCCACCGGTTAATTGTTCTCCCTGTCAGGAAATTCTCTCCTTGGCTAGCTTCCATCCATTGCTTCTTGTCCTGCCTTCAGGCGCTTTGGAGAATAGCTTGAACAAGATGGTAAAATGAGGATCCAGATTGTACGGGGGAAAGAGACTGACCCTGTAAACTGCTTAGAGAGGGCTGTAGAGCCCTGTGAAGTGGTATATAAGTCTAACTGCTAGTGCTCTTCCTTCCTTCCTTCCTTCCTTCCTTCCTTCCTTCCTTCCTTCCTTCCTTCCTTCCTTCCTTCCATAGTGCACAGTGGTCAGAATGCAGTATTGCAGGCTAGCTCTGCCGACTGCCAGCAGTTCAATCCTGACGGGCTCAAGTTTGACTCAGCCTTCCATCCTTCCGAGGTTAATAAAATGAGGATCCAGATTGTTGGGGGGCAAGAGGCTGACCCTGTAAACGACTTACAGGGGGGTGTAAAGCACTGTGAAGCGGTATATAAGTCTAAGTCAGTGGTTCTCAACCTGTGGGTCGGGACCCCATTTGGGGTCGAACGACCATTTCATGGGGGTCGCCAAACAAGGCTGTCCGCCATTTTTCCCCCCTTTTCTTTGGCCACGCCCCTGGCATCCAGTAATGTATAAGTGGTTGGGGGTCACCACAACATGGGGAACTGTATTATGGGGTCGCGGCATTAGAAAGGTTGAGAACCACTGGTCTAAGTGCTATCGCTATTGCTATTTTAGCATCCAGTCCCCAATCATCTTTGTTGTTCTTCTCTGAACTTTTTTCCAAACTCTCAACATCCTTTTTATATTGTGGCGACCAAAAGTAGATGCAGGATTCCGAGTGTGGTCTTAGCAAGGCATTTCAGAGTTCCCATCTGAGGTTTTCTCTTTCTGTTCCTCTATAATTCTTCAGGGAGTTGAAGCAGCTTGAGATGGACCTGCTGTCCCAAGGGGGATGAACATCTGAAGATCTGGCTTAGTGGGAGCCAGTTGGCTGCTTGGAGTTGTCCATGGTCCTGCAAGTGGAGACCCAAAAACTCCTTTGAAGTAAGTTTTGATTCATGTCTGTAGGTCTTATTCTGAAGAAGAATGGATTGCTACTTCAACCATATTCAGATTATCCACTATTTATGATCAAGCTTTGACGACTCTTCCCCAGCCTGACACCATCCAGTGATGTTGGGATAGCAGGACTTGGAATTCCAGTTAAAAAATAGAACATAGAAGTTGGAAGGAACCTCAGAGGTGTTCTAGTCCATTCCCCTGCTTCAGCAGGAGATTCTATACCATTTCAGGCAGATCGTTGTCCAATCTTCCTCTTAAAAACTTCCAGTGCAAAATGCGCGAAAGAAATATAAGTACAATTATACATTGTTAATTGCAAAGTCGTGTCCGACCCATCGCGACCCCATGGACAATGTTCCTCCAGGTCTTCCTGTCCTCTACCATCTTCTGGAGTCCATTTAAGAACATGATACATACTACAGTACAATTAGTACAAAGAACTAGGTATGTCTAGTCTACTCTAATGAAGAGAAGGATTAGGGGTGACATGATAGCTATTTTCTAGTTTTTGGGGGGGCTGGCACAGAGAAAGGAGGCTGACCTATTCTCCAAAGCACTTGAGGGCAAGACAAGAAGTAAAGGGGGGGGGGGAAAACACCATTAAAGAGAGAAGCAACCTGGAACTAAGGAGAAACTTCCTGACAGTGAGAACAACTAACCAATAGAACAATTTGCTTCCAGACTTTGTGAATGCTCCATCACTGGAGCTTTTTAAGAAGAGATTGGACAGCCAGTTTTCTAGTCTAATGAAGGGGAACATGATAGCAATGTTCCAATATCTCAGGGGCTGCCCCAAAGAAGAGGGAGTCAAGCTGTTCTCCAAAGCCCCTGAAGGCAGGACAAGAAGCAATGGATGGAAACTAATCAAGGAGAGAAGCAACCTAGAACTAAGGAGAAACTTCCTGGCAGTGAGGACAATTCATCAGTGGAACAACCTGCCTCCAGAAGCTGTGAATGCTCCAACACTGGATGTTTCTAAGAAGAGATTGGACAGCCATTTGTCTGAAATGGTCTAGGGTCTCCTGCATGAGCAGGAGGTTGGACTAGAAGACCTTCAACGTCCCTTCCAACTCTGTTATTCTGTTTTGCCACATCCGTGAACTCAATCTCAGGCAACTTTTTAAAAGGTGAAATCCAGTGCACGAAAAGAAAGACTAGGGTGACATGATAGCAGTATTGCAACATTTCAGGGGTTGCCACAAAGAAGGTGTGGGGGGGGGGTCAACCTATTTTCCAAAGCCCCAGAAAGTAAGACAAGAGACAATAGATGGAAACTAATCAAGGAGAGAAGCAACCTGGAATTAAGGAGAAACTTCCTAACAGTGAGGACAATTAACAATGGAACAGCTTTTCTCCAGAAGTTGTGGGTGCTCCATCACTGGACTTTTTAAGAAGAGAATGGACAGACATTGGTCCAGAATTTTATGGGATCTCCTGTTTGAGCGAGGGGTTGGACTAGAAGACCTCAAAAGTCCCTTCCAATTCTTATTGTTCTTTGTTCTATGTTCTAATTACAAAATAATATTTTACGGTCTGATGATGAAAGCAAGCTCACTTGTTTTTATTATCCAGGTTTTTCTAATCATCGAAATCACAAATCATAGAGTAAATGCATTTTTCCCCATTTTATGGAAACATTTCAGCGGATGGTATCCTAGTTTCTTAATACATATACAACTTTATCTCAGTTGGAAATACTGAGAAAGAATTTAATATCCTCTCTTTCTCATTTACAGTCTCTGAAAATTAAGCTCATTTCAATTTTTGTTTTATTGAGAACGTTAAGGGGAAGAGATGGAGATATTAGAGACTAAGCAGTTTGTGGCTTTCTTTTTAATTATGTTTTCATTAGGCTGCTTTTAGTTATTTATTTATTTTAATCTGTTTTTTTCCCCATGTATGTTACAAAAGCCTCTTTTTTCATCTATTTGGGCTGGGTGGCAGGATATAAATTTATATTTTAATATTAATTTATTTATATTAATTTATATCCTATTTAATTATTTAATTAATTTATATTAATTTATATCCTATTTATAAATGGCATAAGGTTTGCACTGCATATTTTGGAAAGGAAAGTGACCGATAATTTGAGATCGGCCATCCTTCTATATCGACTCTTTTACAAATCTGACTTGGGAAAATGTGATCAGCAGCAAAGGAAATAATTTTGTGCCAATTGGATTATTCTGAATTTTATTTTATTTTATTTATTTATTTAAAAAACAGTGGTTGCAAGGAACAAGGAATGCCTTGAACTTTTAACAGGCTAAAGTGGGGAAGGAAAAGACTTGGCTACCAAATTCCACATTTATTGAGCCTAAAGGTTTCGGATTGTTTTTAAATTGTTTAGTCCATGCTTGGATTGGTTAGTTTGAAGCCAGCAATTGAGGCAAGGAATGAAGAGGCTGCTTTTCTATGCTATGTCCAGTCCTTTGGGGGAATTGAATGGAGTCAAAGGTCAAGCTGGCCAGAGGCATTTTGATTGTCATGGTAACCAGGACTTAATCAAACAATCTTGAGATTCCAGGTTTGTGGGAACAGGCAGAGATCTGAAGAGGCTGGAATTAATCAATCAAAGTGGAGGAGGGTAGGGGAAAAAAAAAAACCCTCTAAGATATATGACTTCTCCTTCCAATTCTATTCCTCTCCTTTTAAACACACAAGAGTTTGATGGAGAACAAATGTCCCTTTTCGGGCCAAATACCTCTTGCCGGTCACATCAGATATCTTAACATACCTTTGTTCCCTGCAATCAAACGCCAGGATAGAGTGTGAAGGGGTAGGGCAGGGAGGGAGAAGGAAAAAGGAGAGAGACATTTGGAAGGCACAGAAATCTGTTTATCATAAAACAGGTTGGGCAGCCCAAATGCAGAATATGGCAAAGCTACAGGATTTCAAAGTGTAATTAGTTGCCTCTAGTTTGGGGAGTAATGTTGTTTGGACCCAGGTAAATTCATTGCCTTTCTTCCCTTATCTTCCTTCCTTCCTTCCTTCCTTCCTTCCTTCCTTCCTTCCTTCCTTCCTTCCTTCCTTCCTTCCTTCCTTCCTTCCTACCTACCTATCTTTCCTTCCTCCCTCCCTTCTCCCTCTCTTTATCCTTTTCCCTTCTTTCCTTCTTATCCTTCCTCAATAATAATAATAATTAATAATAATAATAAAGTTGGAAGGGATCTTGAAGGTCATCGAGTCCAACCCCTTGCTCAGGCAGGAAACCCTACACCATTTCAGACAAATGGCTGTCCAGTCTCTTCTTGAAAACTTCCAGGGTTGGAGCATTCACCGCTTCTGGAGGCAGGTTGTTCCACTGGTTAATTGTTCTCTCTGTCAGGAAGTTTCTCCTTAGTTCTAGGTTGCTTCTCTCCTTGATGAGTTTCCATCCCTTGCTTCTTATCCTGCCTTCAGGCACTTTGGAGAATAGCTTGACTCCCTCTTCTTTGGGGCAGCCCCTGAGATATTAGAACACTGCTATCCTGTCCCCCCTCGTCCTTCTCTTCATTAAACTAGACATCCCCAATTGCAGCAGCCGTTCCTTATATGTTTTAGCCTCCAGTCCCCTAACCATCTTTGTTGCTCTTCTCTGCACTCTTTCCAGAGTCTCAACATCTTTTTTTACATCGTGGTGACCAAAACTTCCCTCCCTTCCTTTTGTCCTTCCTTCTCTCTTTACTTTTCCTTTGTTTTTATCCCTCTTTCCTTTCTTCTCTGTTCATCTCTTTCTCTTCTTTAAACCAGGAAGTCAGGCCTAGGCAATGGAGACCAGAATATCAATTGTGGATGGGTTACATTTTTTTTCCATTGCAGTCATAGCCATGGGGTGGATCTCTTCTAGGACTGACCGGTTTGAACGCCTTGCAGTCCAGGGGACTCGCAGGAGTCTTCTCCAGCCCCATAGTTCCCCTATGCCGTATAAACCAGTATATATCAACACTTCCCATGATCTTGAAGCTATCCCTCTGTTGATGCAACCTAGGACTGCATTGGCTTTTTTAGCTAATCAAACTTAAATGATGAGGAATTACAGCCTGGGGTGGATTAATATTAGGGAGAAAAGCTGCAGCCGGGGAGTATTTAGGGAGCAGCCCAAGGGGGCGTTTCACAGTGAAGAGAGTTGAAAAGCAATCTGTAAGAGATGTTCTTCTTCTTCTTCTTTTTTTGTCTTCGTTCAACTGACAGGGCTGTAAGGTTGTAGGAATGCGAAGAATTCCATTAAACACCCCTGATTAGAGAGTATGCTGATAAGTTCCCCTCTGCATCCCCCTTCCAGGTCAAGAGGTCAAGACAAGGAGATGGAAGGTACCCCAGATAGTGGGGGATATCTCCAGGATTTTGGATTCCAACAATACAATTAACCCTTTCTCCCCGGTAAGAAAAGAAAGGAGGAATGGACTGTGGCTACCTCTCCTATTTCTTACCATAGAATGCCTCTTTACTTTAAGAACAGAAATTACCTCCTTCTAGACTTGGGTTTATCACCCCAGCCGTGATCCCCAAAAGCTCCTGTGATAATCAATCTGTTCATTGTCTTATCAGGCCCTTCTGCACAATGTGGTTGGTTGGTTTTTCATTTAAGATTTGATTTAAAAAAAAAAAAAAAGACCTATTCCCAAGATCTTTGAAAAAATAAGAGGAGGGAATTGTAGGAGCTTTTGAAAATGGCAATTTAGCCACCCAACCAAGGGCAGATCCAAAGATGATGGAAAGAAGGAAAGGAAAGGAAAGGAAAGGAAAGGAAGGGGAAAGGAAGGAAGGAAGGAAAAGAAAGGAAGGAAAGGAAATAAAGGAAAAGAAAGGAAGGAAAGGAAAGGAAGGAAAAGAAAGGAAGGAAAGGAAATAAAGGAAATAAAGGAAAAGAAAGGAAGGAAGGAAAAGAAAGGAAGGAAAGGAAATAAAGGAAAAGAAAGGGAAGGGAAGGAAAGGTACGAAAAGAAAGGAAGGAAAGGAAATAGAAAAAGGAAAAGAAAGAAAGGAAGGAAAAGAAAGGAAGGAAGGAAAGGAAGGAAAGGGAAGGAAAGGAAGGAAAAGAAGGAAAGGGAAAGGAAGGAAAGGAAATAAAGGAAAAGAAAGGAAGGAAGGAAAAGAAATAAAGAAAAAGAAAGGGAAGGGAAGGAAAGGAAGGAAAAGAAAGGAAGGAAAGGAAATAGAAAAAGGAAAAGAAAGAAAGGAAGGAAGGGAAGGGAAGGAAGGAAAGGGAAGGAAAGGGAAAGGAAATAAAGGAAAAGAAAGGAAGGAAGGAAAAGAAAGGAAGGAAAGGAAATAAAGGAAAAGAAAGGGAAGGGAAGGAAAGGAAGGAAAAGAAAGGAAGGAAAGGAAATAGAAAAAGGAAAAGAAAGAAAGGAAGGAAGGAAAAGAAAGGAAGGAAGGAAAGGGAAGGAAGGAAAGGGAAGGAAAGGAAAGGGTTAGGAATTTTATCCCATTTTGCAGTCTTCCTTCCCTTGTTGTTAAGTGATTCACCGTGTTGTTCAATTAGAAATACAGTTGTTAAGTGAAGCTGCCTTCTGCATTGACTTTGCTTGTCAGAAGGTTGCAAAAGGCAATCATGTGACCCCGGGACACCGCCACCGTCATAAATACGAGTCAGTTGCCAAAGTGTCTACGTTTTGATCACTTGACCCTGGGAATGTTGCAAGGGGTCCTCGGTCCTCAGTGTGAAAAACGATCCTACGTATTTGCAATATTTAAGATCCAGAGCCAACAAAACCTGCTCCCCTTTGATCTTCAGCCATTCTAATAATTATGGATTGAGGATAGCTTCATATTTCTATACTCTAACCATCCCCAAGTATAGAAGAGTCTTTTCCCTAGCCCGTTTCAATGTCTTGCCCTCACCACTACTCGACGGGCGTATTTTTTATGGGCGCCTGCGCACGCACGCATGTGCGCACGCGCACACACTCACACACATCATCATCTTCCTATGAATAGTTTAGTTCATAGGTAGAGTTTCCTCTTGTGGATGGTGGAATCTGTCGGGAAGCTGTCCCGCAGTCTAACCAATTATGGAGCTACGTTGTGAATTTTCTCTTCCTCTGAACTTCCAGATGTGATCCTGGGGACTGACCCAGCTGTCAATAATCGTTAATCTCACCGCCTTGACAGCAAAAGGAGAGAGGGGGAAAAAACAGGGAATTGGAGAAGGCCGCTGCCAATGAGGTGATTTAAATCTGGCCAAACTGTTGAATGGGGACAAATTCCAGCATTTGGTAACCTTCTGGCTTAAAACTGTTTCAATCAGCAGAACATAGAGTAACAGAGTTGGAAGAGACCTTGGAGGTCATCTAGTCCAACCCCCTGCTCAGGCAGGAGGCCCCGTACCATTTCAGACAAAGGGTTGTCCAGTCTCTTCTTGAAAACCTCCCGTGATGGATCATCCAGAAGTTCTGAAGGCAAGCCCTTCCCTTGATGAATTGTTCTCACTGTTAGGAAATCTCTCCTGAGTTCTAGATTGCTTCTCTCCTTGATTAGTTTCCATCCCTTGTTTTTTGTTCTGCCTTCTGGTGCTTTGGAAAATAGGTTGATCACCACAACTCTTCTTTCTGGCAGCCCTTTAAATACTGAAACCCAGCTTGAATGATGACAAATTCCAGTAGCTTCTGGCTTTAAACTGTTTCCATAAGCATTGCAGATATAAGACATCCATATATTTTTTTTTTCAGAGCCAGAGGGAAGCACCAAGTCCCACAGAAGGAAATGGAAGGATGGGCAGTGTTGCCAACAAACACATTCAGATGAGGAAAGTCTAATCTTACCAAGTCAGAGAGATGTGCCTGGGGTAGGTTGGTGTAATGGTTAGAAGATGATAGACTAGGATGAAGAAAGTCAAAGAGATCAATCTCCTTTGTGTTAACTCCTCCTTCTCCTTCTCCTTCTCCTCCTCCTCCTTCACCTCCTCCTTCTCCTTCTCCTCCTCCTCCTTCTTCTCCTTCTCCTCCTCCTCCTCCTCCTCCTCCTCCTCCTCCTTCTTCTCTTCCTCCTTCTCCTCCTCCTCCTCATAGTTGGAGGGGACTTTGTAGGTCTTCTAGTCCAACCACCTGCTCAAGAAGGAGACCTTCTACCATTTCAGATAAATGGATGTCCAAATCCTTCTTGAAAACCTCCCCTGATGGAGCACCCACAAGCCATTGCACTCTTAATTGTTCCCACTGTCAGGAAATCTCTCTGTGGATCTAAGTTGCTTGTCTCCACAACTCTGCTGCCGACTCCTGCTGACTTTTAAGTCTATAGCGAGTTTTGTTTTTTTGTTTGACAAGAATAAGGCAATCATTCTCCATTCTTCCAAAATAGATTTTCAGCTACACATAGTCCATGACTTATGACCATAATTGGAAACAAAATTTCCATGGCTAAAAAAGCCAGTTTTCTAGTCTAATGAAGAAAAGGACGAGGGGGGACATGATAGCAATGTTCCAATATCTCAGGGGCTACCCCAAAGAAGAGGGAGTCAAGCTGTTCTCCAAAGCCCCTAAAGGCAGGACAAGAAGCAACGGGTGGAAACTAACCAAGGAGAGAAGCAACCTAGAACTAAGGAGAAACTTCCTGACAGTTAGAACAATCAATCAGTAGAATGACCTCCTTCCAGAAGTTGTGGGTGTTCCAACATCGGAGGTTTTAAAGAAGAGATTGGACAACCATTTGTCTGAAATGGTATAGGGTTTCCTGCCTTAGTAGGAGGGTGGACTAGAAGACCTTCAAGGTCCCTTCCAACTCTATTATTCTGTTTTGCCATATCTGTGAACTCAGTCCCAGTCAAGTTTTAAAAGGCTGAAATCCAGTGCATGAAATAATGTGGGTTTTTTTTGTTTTTTGTTGTAATTGGAATAGGGTTTTGTCATTTGGGATCCCTCCTTTTCAGCTCTTGCCCGTTGCAGTGTTTGTGGTGAACCTGACAGCGGCAAAGGTGGATTGATTTTTCAGACCAGGGGTCTGTGATATTTCATAGGGCTTTGATTGGAAGTAAGCCCCCCCCTCCCAAGCAGCTGGAAAGGGTAAGCAAATAAATAAAGGGTAATCTCTCCCTCCCTCCCCCAGTTTACTTGTGGGTGGGACTGCCCCAAAGAATCCATCAAACCATCTGGGGGGAGAATTCAGAAGGGGGGGGGTGCAAAGGAGCAGAGAGGCTGGCTTGTAAACAAACAGAGCTAAACTGAGCCGGCCTTGGTCAAAGGTGAGCTTTTGAAGATGGACTCCAGATGGATCCCAACAGATGTGCTCAGGAAAGGAATCTCAAAAGATAAGATCCTGAGGTCGGGAACCACCCAACCTTCCTCCCCAATTGGGGAGGGGGGGGTCCGCAGAGGACAGGGATCAAGCAATGTCTGTCAGTTCCAATTAGGGCATCGAAGCTACATTTCCGATTGACAGGAAGGCAGCCAGGATGAATAGAGGGAAAAGAGAGGAGGGAGGGAGAGAGAGAGGGAAGGAGAGAAGGGGAGAGAGAGAATGTTAGAGAGAGAGGGAGAGAGAGAGGGAGAGAGTTTTAGAGAGAGGGAGGGAGGGAGGGAGGGAAGGAAGGAGAGAGGGAGGAAGGGAAGGAGAGAGAGTGTGTTAGAGAGAGGGAGAGAGGGAGAGAGAGAGGAAGGGAGAGAGGGAGAGAGAGAGAGGAAGGGAGGGAGGGAAGGAGAGAGTTAGAGTGTTAGAGAGAGAGAGCGGGAGGGAGGGAGAGAAGGAGAGAGAGACTGTGTTAGAGAGGGAGAGAGAGAGAGAGAGAGGAAGGGAGGGAGGGAGGGAGAGAAGGAGAGAGAGACTGTTAGAGAGAGGGAGAGAGGGAGAGAGAGAGGAAGGGAGGGAGGGAGGGAAGGAGAGAGAGAGATGCCCATCTGCCTGCCTTGCACTTTTCATCCTTGGTGCAAAGGTTAGCCTGAAATGGCCAGCAGACCACACTGGCGCTAATCAGGGGAAACGTTTTGGCCCCCCTCATTTTTTTAGCAAGGGGGGGCTCCCATGTGGGGTGAGGTTACACACAAATAAGACCTCCAGTGTTCAAGAGTCTTGAAGGAACTGCGGTTTTCTTTTAAGACGTAGCAAGAGAACTTTATGAACTTAAGAGCGGAGGGCAACTTATGAAGACTAAATGGGGCGGAGAAGGGATAAAGTTTTCAGGTTAGAGAATTGGGATTTTTTTGCTCCTCCTGTGTTTGATCAAAATCCGTCCCGGTGATTAGGGAGTAGAAGAGAGCCTGGGTTTTAAAATACAGGTAATCCTCAACTTAAAACAGTTTGTTTAGGGACCAAAGTTACAACAGCACTGAAAAAAAGTGACTTATGACCGTTTTTCACACTTATGACTGTTGCAGCAGCCCTGCGGGCACGTGATCAAAATTTAGACGCTTGGAAACTGTCTTGTATTGATGAAGGTTGCCATGCCCTGAGGTCATGTGATCCCCTGGGCACCTTCTGACAAGCCACATCAGTGGGGAAATCAGATTCACTTAACAGCTGTCCTACTAACTTAACAACTTCAGCGGTTCACATAACGACGGTGGCAGGAAAGGTCGTAAAATGGGGCAAAACTCACTTAACAACAATCTCAACGTAAGTCGAGAACTACCTGTACTATCTATCTATCTATCTATCTATCTATCTATCTATCTATCTATCTATCTATCTATCTATCTATCTATCTCTCTACCTACCTACCTCTCTCTACCTACCTATCTACCTACCTACCTACATCTATCTATCTGTCTGTCTGTCTATCTGTCTGTCTGTCTATCTACCTACCTACCTACCTTACATCTATCTCTATCTATCTATCTGTCTGTCTGTCTATCTACCTACCTACCTACATCTATCTATCTATCTATCTATCTATCTATCTATCTATCTATCTATCTACCTACCTACCTACCTACCTACCTACCTACTTACATCTACCTACCTACCTACCTACCTACCTACATCTGTCTGTCTATCTATCTATCTATCTATCTATCTATCTATCTATCTATCTACCTACCTACCTACCTACCTACCTACCTACCTACGTCTGTCTGTCTGTCTGTCTGTCTATCTATCAGCCCTTTGTCCTTTGCAAAGTGTTGGTTGTGGGGAAAAATTGAAGTGCTATTTTATTTCCTAATTTTTGTTAGATTTGTATGTTGTCCATCTTACTGTTGAATGACCCGGGTCCACACCCTGCCTTGATTCCCTGGAGAAAAGGCGGAATAGAAATTTTGAGGATGGTCAAGATTCAAACTAATATCCCAAAGGTGCTTTTTCAAAACTTAGCTGGATTTTCTCGGTTTCTGAATCTTTCAGAATTGAAGAAGTTTCTTGGATGAGAAGCAAAATGTCTTCAAGAAAAAAACCCCAAGAAAGTCCAGTTGCCTTTTGGGGGGGGAGAAAAAAAAAAAAAGCACCTTTGGGACAACCGTGACCTGGAAAACGGAGAATCGTCATAGACAAAGAAACAGCTACCCGGCAAAAATCTACCTTTGTAATCTTGCTTGGTGAGATGTTCTCCAGTTTTTCGACCTCATTCCCCAGATGTTTTAAATTCCTTTAGACTTTCTAGACATAAAATCTTGGAAGGGAGCTTAAAGGCCTTGTAGTTCACTTGGAGGAGAGCCCTATTATAGGTAGACCTCAACTTACAATCAAAATAAGGACCAGAATTTCCACTGCTGTGTTGCTAAGTGGTTTGCACCCAATTTTATGACTTTTTTTTTTTGCAAGACTCGTTAAGCGAGTCAACCAGGGATTCCGTGCGTGGCACCCAGTTTTATAACTTTCTTTGCTGTGCTTGTTTATTTTTTAAAAAAATATATTTATTATGTTTTATCAATAGGAATAAAATACAAAACCAAAAAAAAAAAAAACATACCTCCAAACAGTATCAACAAAAAAGGGGAAAAAAAAGTATACAAAAAAGGGGGGAAAAAACACTAAACACAGGGGAAAAAATCCATCCTGGTTGGATGCAGAAAATAAAATTTAAAAAAAAAATCGGATAGGTCCTCCTTTCAATTCATAACAGATCTAGAAATAACAGGGGGGACTATCAAGGTTTGCCTTCAGAAATCGTGGGCGCTCCATCACCGGGGATTTTAAAGAAGAGACTGGACGGCCACCTGTCTGAGATGATATAGGTTCTCCTGCTTGAGCAGGGGGCTGGACTAGAAGACCTCCAAGGTCCCTTCCAGCTCTATTCTATTCTATTCTATTCTATTCTATTCTATTCTATTCTATTCTATTCCATTCCACTCCACTCCACTCCACTCTATATCCTTCTTATTCTATTCTGTTCTGTTGTTCTATTCTATTCTACTCTACTTCTATATTCTATTCTATTCTATTCTATTCTATTCTATTCTATTCTATTCTATTCTATTCTATTCTATTCTATTCTATTCCATATTCTATTCTATTCCATTCCACTCCACTCCACTCCACTCCACTCCACTCCACTCTATATCCTTCTTATTCTATTCTGTTCTGTTGTTCTATTCTATTCTACTCTACTTCTATATTCTATTCTATTCTATTCTATTCTATTCTATTCTATTCTATTCTATTCTATTCTATTCTATTCTTATTCTTTCCTATTCTATTCTATTCCATTCCATTCCATTCCATTCCATTCTATTCATCCAGCTGGGAAGGTCACAAAGAGTGATCACATGACCCCGGGATCCAGCAACTGTCTAAATACATGTCAGTTTCCAAGCTCCTGAATTTTCATTATAGATGAGCGAGGACCAATGTGTGAGAGGACCAAACAAATAATTTTTTTCAGTATCTTTAACAGTCATTAAACAAACGGTAGTAAGTAGGTGACTTCCTGTAGTCTATAGCAGAAAAAAAACAACATCTGAAAATATGGAAATAACTTACTGGAAATAACTTAACTTTGGGGAGGCACAGATCGCACCTTTGATGGCTAAGCTGCAGCTCCCCGAAACAGATTTTATAAAATGGGCTTTTTGGCAAAAACGACCCTATTCTTTCCGATTTTTGATTGGCGATGCTTTGGAACTCTTTCTAATATCTTTTTCATCCACCTCTCTCAGAGTGTCCAAGTTTTTCTAACGTAAAAAAATAAAAATAAATCTCAAGGGGGGGATTTAATAGAAATTTGAGAAAGCAGTAAAGGCTGAAGTTATGGCAGACCTCCACGGAAATAATTGTACAAGGAAGACACACACTTATCTTAGGAATCCCTTGGCTAGCCTGGAGAATGTAATTTGAATTATTCTTCTTTGGAGAAAGGGGGGGGGGAACCCCCACACAGACAATTTCTCTCCCCCTCCCAAAGTAATTTCTTTACCATCGCGGGTTGTAGAATGCGAAATAAATAAAGCAGAAAACCTTCAGCACAGCTGGACAGGAGAAACGGTTTCTAAAGGAGAGGTTTTCTACCCAGAAAGGACATTGGCTTGAATTTTCCTCTTGTTAACTTCACAACCTCCCCCCCCAATCAGCCCCCTCCCCATAGGATTTTGAAAAAAAAAATTGTTGGCAAAGATAGAGGCAGCATCTGGGCTCCCAACGCCTGGGAGAAGGCATCCATCTGCGGAAAGAATTCCAACCGTTCTTCTGAACACTGTCCCATCCACAGCTCAATGCGCCTTGCACCCGTAAACCATTTGAGGCCATAAACCAGTTACGGGCCATCTTTTTTTTTTTTTTTTGACCTAACTGGCATGTGGAGAATGTCCTTTGCGTGAGGCAAAGCTTGGTGCATTCTCCACATGCCAGGATCGGAACATAGATTGCACCCCCCCCATCGCCCCCCAGGCTTTGTCTTTTGGGATTTATATAGCAGGAATTAAGTTTCCGCAAAAGCTAACCGGCTTACTTTGGAGAAAGTAGATTCAGGAGCAAAGTGTTTGCATTTAGATGGCCAATCTGAAGAAGGGGAATTTTTATCCAAAGCTCTGATTCATGGTGGGAGAAACTAGTCAATGGATGGAAGGAAAAGCCACTGACTAACTGAGGGGTCCTTGGTGCCCTCCGAGCTTATGGAGACGTTTCATTACCCAATTAGGTAACATCATCAGTGCTAGAAGGGAGTGGAATTTATGGAGAGGAGGGAGGGAGGGAGGGAAGGAAGGAAGGAAGATAGGAAGGAAGGAAGGAAGGAAGGACTATGAGATCCTAAGTGCTCTCTGAGCTTGTCGGTTTTCTGGCAGACGTTTTATTACCCAACTAGATAACATCATCAGTGCTAGAAGGGTTTGTGGAAAGGAGAAGGAGAGGAGGAGGAGGACTGTGGGGTCCTTGGTGCTCTCTGAGCTTGTCGGTTTTCTGGCAGACGTTTTATTACCCAACTAGATAACATCATCAGTGCTAGAAGGGAAAGAGTTTTCCGGGAGGAGGAGGAGGAGGAGGCATCTTTTGATCTCTGAGCTGGGTTGTTTTCTTGTAGACATTTCATTACCCATTTAGGTAACATCATCAGTGCTAGAAGGGAGTGGGGTTTGTGGAATGGAGGAGAAGGAGGAGGACTGTGGTGCTCTCTGAGCTTGGTTGTTATCTTGCAGACGTTTCCAGACCCAACTAGGTAACATCATCAGTTCTAGAAACCCCACTCCTTACTAGCACTGATGATCTTACCGAGTTTGGGTCAGGAAACATCTGCATAAATATAACCAATAATAACTTCTGGACTTTCCTCCAGAAGCTGTGGCGTGCTCCAACACTGGAATTTTTAAAGAAGAGACGGGACAGCTCTTTGTCTGAAATGGTATAGGGTTTCCTGCCTGAGCAGGGGGTTCGACTAGATGACCTCCAAGGTCCCTTCCAACTCTGTTATTCTTTTGTAATAGGGATGTTAGAAAAACAGCTTTCTTTATTGAAGTTTAAGGTTAAACTTAACCTTAAAGAAGGTTTAAGGTTATTAAACAAGGAGAGCCTCATTCTCCTGATCTGTTTTAAATTACTGTCCGACAGAAGGCTACAGGGAAATCTTACAGGGAAATCTTCTGGGTTTAAACTAATTTTCTTCTACATTCCAAAGCAATAATACAATTACCCAAGAATGGGTACACGTGCTTTAGGTAGGGAAAATTCCAGTACCTAGCTTAACAGTGCCTAAAAGTTCTCATATGTACACTCTTACTGCCCTCTCGTGGACTACAGAAACAATGTGTAAATCTGTTTTTTTCTTTGACTACCAATTTTAAACTCCTGGCACGCGTGGCTAAAAAGAACAGGACTTAATACCTTCAATTTCCTTCATGACCAGCTCACAAAGAAAGGGACAATTTTCTGAGCTAGTCAAATCTCTCCATTACATGAATCATAAATGTACGGTTGGTATTTGTTCTCTATTATGCAATATTAGTTCTCGCTATGCACATGCATACATAATCCGAACTTAGCTGTTTCTCTGTGTCATATATGTGGGTATATGCATACTTCTGTATTTATGTATGTATATATGCATCTATGTACTGTATGTATGTATGTCATATTTATGTAATGTATATCAGAGATAGTGACTCTTGGAGTGTTGTATACAACGAAACTTCATTTTAATGTATGCCGATTAGTATACATTCAATAAAGTTATTCTATTCTATTCTATTCTATTCTATTCTATTCTATTCTATTCTATTCTATTCTATTCTATTCTAATTCTATTCTTTCTGAATTCTATTCTATTCTATTCTATTCTATTCTTTCTGAATTCTATTCTATTCATTCTGAATTATTATTATTATTATTATTATTATTATTATTGATCATCGCAGTCAGCCAGATGTTCAGACTGGATTGGGCATTTTATTATTGTTATTATTGTTGTTGTTGTTGTTGTTATTTTATTGTTATTTGTTTGCCGCCCATCTCCCGCCCCTTTCATTGCACGCCCCCCCTTCCAGGTGAGAAATCAAAAGAAGCCGGACTCGGAGACCGCTTGGATCGGACCGGGCGAAAGGATGCTGCGTCTCCATGGCCACGCGCGCGGAGGACCAGCCGGCAGGAGGGATACAGGAGCATCTCCAGCCGGCTCGGGAAAAGCAGGCAGCGGAGGCGGCGCCGGCTTCGGCTGACCCGGCAGTGGAAGCGGCGGATAAGGCGGCGTCGGAGGCCGCCTCCTCTTCCTTCTCCTTCCCCTCCGCCCCCTGCTAGACCCGCCCGGGTTCGGCTCCGCCTCGCCCGGCGTGCTTTGAACCAGCGGAGCCAAGCAGGCGGGGATGCCCCTGGTGGGCTCGGGAGGGGGGCTTCCCTTGCACACGCCTGCCCTTTGCACGCTCCAGGGAGGTGAGCATGCGGGCGAGCCTTGGCGCCTTCCCACGACTAGGTTGGTTGGCTTTCCCACGAGAGAACACGCGTCCCCGCGAGTGGTGCAGCCTCAGGTCGTGGGGTGGGGGTGGGATGTGTGCGAGAGTGATTCTTGCAGATTTAAATCTTTCTCTGAACGTTGCTCAGGTTTGATCTCTGGCTATTTTTTTTTTTTAAATCTTACTTATTAGGATTTTGCAGTCTATAAAATTAAAAGGTTAAGGGGGAGAAAAGGACATAGAGAGTAAGGAATGAAAAAAAAAGAAAGAAAATGTAGAAATGTCCCTTCCCCCCCCATGGAGTAATAGGCATCTTATTCCCCCCCCCTTTTTAACCGTTTTTGTAAATTCTCACCTGGTTCCTGAGTTTTAATGGAGAGGAATTGGCAAAAAAAAAAAAACCCTGTCTCTCTTGGCGATAAGCATATTTTTGTTATTTTAAAGCAGAGTTGTAGCTGGACCAAATTTGCAAGCAATATATTTGTAGGACTTTCTTGTTATGCCAGCTTGATGTCACCAAATCGCCAATGCTGGAAGGTTTTGACTCTGGTGAAATTGATCATCAGCTCTTCTCTTGCCTATTGCTGTTTTTATCAAAACAATTCCTAACAAATAACTAACATTTCTTTTCCCGGACAGGCAAGAATTCAATAGACACTATTTTGGTAGGTAAAGATCCTAAAATAACTTCTGCCTTGGCTGTATTTATAATTTCAGCCTGGGAAAATCATGCTTTATTAATAGCAAAGCATAGTTTTAATCGCATGTGATATGTTTTGGGCTTTTTTGGTGTGAACTGGATCCATAACCCATAATGCTTATTCCAAAATGGTCCCAATATAGGGTGGTTTGTACAAAACCTGGGTTAAAGTGTGTGAGACTTGGTGTTTTTGTGGGAATGCAGATATCATGCGGATGCTTAGGAGCTTAATCCTAACATAAACTAGAAGTAGTCATCCATTAACAACTGAGACTCATTGAGAATTGGGCTGCATACAGATTTAATATATTATTATTATTATTATGGTTGGTTGATTGCACAGTCATCCAGATGTTCAGACTGGATTTGCATTTTTATCCGCCTGTCGAGTCCTTTCCAAAGACCTGGGTTAGGCAGATGTTGTTTGATGGTGTTAAAATTCTTGTGGCAGGGTGTAAACTGTTTTGTAATAGACCGATGGGGATTTTATCAATCCTGGTATTCAAGTGGTACTCCAGATGTTTGAGATTGCACCCAAGGCGCCTTTATTATTATTATGGCTGGTTGCACAATCTGCTAGATGTTTAGACTTTTTTTTTGGATAGGCGGCATTTTTATCCACCTATCAAGTCCAAAAGTGGCTTATGACCATTGTTCACACTTAGGACCGTTGCCCCATCCCCATGGTCATGTGATCAAAATTCAGACGCTTGGCAACTGATGTATTTATGACGGTTGCAGAGTCCCAAACTCACTTAGCAAATTTCTTACTTAGCAACGTAATTTCTCGGCACAATTGTGATGGTAAATCAAGGACTTTCTGTGTTAGTACTGTCTTTGAACCATTCATAAGTCATTTTATTGAATGCTTTTATAATTCCGAATGGTGGTTAAATAGTTGTGAATCAAGGTCTCCCTGAACAATATAGAAGTATGTTTTGGAAAGTGTTTATACCTAATAAACATTTTCACATTAAATATGGCAAATTATACTGGAAGAGAGTTTTCAAAAAGTGGTAGGTTAGGCTCCAGCTGGGCAAATGTTCTGGACAAGCGAACAGAGAGGCAGTTTGGTCTAGTGGTGACTTTGGGCCAATCAGCAAGGGATTTTGAGTTTCTAGTCCCGCCTTAGCCATGAAAGCCAGCTGGATGACTTTGGGCCAATCCCTCCCTCTCAACCCAACCTGCCTCACAAGGTTGTTGTTGCTGGGAAAATAGGAGGGGGAAGATGTGTTGGATATATTCACTGCTTTGAGTTATTTATAAAAATAATAAGGGTGGGATACAAATAAATAAATAAACCGAGAAGAGAAACTGAATTTTTCAGCACTCCTTTCCAAAGTATTCAAGAATGTTGTTTTTTTTCCAGGCTGAAATATTTTCTTCCAGTTTGAAGGCTTCATCACCATTATTTGAAGATGAAGATAGTCCTTATGGTAGCTGAGAAGCCCTCTTTGGCTCAATCCATCGCCAAAATCCTTTCAAGAGGTTTGGGGGAAAAAGGATATTCTGTTAATATTAATTATAATTTTGAATGTCAATGTTATCTATCTGTCTGTCTGTCTGTCTATCTATCTATCTATCTATCTATCTATCTATCTATCTATCTATCTATCTATCTATCTATCTTTCATTCTATTCTATTCTATTCTATTCTATTCTATTCTATTCTATAATGTTAATAGCAAATCATTTACCTTAAAATCGAAACAGTTACCGTACAACAACTTGATGTATGCTCTTATCTCTTTTTTTTTCATTTTGCTTGTTTCCTAAAAAGATCCCTTTGAAGTTGTAACTTGAGAGGATGTTTGTAATATCTGGCCTTTTTTTTTTTTGTAGTGCAATATTGTTGTGTTTTTTCCCCCTAATGTAGGAAATATGTCATCACGCAAAGGGTTAAATGGGGCGTGCTCTGTCTATGAATTTACCGGTCCTTTCATTGGACAAACTGTCCACTTCAAGATGACGTCAGTATGTGGTCATGTGATGACGCTGGATTTTATAGGTAAAATGATCATTGTTTGCTATTTTAGAAAATAGAATAGAATAGAATAGAATAGAATAGAATAGAATAGAATAGAATAGAATAGAATAGAATAGAATAGAAGCTGGAAGGAACCTTTGAGGTCCTCTAGTCCAGCCCCCTGCTCAAGCAGGAGAGCCCATACCATCTCAGACAAGTGACTGTCTAGTCTCTTCTTAAAAATCTCCAGGGATGGAGCGCCCACAATTTCTGGAGGCAAGCTGTTCCACTGGTTAATTGTAAATCGAGGACTCCCTGTATTCAGGCTACAGAGCTCAGTTTATCAGAAGCCACCCATGACTTCACGATCAATTAGCCCAGATATTATTCTGATGCTTTACAAAGACGATGATGATGTTTTTCCGCCCTTTTTAGGGAAATACAACAACTGGGATAAAGTTGACCCAGCCGAGCTTTTTAGCAAAGCTCCGACGGAAAAGAAAGAAGCCAATCCCAAACTTAACATGGTGAAATTCTTACAGGTAATGAATGAATTCTTGGGAATTTGCTGAGAAGTTGAAGTATTTATCGACCGGACTGTGAGAACCAGGTTGATCTGTTCAGACAGAGCTTTGTGTGGCTAGTTGTAAAAGCTGTCCACTAAGCCAGGGGTCCCCAACCCTCGGTCTGTGGACCGTGGTCCACAACATGTCAGAAACTGGTTCCGAGGTGGCGCAGCAGTTAGAGTGCAGTACTGCAGGCCACTTTAGCTGACTGTGTTCAGCAGGTCAGCGGTTCAAATCTCACTGGCTCAAGGTTGACTCAGCCTTCCATCCTTCCGGGGTAGGTAAAATGAGGACCCAGATTGTTGGGGGCAATGTAAATATATATATACATTGCTTACTGGTGTACACCGCTTAGAGAGTGCTTGCACTTAAAGCGGTATATAAGTCTCATAAAATAAATACATAAATAAATATGGGATGCAGACAGCAGGCAAAACCATGTCCCCTCCGGTCCATGGAAAAAACCTCTCTCTCACTTAACGGTGCTCAATTGCGATCGTAAGACGAGGACTCTGTGTAGTTCATCAGTAGAGGGACTACCTTCAATTTGATTGACGGGGCTTAGTGCCTGAATCCAATGGAGGTGGTTTTGCAAAACCGTCGTTTATGGCTTAGGATGGTGGGAAAGATCTTTCTTTCTTTCCTGAAACTCTGGTAAATATTGGCTCTTTCAGCCCGACCAAACTGGTAGAAATTCTACAAAATGGGATCTTAAGAGCTTGGTAGGTAGCAAAGCGGCTAGGCCAATTAACTGGGAATGAAATGTATCTTTTCTTGGATTGCTCAGGTGGAAGGGAGAGGCTGCGACTACGTTGTCCTGTGGCTGGATTGCGACAAGGAAGGTGAAAATATATGCTTTGAGGTATGACTCACGATCTGACTGCGACGTTTTCCTTGGTTTAACCGGGTTGAGCATCCCAAATCCATGCCACTTGCCAAGTACCTAAATAATAACAATAACAACAACAACAACAATAATAATATAATAATAATAATAAATGCTGTCTGAACATCTGGCTGACTGTGCGATGATGATGATGATATAATAATAGTAATAGTAATAGTAATGGTGCAATCCCAAAACAACTGGAGCCCCACTTGAACACCATTGGCATTGACAAATTCGCTATTAGTCAATTGCAAAAGGCGGCCTTACTAGGAACTGCTTCCATCCTGCGACGATATCTGTAATACCATCAAACATCCACACCTGCCTATCCCAGGTCCTGGGTAAGGACTCGATAGGTAGACAAAATGCCAAATCCAGTCTGAACATCTGGCTGACTGCGATGATCCATAATAATAATAACAACAACAACAACAACAACAACGACCTTGGAGGTCATCTAGTCCAACCCCCTGCTCAGGCAGGAAACCCTGTACCATTTCAGACAAATGGCTCATTTGTGGTCGTAAGCTGAGGACGCCGTGCACCTTACACCTTTTGCTTCCTTGCTTCTAGGTCCTGGATGCAGCCCTCCCGGTGATGAATAAACCTCGAGGGGGTGAGAAGACGGTCTACCGAGCCAAATTCAGCTCCATCACGGACACGGACATTTGCAATGCCATGAACCAGCTGGGCGAACCCAACCACAACGAAGCTCTCTCAGTTGACGCACGGCAAGAGTTAGACTTGAGGATCGGCTGTGCATTTACCAGGTTTTGAACTAGATTTTGTATCTTGGCCTATTTCTTTCCTGGGCCTTCATGGAGAACTAGTTCGGCCATTCCCTGCACATATTTAATTGCATTATAGCAATAGCCCTTAGACTTATATACCACTGCATAGTACTTTACAACCCTCTCTAAGCAGTTTACAGAGTCAGCCTTTTGCCCCCCAACAATCTGGGTCCTCATTTTACCGACCCCCGGAAGGATGGAAGGCTGAGTCATCCTTGAGACTTGAACTGCTGAGCTGCTGATTGACAGCCAGTAATCAGCAGAAGTAGCTGCAGTACTGCGTTCTAACCACTGGGCCACCTCAGTGTTCTATTATAGAATAGAAACACAGAATAACCGGAGCTGGAAGGGACTTTGGAGGTCTTCTAGTCCAACCCCCTTCTTGAGCAGGAGACCCTATATTGTTCCAGACAAATGGCTGTCCAGTTTTTTCTTAAAAGCCTCCAATGATGAAGCACCCACAACTTCTGGAAAGCAAGCCGTTCCACTGATTAATTGTTCTCACTATCAGGAAATTTCTCCTTAGTTCTAGGTTGCTTCTCTCCTTGATTAATTTCCATCTGTTGCTTCTTGTCCTGCCTTCAGATACCTTGGAGAATAGCTTGACTCCCTCTTCTTTGGGGCAGCCCCTGAGATACTGGAAGACTGCTATCATGTCCCCCCTCGTCCTTCTCTTCATTAAACTAGACATCCCCAGTTCCAGCAGCCTTTCCTTATATGCTTTAGCCTCCAGTCCCCTAATCATCTTTGTTGCTTTTCTCTGCACTCTTTCTAGAGTCTCAACATCTTTTTTACATCGTGATGACCAAAACTGGATGCCGTATTCCAGGTGTGGCCTTACCAAGGCCTTGTAAAGGGGTAGTAACACTTCACGTGATCTTGATTCTATCCCTCTGTTAATGCAGCCTAGCACTGTGTTGGCTTTTTTTAGCTGCCGCCGCTCACTATTCCCACTTCTCTGTTACATTCTCTATTTATTCGTACAGGTTTCAGACAAAATATTTCCAGGGTAAATACGGCAATTTGGACAGTTCTTTGATCTCCTTTGGGCCTTGCCAGACGCCCACGCTGGGATTTTGTGTGGAGCGCCATGATAAAATCCAGTCGTTTAAACCCGAAACCTACTGGGTGTTGCAAGTCAAGGTAATCGGCCCCAGCACTTAATTATTTGGGAAGATTACATCCCACCCCCCCAAAAATCATACAGGTGGTCCTTGACTGCTGTTCATTTAATGACCATTCCAAGTTACGACGGCACTGAAAAAAAGTAACTTAACGATAGTTTTTCACACTTACGACAATCGCAGCATCCTCATGGGTCACGTGATCAAAGTTCAGACACTTGGCAACTGGCATGTACTTACGACGGTTGCAGCGTCCCGGTTTCATGTGACCCCCTGTTGCAATAAGCACAGTCAATGGGGAGGGCAGATTCACTTAACAACCGTGTGACTCGCTTAACAATTGCAGTGATGGACTTAACAAGTGTGGCAAGAAAGGTCTTCAAACGGGGCACAAATCACTTTGCAGACCTTTCACAGAAACATTGGGCTCAGTTGCGGTCGTAAAGCGAGGACTACCTGTATTTAGCTCAAACTTTCAGCATGCAGGCCGAAAAGAACACCGTAGCAGATCCTGATGGAAGACTCTTTATCAGAAGAACTGGAGATATTTTGTTTTTTTCTAAATGTTTCCTTCTGACCAGGTGGTTCCCGACAAAGACAGTTGTTTGACCCTGGAGTGGGACAGAGTGAGAATCTTCGACCGAGAAATTGCTCAGATGTTTTTGAATCTAACAAAAATGGCCAAGGAAGCGAAGGTTAGTGTTGTCGGTAAAAGAATTTGCGTTCCTTTCAGTGATGGATTTAATCCGCCTTGGGTCACAGTTAATGTCGTTAACTATGTTGTCGTTTGACGCTTTGAAAAATTGAAACTAAATACAGTAGTGGCCAAAATTGTGGAAACCTTTTGGGAAAAGTGTATTTTTGAGGTTTGATGGCGAATAACACCACTTTTTTTTTCGGAGTAGTTCCGTAACATTATATATCAATGGAAAGATAATTTAATCAAGAATGTAATGCAACAAAGTTTGTTCCATTACCTGTACTGTATTCTATGAAGTTGTAGCCAAAGGACCAGAACAAGGAAGCACAACTTGCTTAGGTTGATCTCAGGTAGCTTTCCTTCATCTGATGGTAGCCAATGAGCGTGAGTGTTTAGAGAGCCAATCAGGTGTCATCTTGTTTTGGCAATGAGCCAATCAGATCACAGTAGGATCCGGTTAGGTTATCGATGTCCTGTATTGAAGCTGAGAGGAGGACGTTTGTCAAGTGTGTTATGTGATGGCTATCAAGCTGGTTGGGGTTTTTTTTGTGTTCTTCCATTGAGTGAACTTGTGAAATGTAATAAAATTAAAATAATGGTGCAAAGAGTTGACCGGTTGCCCAGAAAGCGATGTAAAATAGTCTTATTAAGTGAACAAGGCTACAGTTGTAAAGAAATTAGAAGAAAAGTGGGTGGAATCGTAACCCAAGCTGGCATTTCTACTGTACGCTTTCCCCAAAAGGTTTCCACCATTTTGGCCACTTCTGTAGGTATACAGGAAATCCTCAACTTATAGTAGTACATTTATTTCGAAGTTACAACGGCACTGAAAAAAAAAGGGATTTGTGACCGTTTTTCACACTTACGACCATTGCAGCATCCCCAGAGTCACGTGATCGAAATTCAGACCCTTGGCAACTGACTCATAGTTACGAGGGTTGCAGCGTCTCAGGGTCATGTGATCCCTTTTGTGACCTTCTGATAAGCAAAGTCAATGGGGGGGGGAAGCCAGATTCACTTAACGACCGTATTACTAAATTAACGATCACAGCGATTCCCGTAAAAACTGTGGTGAGAAAGGTTGCAAAAGGGTGCAATTTTCACCCAATAGCTGTCTACCTTAGCAACGGAAATTTTGGGCTCCATTGCGGTCGTAAATCGAGGATTCCCTGCGTAGCAATGTGCAGTTTGCTCCCTTCCTCTCCCTGTTGTAAATTAAGAGAGAATGAAATTTCAATCGTTTTTCCTAGGACTTGATTTATCTGGATAAAAATTGTTAAGGAACATCCCCCCCCTTTTTTTTCTCTTTTTTTTGCAGGTGGAGTCTGTGAGTAAAAAGGAGAAAGTGAAACAACGGCCTCTCGCTCTCAATACGGTGGAAATGTTGCGGGTCGCCAGCTCTGCGTTGGGTAAATAGGAGAACCTACAGCAGGATTCCGTTCTTTTAAAAAAATAGCAATAGCAATAGCACGTAGATTTATATACCGCTTCACAGGGCTTTACAGCCCTCTCTAAGCGGTTTACGGGGTCAGCCTCTTGCCCCCCAACAATCTGGGTCCTCACATTACCGACCTCGGAAGGATGGAAGGCTGAGTCAACCTTGAGCCAGTCAGGATTGAACTTCTGGCAGTGGGCAGAGTTAGCCTGTAATGCTGCATTCTAACCAGTGTGCCACTGCGCCTCTTGATAATCTGATAATCAGATTAGAGTTGGAAGGGACTTTGAAGGTCTTCTAGTCCAACCCCCTGCTCAAGCAAGAGATCTTATACCATTTCAGACAAATGGCTGTCCAGTCTCTTCTTAAAAACCTCCAGTGATGGAGTGCCCACAATTTCTGGAGGCAAGTCGTTCCACTGATTAATTGTTCTCATTGTCAGGAAGTTTCTCCTTAGTTCTAGGTTGCTTCACTCCTTAGTTAATTTCTATCTGTTGCTTCTCGTCCTTCCCTCTGGTGCTCTGGTGAACAACCTGACCCCTTCTGCCTTGTGGCAGCCCCTCAGATTCTGGAACACCGCTTTCATGTCTCCCCTATTTCTTCTTTTCTTTAGACTAGCCAAACCCAAGTCCCGCAGCCGTTCTTCATGTGTTTTAGTCTCTAGGCCCTTAAACCATCTTAGTTGCTCTTCTCTGAACTTCTTCTGAAGTCTCAACGTCTTTATTTCTAACGTGGTAACTACTGATTTTCAACCTATTTTTTCCAACCTTGCAGGAATGGGACCGCAGCACACTATGCAGATAGCTGAGCGGCTGTATACCCAGGGTTACATTAGTTACCCTCGAACAGAAACGACGCATTATCCCGAAAATTTTGATTTGAAAGGCCCTTTGCGACAGCAAGCTAATAATTCTTACTGGGCTGAAACTGTAAGTGATTGACATTAATCTCGTTGCCAAAAGACCCTTAAGAAATCAAGCCAGACCTCAATTCGCAGAGAGTCCTCGGCTTACGGCTAGTTGCTTAGTGACTGTGTGAAATTCTGAGAGACTTATCTAGGGGTACTTACAATCCGTATTCAAAGTTCTGATGTTTGTTTCTCTGGGGTCACATGTTGGGCCAAATTTAAGCTGTTTGCAGCGTCCGACAGTCACACGACTGTGTTGCGTGACAGTTTTGCCCCAAATTGGATATATTTGGCAGTTACTTCCCATTTTTAGAATAGAATAAAATAACAGAGTTGGAAGGGACCTTGGAGGCCATCTAGTCCAACCCCCTGCTCAAGCAGGAAACTATACCATTTCAGACAAATGGCTGTCCAGTCTCTTCTTAAAAACGTCCAGGGTTGGAGCATTCACAACTTCTGGAGGCAGGTTGCTCCACTGATTAATTGTTTTAACTGTCAGGAAATTGCTCCTTAGTTCTAGGAGTTCCCTGGCTCATACATGCTCTGTCTGGTTTTCTCCTAAGGTCAAAGCATTATTAGTGGAAGGCATCAACAGGCCACGGAAGGGCCACGATGCCGGAGATCATCCCCCCATCACACCAATGAAAGCTGCCTCTGAAGCAGAATTGGGTGAGTAATTACTCATGTTTGTAAAACACTCCGGAAACATTGTTGTTAGTTGCAAGTTGTGTCTGACTTATTGCGACCCCATGGACAATGTTCCTCCAGGCCTTCCTGTCCTCTACCATCTTCTGGAGTCCATTGAAGCTCCCGCCTCCTGCTTCAGTGACTCCTTCCAGCCACCTCATTCTCCATCGTCCCATTCTTCTCTTGCCCTCCATCTTTCCCAGCATCAGGCTCTTCTCCAGTGAGTCCTTCCTTCTCATTAGGTGGCCAAAGTACTTGAGTTTCAACTTCAGGATCTGGCCTTCTAAAGAACAGTTGGGGTTGATCTCCTTCATGACTGACCGGTTTGATCGCCTTGCAGTCCAGGGGACTCGCAGGAGTCTTCTCCAGCGCCAGAGTTCAAAGGCCTCCATTCTCAGCCTTTTTTATGGTCCAACTTTCACAGCCATACATTGCAACTGGGAAGAAACATTACAAGCAGCCATTCATTTAGCAACTAGTCAAAGTTATCACACCAGTGAAAAAAAAGGGATGGCCATGCTCATAACCTTTGCAGCATCTCCATGATGGTTGCAAAGTCCCAGGGTTCATGTGATCCCTGTTCACCAACTTCTCAGCTAACTTCCGACAAGCCAAGTCAATGGATTGGATTCGTTTACCGACCACGTGATTGACTTAACAACTGAAGCGGTTCTCTTAACCACCAAAAAGGCTTGGAAAAGCAGACCTTATAGGGGACTTTCTCTCAGTTAAGGGGGTCTCAAAGGTGCCTTTTCAAAATGCAATGGACGGTGTCTTTTTCCCCTTAAGGGGAGAAGGGAAGATGAAACCATGAAGGGGAGGGGAAAAAAAAATAACACAACTTCAAGAAAGAAGAACCTGTTAGAAAGAAACTCAAGATATCCCCACCTTGATTTTCATTGGTATAAGATGGATCAGAGAGGAACTCAGACAGCAGATACAGGTCGTCCTCGGCTTAGTAACTGAGCCCAAAATTTACGTTGCTAAGCGAGACATCGTTTAAGCGAATTTTGCCCCACTTTACGGCCATAGTTCTTAAATGAATCACTGCCGCAGTTACATTAGTAACACGATTGTGAAGTGAATCTGATTTCCCCATTGACTTTGCTTGATCACATGACCCTGGGACACTGCAACCGTCATAAATATGAGTCAGTTGCCAAGCGGCTGAAATTTGATCCCGTGTCCAAGGAGATCTTGCAGCGGTCGCTAAGTGTGAAAAACAGTCCTGAGTCACTTTGTTTTCGGTGCCGTTGTAACTTGGAACAGTCACTAAACAAACTTTCGTAAGTCGAGGACTACCTGTCCTTTGATGTTCACTACGATAAAGAAGTCCTCGAATAGCAAGCTGTGTCTGGGACTTGAACTGGCCTACCTGGAAGGGCTGAGCCACCTCTGTGTGTTCCTAGGGGGCGATGGATGGAGGCTGTACGAATACATCACAAGGCATTTTATCGCCACGATCAGCGCTGACTGCAAATACCTTCAAACTACTATTGTGTGCAGTGTTGCCTCGGAACGTTTCACCTGCATAGGAAAGACGGTTCTTTCGCCAGGTAAGAAAGAGAATAGAATAGAATAGAAAAGAATAGAATAAGGAATAGAAGAATAAAATAGAATAGAATAGTAAATAGAATATTAAATAGACCAGACTAGACTAGACTAGACTAGACTAGACTAGACTAGACTAGACTAGACTAGAATAGAATAGAATAGAATAGAATAGAATAGAATAGAATAGAATAGAATAAGGAACATGAACAAAATAGAACAGAGTAGAATAGAATAGAATAGAATAGAATAGAATAGAATAGAACAGAATAGAATAGAATAGAATAGTAAATAGAATATTAAATAGACCAGACCAGACCAGACCAGAATAGAATAGAAGAGAAGAGAATAGAAAATGGAATAGAATAGAACAGAACAGAACAGAACAGAACAGAACAGAATAGAATAGAGCTGGAAGGGACCTTGGAGGTCTTCTAGTCCAGCCCCCTGCTCAAACAAGAGAACCTATACCATCTCAGAGAGGTGATTAAGACACGGTACACTGCTTTCTAGCAGCTCATTTGGGACAAATTGAGTTCCTTTGGGGCTGTCACAAAGAAGAGGGGGTTAAGCTTTCTTTCTTTCTTTCTTTCCTTCTTTCTTTCTTTCTCTCTCTTTCTTTCTTTTTTTCTTTCTTTTTAATTTCCTCCCTTCCTCCCTCCCTCCCTTCCTTCGCTTTTATGTTCTTTATAAAACTTGAAACACCAAAAAATAGGAAGAAATACTACCTCTTTTTAAAAATGAGTTCCGAATTGCTACTTGCTTTTAAAAAAAAAAAATTCATTACAGGGTTCACTGAGATAATGCCTTGGCAAACTATCCCTCTGGAAGAGAGCCTGCCCAGCTGTGAGCGTGGAGACCTCTTCCGTGTGAATGAAGTGAAGCTGCTGGAGAAGCAGACCAGCCCACCCGATTACCTGACGGAAGCTGAACTCATCACATTGATGGAAAAACATGGGATAGGTAGGGACCTTCCTTTCTGGTGGCACGTTGAGCACAAGGGGGTGGAAAGGATGTCCTCACCTTTTTCCAGAGGATGGCCATCTCGTGTTTCTTGCAAGGTTTACAACGTGTCAGGAGCTGGTGATGGTAAGGTTGACTTGAATGGACGGGTCCGATTAAATGGAAGAGCGTTGCTTCTCCATTAATTCATTGATCATGGTCCTTCATCCGTGGTGTGGCCAATTTCTGGTTTCCAGAATGTCTCCAAACCATCACCAGAAGTTCTGAGGGGTAAATAACAACACAAAGAGTGAAATAACCGGGTCTTCAACTCAAGAATTTGCTTTGAGGATCAAACCTGAATTTCCGGTAGACCAATATATCCTGTCAGGGGTCTTCTAGAGAGGAGGGACCCGGTGGTCCTCCAGATGCTGCTGAACATCTGCTCTGTCTTCAGAGCTGGCCATGTTGATGAAGGATCCTGAGGGCTGCCTCTTCAGAGGCTTTCATTGCCAGGTCATGAGCTTATCAAACCAGCCAGCTTAGCCTCAGTCTGCCCCGTCTGTGAAATGGGCGTAACGATGCAGCTTCCAGACTCATTTTTTTTTTCAGATCGTAGGGAAAAGTGTTGGAACACAGGGAAGGGCTGGGTTAACGCAATGAGTACTGTGTTGTTGTTAGGAACGGACGCCAGCATTCCTGTCCATATCAACAACATTTGCCAACGCAACTATGTCACTGTGGAAGGGGGCCGCAGGCTGAAACCTACCAACCTGGGCATCGTCTTGGTACATGGCTACTACAAAATAGGTAATGGGCCATTTTGTGGTGGGGGAGGATAGTGATAGGGAAATGAGTCTTAGGGCCAGGTTATTGGAAGGACTCTTCATCTCACAGGGAGAAGTTCACCTATTTTTTCTGGGCAATTGAAGAGAAGTGGTCAGGTCCCAGAATTCCCTAGACACCAGGTTGTAAAATTGGTGGACTTCAATACCCAGAATTCCCCAGCCAGCCTGCTTTAAGACAGGGTGGATGCCAACTCCCAGAATTCCTCAGCCAGCATGCTTAAAGACATGTGGACTTCAGTACCCAGAATTCCCCAGTCTGCATGCTTTATGATGGGTGGACTTCAATTCCCAGAAGTCCCCAGCCAGCATGCTTAAAGATGGGTGGATGTCAACTCCCAGCTGGCTGGGGGGATTCTGGGTGTGAAGTCGGCGGTCTGAAAGATGCTGAGTTTGAAAAACAGAGACCTCAGAGGACTCCATGCATTTTGCAGAAAGCCTGGATGCTTCTCCCAGGCTGTTCTTCGTGAACATCCCGCAAGCTTTAATCTATCTCAGTTTCCCTCTTCCCCCCCTGGGTAGATGCGGAGCTGGTTCTGCCCACCATCCGCAGCGCAGTGGAGAAGCAGCTCAACCTGATTGCTCAAGGAAAAGCCAATTACCACCAGGTGCTGGAACACACCTTGGACATCTTCAAAAGGAAGTTCCACTACTTTGTGGATTCCATTGCTGGTAGGTCTCCCCTCCTCCCCAGAGGCTCCCTGGCTGGCAAGTTAGAATTTGCCAGTCATTAAAAGAAAAATCACATATATGAGTCAGGGATTTTTATACATAAGAATTCTATTCTCCCCCCCCCCTTTTTTTTCTTCTTCTTCTTTATTTTGCCTTTCCAGTGGCTTTTTACTTAAAAGAGATTTGTGTGTTTTTTATTTTGCCTTTCCAGTGGCTTTTTACTTAATAGAGATTTGTGTTTTTTGTTTTTAAAGAAGAATATGCAGTCATAACACGGTAGTTTGGGGAGAAATACTCATCCACTGAATCTTGACTCTTAGGAGCTGTCCAACAATTCAGTGGTTTGTCTTTTCTGGTTATGAATTCGAAAGAGTTATACACGGTTATACAGAGTGAATAAAATATAAATGTATAACTGCTGTAGATCAGAAGCCTCTTTCATTCTTTTTCTTTCTTTCTTTTCTTTTTCTCTTTCTTGCTTTCTTTCTCCATATCTTCTTTTTTCCTTCTCTTTTTTCTTTCTCCTTTTTTTTCTCTTTCTTTTTTTCTCTTCCTCTTTCTTGCTTTCTTTCTCCCTATTTTCTTTTTTCTTTCTTTCTCCTTCCTCCCTTTTTCTTTCTCTTTTTCTTTCTTTCTCTTTCTTTCTTTCTCTTTCTCTCTTCCTCTTTCTTGCTTTTTTCTCCCTCCCTCCCTTTTCTTTTTTCTTTTTTCTTTTCCTTTCTTTCTTTCTTTCTTTTCCTTTCTTTCTTTCTCTCTCTCCTTCCTTCCTTCCTTCCTTCCTTCCTTCCTTCCTTCCTTCCTTCCTTTTCTTCTTATTTCATACAATGACAATAAAGTTTATTATTATTATTACTATTATTATTCCTTTTCTTTTTCTCCTTCCTTCCTTCCTTCCTTCCTTTTCCCTCTCCTTCCTTCCTTCCTTCCCTATTTATTTGTCCCTTTTTTTCTTACTTTTCTTTTTATCTCTAAATGTTTTTCCTTTGCCAAAAAGTAAAATTATTTTTTAAAATTGAAAAGGCGATCCAGGCGTGCACTTGTAAAATTATCTGCCCATTTTGTCCCACCTGCCCTCCCTTCCCTGCAGGCATGGATGAGTTAATGGAAGTGTCTTTTTCACCTCTGGCTGCCACAGGGAAGCCCCTCTCCCGATGCGGCAAATGTCATCGTTTTATGAAATACATCCAGGTAAAAGAAAATCCTTAAGCCCACGTAAGGAAAGAGATCTGCGATGTGATATATTTTTATTTTAATGCAAAAAAGAGGGAAGAATCAAAAATACCTCTAATGGGGGAATGGATTATGAATGCCTTTGTAGAGCTGGCTAAAATGATTCATTTGATAAAGAGGGAGGTATTTTTATAAAAGGCTAAAATATCCTTTATGGACTTCTTCTATTTTTTCTTTTAACTAAAAATGGAATAAAAACGAACTGGTCATTTCAGGAACCTGATGGGAACCGGCTTCTCCAGAAGTTCTGAGCTTTGTGCTTGTTATTTTATTTTTTTTAGGCCAAGCCGAGCCGTCTTCACTGCTCGCACTGCGACGAGACCTACAGCCTCCCCCAGAACGGGACAATCAAACTGTACAAAGAGTTGCGATGCCCCCTGGATGATTTTGAGCTGGTGCTGTGGTCGTCTGGATCCAGGGGAAAGAGTTACCCACTCTGCCCTTATTGTTACAATAACCCTCCTTTTAGGGATATGAAGAAAGGTGAGACTTAGTAGGAGACAGAAACTATACAATCCTGGGTTTCTCAACCTCGCCCAGGTGAACACGGATGGATTTCACCTCCCAAAATTTGGGGAGTTGACGTCCACACACCTTAAAGCACGGGTGTCAAACTCACCGCGTCAGGTGACGTATTGGGATGTATTGCATTGCTGGAACGGGGGTCGGCGTGGCCTCCGCATGATGCAACCAGCCCGCGGGCCAGCAGTTTGACACCCCTGCCTTAAAGCATGCTGGCTGGAGAAGTCTGGGAGATGAAGCCCTCCCATCTTAAAGCATGCTGGCTGGGGAATTCTGGGAGATGAAGTCCTCCCATCTTAAAGCATGCTGGCTGGAGAATTCTGGGAGATGAAATCCTCCCATCTTAAAGCATGCTGGCTGGGGAATTCTGGGAGATGAAATCCTCCCATCTTAAAGCATGCTGGCTGGGGAATTCTGGGAATTGAAGTCCTCCCATCTTAAAGCATGCTGGCTGGGGAATTCTGGGAGATGAAGTCCTCCCATCTTAAAGCATGCTGGCTGGGGAATTCTGGGAGTCGAGGACTTCCTGCGTTTTGAAACCCAGCCTCTCTCCTTGCTTCCTCCCGCCTTCGCCAGGAATGGGCTGCAACGAATGCACCCACCCCAGCTGCCAGCACTCGCTCAACCTGCTTGGCATTGGCCAGTGTGTGGAGTGCGAAAGCGGGGTGCTGGTGCTGGACCCCATCTCCGGGCCCAAGTGGAAAATGGCCTGCAACAAATGCAACGTGGTCGTGCATTTCTTCGAAAACGCCCACAAGGTGCGCGTGTCGGCCGAGACCTGCGAGGCCTGCGACGCCGCGCTGGTGGACGTGGATTTCAACAAGGCCAAGTCGCCGCTCCCCGGCGGGGAGACCCAGCACGCCGGCTGCGTCTTCTGCGACCCGGTTTTCCAGGACCTGGTGGAGCTGAAGCACGCCGCCATGAAGCACCCCATGCACCGGGGCGGGCAAGGGAAAAGGCAGGGGCGAGGACGAGGGAAGGGCCGACGGCTCGGGGGGAGGCAGCCCCCCAAGAAGCCGAAAGACAAGATGGCGGCCCTGGCGGCTTATTTTGTATGATTGCCGTGGCGCGGGAAGCGTTTCGTAATACAATCCCGGAGGAAGCTGCTTTCCGTTCGTCTTCCTTGGTCTTATTTGATCCTAAATGGCCCTGATAACGTTACATAGTTCGGTAATGAAACGTCTGCAAGCCAATGACGAAGCTGGAGAGCAGAGGGTCCTCAAACGTGGCCCTTTTAGGACTTGTGGAATTCTGGGAGTTGAAGTCCACCAGTCACAAAAGGGCCACGTTTGAAGACCCTCTGCTGAAGAGGGTCCCAAGGACAGCGCAATTCCTAAATTTAGGGACCGTCTGCAGTTATGATGGTGAGGAAGAAGTAGTAACTGCAGCCGGTCCTCAGGTTTACGACCTTGGCAGGACTGCAAAGCAAAGGGAAGCCGAGAACAAGATTATAAGCACAGCCCTGGTTTCATTTAGCGATGGCTCTGCTTAGCGGCTGAGTTGCCAGTTGCTAAACTAGAACTGTCAGATCAGCAAAAATTCCCCCGAAATACGTTTCCGTGGTTTTGTGTGTGTGTGTGTGTGTAGAGAATTGTGCATTTTATTTTAGAAAAAACTTTTGCAGGGCGTTTAGATTAGATAACCTTTATTGTCATTTTTTTTCCCTGTGAGCACAGTGGCACCCGCTTAAAAAAAAGAAATTTAGTTGCTTCCTCTCCAAGTGTACACAAACATAACACATATTGAAAACATACTATATACAACATGTATAGTAAGTATATAGTATGTTTTGGTGCACCAGTGCGGCTTTTCCTTGCCTTGAACAAGGCAAGGTCCTTGCCAGCTGGTCCCCCCCCCTCAAAAGAGGAAAAGTTTTGCAAGGGGGGGATAGAGAATCGTGCCCCCCTTTTTGGGGGGTGGGTTTTTTTTTTTTTTGGCATTAAAGGACACTCCAGGAAGCCCTCTGGTCTCCCCTGTAAAACAAAAGGTTTTGCAGGAGGGGTTAGAGAAACATGCTTTTGGGGGGGCGTTAAAGGACACCTCCCTGCTTCCCCTCCCTTCAGAAAAAAAAACTTGCATGGCCTTTTCCTTGCCTTGAAGTCCCCCCTCCAAAGAGGAAAATTTTTGCAAAGGGGGGTAGAGAATCGGGCCTTTTTTCGGGGGGGGGGGGATTGGCATTAAAGGACGCCCCCAGAAAGCCCTCTGGCCTCCCCTCTAAAAGAAAATATTTTTGCACGGGGGGGGGTTTAAAGAAAAGTGCTTTGCTGGGGTTTTTTTTGGTTTTTTTTTTTTGCATTGAAGGACACCCCCGGGAAGCCCCCTGGCTGCTTCCCCCCCCCTTCAGAAAAAAAGAAAAAAAAACTTTTGCATGGCCTTTTCCTTGCCTTGCCCCCCCCCAAGAGGAAAATTTTTGCAAAGGGGGGTAGAGAATCGTGTCTTTTTTCGAGGGGGGGGTTGGCATTAAAGGACACCCCCAGAAAGCCCTCTGGCCTCCCCTCTAAAAGAAAATATTTTTGCACGGGGGGGGGTTTTAAAGAAACGTGCTTTGCTTGTTTGTTTGTTTTTTTGCATTGAAGGACACCCCCGGGAAGCCCCCTGGCTGCTTCCCCCCCTTCAGAAAAAAAGAAAAAAAAACTTTTGCATGGGCTTTTCCTTGCCTTGCCCCCCCTCCAAAGAGGAAAAGTTTTGCATGGGGGGGGAGAAGCTGGAGAAAGGGGGCTTTGGTGTCGCAAGCTGGGGGGGCGCCCTCCCCTTTCCCTTTTCCCCCCCTCCCCATTCGGAAAGGGGGGGGGCTTGCAGGAAGCCAGCCGGGCTGGGTCCACCCCAAGCAGCCCAGCCTCGCGGTGCAGCCCCGGGGAGGCGGCCGTTGGAAGCCGCCGGGCACCGCCTCTCCTCTTCCTCCTCCTTCGGCCATGGCTCGCCCGGCGGAGCGCGCTTGGCTGGCCGCCTTCCTGCGCGATTGGCCCGTCCCGCTGGGCCCCGCCGAGCCGCTGCCTTGGAGCGCTCCCACCGGCCCGCTCCGGGAGGACGAAGCGGCGGCCGAGCTGGCCGAGCGGGCTCGCGGCTTCCTGGGCAGGCGGTGAGCCCGGACACGCGTGGGGAGGGGGCCCGGCTGGCTCGGGAGCTTGGCTAAAGGAGGCGCGTGGGAGGCCACCCGCGTTCGCGGGGGGGGGGGGCGGGGGGAGGAGGAGGCATTCCGCGAGCCCCTCTCTCTTTCTGTATTTATTCTCCCCCCCCCTCGCTCCACGCGGGGTTTTGCAACGCAACCAGGGCCGGGGGGCCCTCGGGATTTTGCATTGACTCGCGTGGGAGGATTCGCGGTTTCTTTCTTTCTTTCTTTCTTTCTTTCTGCCTTCCCTCCTTCCTTCCCTCCCTCTCTCTCTCTTTCTTTCTTTCTTTCTTTCGTCCCTCCCTCCTTCCTTCCTTCCCTCCTTCCCTCCCTCCCTCCATATCTCTCTCTCTCTCTCTCTCTCTCTTTCTTTCTTTCTTTCTTTCTTTCTTTCTTTCTTTCGTCCTTCCTTCCCTCCCTCCCTCTCTTTCTTTCTTTCTTTCTTTCTTTCTTTCTTTCTTTCTTTCTTTCTTTCTTTCTTTCTTTCTTTCTTTCTTTCTTTCGTCCTTCCCTCCCTCCCTCCCTCTCTTTCTTTCTTTCTTTCGTCCCTCCCTCCCTCCCTCCCTCCTTCCTTTCTTCCTTCCCTTCCTTCTTTCCCTCCTTCCTTCCCTCCCTCCATATCTATCTATCTATCTATTTCTTTCTTTCTTTCTTTCTTGGGATTTTTTTTTCTTCTGGGTGGGTGGGCTGCTTTGGCTGAAGGGGGCGAATGGACTGGCTTTGGAGGTGGCAGCTGGGTGGGCCGGGGTAATTGGCCCCTGGGTTGGGTGTGTGGAGTATAGGAGATGTGGGGGGTTGTTGTCCCCACATGGTTTTCTAAAGGCTGCATTTGCCTGGAATCAATAGAAGAGGCTCTTTGTAGCTCAGGGTTGAACGGTGGGGTCCTGGGTGCTCTGTGAGCTGAGGGGTTCTCTTGCAGACCCAACTAGGGAACATCATCAGTGCTAGAAGGGAGGGGGGTTTGTGGAGAGGAGGAGGAGGAGGAGGAGGATGGGGTCCTTGGTCCTCTTTGAGCTTGGTGGTTTTCTTGCAGACATTTCATGACCCAACTAGGTAACATCATCAGTGCTACAAGGAGTGGGATTTGCAAGGAGGAGGAGGGGGGAGGAGGAAGAGGACTGTGGGATCTTTGGTGCTCTCTGAGTTTGGTGGTTTTCTTTCAGACGTTTCATGACCCAACTAGGTAACATCATCAGGGCTAGCTTTGCGTTGAATGCCTAACCCAGTTCCTCACTTCAAACCCTTCCAGAATCTCTGGTGTCAACTCAAGCGGTTCCTGCAATAACCTAAGAAGGAAAGTCACCTAACCCAGATTAATTCTAGCCAGGCTGATGGAGTTAGCCCTTCACTTAACGACCAGAATTTCCAAAGGGTTGTTAAGTGAGTCACGGCTGATTTTATGACCTTTTGACTAGACTTTGGGATGGTGGTGATTTACCTCCATCTTCCCCCCCATCTTCCCTCTGTGTGGTTTGTTTTGGTCAAAATGATGGAGAGTCTGGTTTAATATTTTGGGCATTTGTTGACAAGACGTCCTAACGGTTGGCCAGGATGCGCCAGGAAGTTTTTGTATTTTTTCTTTATGCAATCTTTTTCTTCTTTTGAACTGGCCTCAAAGTGTCCTTTCATGAAAGGAAGTCTGGAAGTAAACAGAACAATGGTTAGATAAATGCTTCTAAGCCAGAACCTTGAGCTCGGCTTCTGAATAGCTTTTTAGTTTTATCTCAGAGGTTCTTTCAAAGGCTAATCTTGAGGTTGATAAATCCACAGTCCTGGCTGGGAAACTGTTTTAATTCCATTGTGGACATTAGTGGAAAAGGCTGTTAATGTTGCAAGTTGGATGCTGTCTCTGATCTTACAGGACAGGAAGTCCTCAAGTTTATGACCACAGCAGGGCCCAAAATTTCCAATGTTAAGCCAGACAGTCGTTGTGAGTTTTACCCCATTTTACAACCTTACGGGCCACAACACTTAAAGAATCGCTGCCGGTGTTAAAGTTAGTAACAACGGTTGTTAAGTGAATCCAGCTGACTTTGCTTGTCAGAAAGTTGACGAAGGGGATCACCTGATCCCCAGACACTGCAGCTGTCATAACTATGAGTCCGTTGCCAAACGTCCGAATTTTGATCATAGGGACGCTGCAGAAGCCTGAAAAATGGCCGTAAGTCCCTTTTTTCAGTGCTGTTATTCATGGCCACTAAATGAACTATGTAAGTTGAGGACTTCCTGAAATTCTGTGTGTTGCTCATTCGGTTTAGTGGAGCCTGTTCTAAACGGTGAAGGATGTTGGCAGGTTGCTGTCATTTTGGCAAGGTTTACCCTTGAAAAGTGAAATATTTTGAGCAAGTCAAAACGTGTCTCGCATTTTCTAGTCCTCATGGAATGGAGAAATAAGCCCGCCTTGTAAACATAGCCAGGGGCTATGTTATATTTCTCCAGTATGGAGCCACGAAATTTTAACATTTTAATCTTTGTGTAGTCCTTCACTTACAACCCTCCATTTAGTGACCATTCCAAGTTACAACGGCACTGAAAAAATGACTTAGCGCCGTTTTTCACACTTAGGGCCTCTGCAGCATCGTGTGAACCAAATTCAGATGCTTGACAACTGACTCGTATTTATGACGGCTGCAGGGTCCTGGTGTCAGGTGATCCCCATTTGCGACCGTCTGACAAACAAAATTAATGGGAAAGCCAGATTCGTTTTATTAACTATAGCGAGAAAGGTCGTAAAACGAGGCAAAACTCACTTAAAAACCATCCTGCTTAACAACATAATTTTCAGGCTCAGCACAACTGAGTAAAGCTGTGCTTGAGAGTTGAGGACTACTATAGTTTTAGTAGTTTAATATATTTTAATTATGTTTTCCCATTTGTTGTACAAATCGATAAGCTGCCCGGCGTTGCAGCCTAAAAATTAAACGAACAAGACTGAATCCTTTCTGGGTTTCAACTGTGAAAAAAAATCAAACCCTTTTTAGTGCAATCTGCATGACTGAATATCACACCCGGGGTGTGTGTGTGTGTGTGAAATGTGTGTATTGTGGATTTTTTTTTTTTTTTAATCTTACGATGAGCCAGATAATTGTGATTCGCAAGGAAGTTACGTCTCCCCCACGCCAAAAGAGGCCGACGGGCTGCATCCGGTAGGAAATTTTGAAAGGAAAAAGGAAGCGATTTGTTTCCAGTTGTGGGGCAGAATACGGTTTATTTATTTATTTATTTTGAGAAAGGGAGAATAACAGGAAATTCCAAGAATTAGCTCAGCACCGAAAATAAGCCCCTTGCATTGTCTAGGAAAGAGGCGAACCGTTTCAAGCCGGGATATGTAAGAAGGTTAGAAAGTGAACGGATTGTTTGAAGCGGTCTGGACGAAATTGCTGCAAAATTGTGGTTGACAAGGCCTGTGGAGTTGATGTGGAGTTTGTAGGAGCTATAAGCCATAAAGAAGCCACGTTTGCTCTCGGTTTATATAAATCCCACTCCTTACTAACACTGATTAGGTAGCCTAGTTGGGTAATGAAACGTCTGCAAGGAAACAGCCAGGCTCAGAGGGTAGCGAGGACCCCCACAGTTGTCCTCCTCCTCTCCACAGCCCTCTCCCCCTTCTCACATGGATGGTGTTCCCTAGTTGGGTCATGAAATGTCTGCAAGCAAAGAGCCCTCTTTCCTCCCTTCCCCCTCCCTCTCCTCGTCTCTGCAAGCCCACTCCCCTCTATCACTGATGATAGATAAATTTCTGCAAGAAAACAATCAAAATCAGAGAGCACCAAGGATCCCAGAGTCCGTCCTTCCTTCCTTCCTTCCTTCCTTCCTTCCTTCCTTCCTTCCTTCCTTCCCTCCCTCCCTCCCTCCCTCCCTCCCTCCCTCCCTCCCTCCCTCCTCTCCATAAATTCCACTCCCCTCTATCACTGATGATGTGACCTAGTTGGGTCATGAAATTTCTGCAAGAAAACAATCAAAATCAGAGAGCACCAAGGACCCCACATTCCTCCTCCTCCTCCTCCTCCTCCTCCTCCTCCTCCTCCTCCTCCTCCTCCTCCTCCTCCCTGCAAACTCAACTCCCTTCTAGCACTGATGATGTTCCCTACGTGGATCATGGAACGTCTGCAAGAGGACCGACAAGCTCAGAGAACACCCAGGACCCCTCGTTTCAACCCTGAGCTACAAATAGTCTCCTTTATTGGACACTCTTTGTTCTCTCCACACGGCTCTTTCGCTCACCCCATCTTTTTCTTTTTCTTTTTGTAATTAGGGATGCACCCCCTCTTCTCGCCGCCTCCTTAATTCACGCCACAGTCCTCGGGACTCTGCAAAGTGACCTCAGTGATTTTAAAAAACAGAATGCAGAACAAGGTGACACTGGCGACGGCGGAACCTGTAAGTATTTGGGTGCTTCACAATTTCTTACAAAAGGCCCCTTATTTTGGCTCCGATGGCCTTTGTCTCTTTCTCCCTAATTAATTGAAAAACATCAAAAAGGGGTACATTGTGGTTTATGCAGGTCGTCCTTGACTTACAACAGTTCGTTTAGTGACCGTTTGAAGTTACGACGGCACTGGAAAAAGTGGCTTGGGACCGTGGCAGTATCTCCGTGGTCGCGTAATAATTTAATAATAATAATAATACCACCAAAACAACTGGAGCACCACTTGGACACCATCGGCATTGACAAATCCCCCCTTAGTCAATTGCAAAAGGCGGCCTTACTAGGAACTGCTTCCATCCTGCGACGAGATCTGTAATACCATCAAACATCCACATCTGCCTATCCCAGGTCCTTGGCAAGGACTTGATAGGTAGACAAAAATGCCAGATCCAGTCTGAACATCCGGCTGACTGTGCGATGATCCATAATAATAATAATAATAAAGTTGGAAGGGACCTTGGAGGTCATCTAGTCCAACCCCCTGCTCAGGCTGGAAACCGAACTTATATTCGGATGCTTGACAGCTGACTCCCATTTATGACAGTTGCGGTGTTCTGGGGACCAGCAGTGGGGAAGGCAGATTCGCTTTACGGCAAGGAAGGTCGTAAAACGGGGCAAAAGTCACTTAGCCATGTCCATTTTTGGTTCAGTTGCGGCCGTAAGAAGAGGACTATCTTGTAAAGCTCAGGTGGAAGATAAGCAGGTGGGGCCCTGAAGGTTTCCAAATAACGTGTCTCAGTGAAATCCTTTCTAATTCAACCGCAGGGCTGGAAGCTGCCCCTTTGCAGTGCCGTTTCTTTAACAAACTCTTGGATATTTGCGGCGAGTGGCAGAAAGAGCTTCCAGCCTTGAAGCCGGCTAAGCGCTACCTTCAGATTTCGATCCACGCGACTCGTAACACTCGACGGAAGATGGAAGACAGGCACGTTTCCCTTCCGGAGTTTAACCAGCTGTTTGGCCTGGAGGTGAGTTTCTGGAAGCTACAGAGAAGAGGCGGACAGAAATGGCCCTCCGTGATCACGCTCACGTATTCTGGATTTGCAATTTCGGACTTTAGGGGTCCCCCATGCTCTCTGAGCTTGCTTGTTTTCTTGCAGACGTTTCGTTGTCCAACTAGGTAACATCATCAGTACACTGAGGGTGGTTTGGTAATGAAATCTCCGCAGGAAAAGCTCGGAGAGCACCAAGGGCCTCACAGTCCTTTCTTCCTTCCTTCTTCCCTCCCTTTTTATTCCTTTTCTTTCCACAAACTTCACTGCCTTCTAGCACTGATGATGTTACCTAGTTGGGTCATGAAACATCTGCAAGAAAACCACCAAGCTCAGAGAGCACCAAAGATCCATAGTCACTCTCGTTCTCCTCCTCCTCCTCCTCCTCCTCCTCCTCCTCCTCCTCCTCTTTCCACAAACTTCACCCCCTTCTAGCACTGATGATGTTAACTAGTTGGGTCATGAAACATCTGCAAGAAAACCACCAAGCTCAGAGAGCACCAAAGATCCATAGTCATCGTCGTCGTCGTCGTCCTCCTCCTCTTCTCCCTCCTCCTCCTCCTCCTCTCCTCAATACCCACTCTCTTTTAACACTGAATTACAGATCTTCTCTTCTGTCTCCACTCCTTCCTTATCCTTGCCCCATTTAACCACCTCTGATGGGCTTTGCTGTTGGAAAACATCTGGGTGGGGCTGAGACACACCTTTCGTTTCTCTCCAAAAGAAGCTACTTCTTTTAAGCTTTTGTGTTTGTCTTCTGTCTTGACTCCTCCTGGCCAACGAAAGGACGGCGTCGATCGGGCCTACTTTGCTGTCTACGATGGGCACGGAGGCATCGAGGCCGCCAACTATGCTGCCACCCATTTGCATTTCAACCTGGCCCATCACAAGAAGCTCCTGGACAGCCCAGCAGAAGCCCTGAGAGATGCCTTCCAGAAGACGGACGAGATGTTCCTCTCGAGAGCCAGGAGGGAGGTGCGTGGCGGCGGAGGGGGGGAGGGACGAAGGGTTCGTTGCCGAAGGAGGACGTGTAAAAGTGAGGGGACGAGTTTGGAGAGAGGTCGTAAATCGTTTAGTGACCGTTCAAAGTTACAACAAAGCCAGCTGGGTGACTTTTGGGCAATCACCAGGAGACTGGGAGTTCTAGTCACGCCTTAGGTATGAAAACCAGCTGGGTGACATTGAGCCAATCACCAGGAGACTGGGAGTTCTAGTCCCACCTTAGGCATGAAAAGCAGCTGGGTGACTTTTGGGCAATGAGCAGGAGACTGGGAATTCTAGTCCCACCTTAGGTATGAAAAGCAGCTGGGTGACTTTTGGGCAATGAGCAGGAGACTGGGAGTTCTAGTCCCGCTTTAGGCATGAAAAGCAACTGGGTGACTTTTGGGCAATGAGCAGGAGACTGGGAGTTCTAGTCCCGCTTTAGGTATGAGAACCAGCTGGGTAACTTTTGGGCAATCACCAGGAGACCTAGTCCCACCTTAGGTATGAAAACCAGCTGGGTGACATTGGGCCAATCACCAAGAGACTGGGAGTTCTAGACCCGGGTTAGGTATGAGAATCAACTGGGTGACTTTAGCCAGTCCCTCTCTCTCAGCCCAACCCACCTCACAGCATTGTGGGAAAAATAGGAGGAGGACAGTGTGTTGGATATGTTTACCACTTTGAGATATTTGTAAAAATAATCAAGGCGGGGACACAAACTGTCTTTTGCTTAACCACAAAAATTCTAGTCTGAAATTTTTGTAAGTTGAGGACTATTTAAGGACTATTTCTAAGGGATTAGAAAACAGTTGGCCGTGGTTAGCCTCAATCTCGTGTCTGCAGTCGCGAGAAAAAAGATCAGGTTTCAGGAACTGCTGTAAAAGTTTTTCTTTATTAATGGATTTGGAGCGTGCTTTGCGTGTTTTATACACCAGCCTAATGGCAGATGTGGTTTTGCGCATGCAGGAAGTACGATTTTTGTCACAGTTTCGCTATTAGCCATCACAGATCTGTGATTATTCAGCTGAAACAGAACTCACCCCAGTAACAAAGACCTTTTTGTTTTCTTTAAAAAAAGAAAAAAAAAAGCTTGGTTTTTGTACCAGTTCCCCCGTGCTTTGCTCAATTTTAAAACCGGAAGCTTAGGAGGAAAATTGTCATACCTAAAACGGGCCTTGTGCAGAGGCTGAAATGAAAACCCCAGGAAAAAAGGTCATGTCCCTTTTTTCAGTACCGCCGTAACAACGCGCAGTCGCTAAACGAACTTTTATAAGTCAAGAACCAGCTGTATCCTTTAGCAGAATATTAATAGAAGACCTGTCTTTGCCGTGTGGTTAACCAACAGGTGTGACTTTTTCTCTTGTGTTGTATTTCAGCCTTTGGGGGGGGGGAGGAAATAACTTTTCACGCTTTTTCAAAACTTGTCTACAGAAGCTGCGGAGCGGCACCACGGGTGTATCTTGTTTCCTTGTGGACGACAAACTACATATAGCCTGGCTGGGGGACTCGCAAGTGATGCTGGTCCAACAAGGAAAAGTTATAACTCTGATGGAACCTCACAAACCAGAACGAGAGGTAACTTGCCCTGTAGTTGTTCACAATTTATGTTTATTTTGGCTCACCTTGGTATAAAAACAATGATTGACCTATTTTGGAAGATCCTCCATTGTCCCAAAAGCGGATTTCTTTCCCTATTGTTGATTTATTTTTTTAATCGAAGAATAATAGACTTGGAAGGACCTTGTGTGTGTTTCCTTGCCTTTACAGGACGAGCGACAACGCATAGAAGATTTAGGGGGTTGCATAACATACATGGACTGTTGGCGTGTTAATGGCACTCTGGCTGTTTCCAGAGCTATTGGTAAGCGTGTTTTCTAAAGCTAGTTGGACAATATGCATAGGTGATCCTCAGCTGAACCAAAATTGAGCTCAAATCTATTATTCTATTCTATTCTATTCTATTCCTATTCCATTCCATTCCATATTCTATTCCATATTCTATTCCATATTCTATTCCATATTCTATTCTATCCCATCCCATCCCATCCCATCCCATCTCCGTTCCATTCACCAGGCTGCCTCTTTTTCATATTCACAGAAATACTGGCATCTCACAAAACTTTGGCTGCCACTGAGACGCTCCCATTAAAAATTGTTCCGTGCGGTGCATTGCCATAGTAACTCAAACCTGACAGTGCCCATTAAAGAATAAAGTTCGTGCTGTTCACTCCCAAAGCATCTGCAGTGATATTTTTAATATTTTCAATAGACGCCCAGAAGTGCGCGTTAATATTCAAGGCAACCGGTTCTTCCTGCTCGCTCAGATTATTAGGTGTGCAAATAGCCCTTGATATATGACAGCAACACAGTTTTTCAGTGAGTTTTGCCCCATTTTATGACCTTTCCTGCCACAGTTAACGAGTACCACTGCTGTTCTTCAATTAGCAACACAGTCGTTAAGCGAATACGGCTTCCCCCATTGACTTTGCCAAGCGTCTGAATTTTGATCACGGGGATGCTACAGTGAAAAACAAGTCATAAGTCACTTTTTTCAGTACTGTTGTCACTTCGGTCACTAAATGAATCGAGAACTGTCTGTGTTTATCTCCAGTTTCTTGTTTTGTTTTTTTTTTACAGGGGATCTCCTGCAAAAACCTTACATCTCCGGCTGCGCGGATGGCGCATCCTTTGAGCTGACGGGGACGGAGGATTACATCCTCCTTGCCTGCGATGGGTTCTTCGATGCCATCCAGCCGGTCGAGGTAGTGGACCACGTCTTGGAGCACTTAACGCGAAACCACGGAGATGGCCTTCAGACGGCGGAGAAGCTGGTGGCCGCGGCAAAAGAAAGCGGTTCCACTGACAACATCACTGTCCTGGTGCTGTTCCTCCGTGAGCCAAAGGACATCGTCGCCGACTGTCTCAGAGACCCCAAACCCTGCCCTGTGGAGGATGGCAAACAGAGTTCCCTGTTCAGCTTCTTCAGCTCCGGTGCCAACCACTGAAAGGGCGTCAACTCCAAAAGCAACATCTGCAACGCGGTCGAACTCCAAATCATCCAGTGGGTCAGCAAGTTTTTAAGATTAGCTCTTCCATGTTTGAAAAAAAAACCAAAGATGGCGCCTAGAATGAAGGCCTCGATTTGACCTTGAAGAGAAAACCCATCCAGCGTGTCCCTTAACCCATGGGTGGTATAACGTCAGACTCTACAGCTGGAGAAAGGGTAGGGCAGGAGCGCCAAGCTTCTCTTGGAGGCATCGTCAGGAAGAGAAAGGGTAGACTTAACTTTCTGGCTGACTTGGTTTTCCGCGGTCAAGGGACGGGGCTTGAACGGAGAAGGTGTCAGTCAGGCTGAAGTGATAATATAGCTCAAGCTTATCGTAAAAACAGAGTTCAGATGGGCTGGAGGAGTTGAAGGCCTTGCTTCTTGAGAAGTTCCAATGTGTGTTCACCTCTTATGGTGTAGGGTTTCCTGCTTGAGCAGGGTTGCTGGACTAGAATAGGGGTCTTCCAACTTGACCCTTTGATGACTTGTGGACTTCAAGTCCCAGAATTCCTCAGCCAGCATATGCTGGCTGAGGAATTCTGGGAGTTGAAGTCCACAAGTCATCAAAGGGCCAAGTTGGAAGACCCCTGGACTAGAAGATCTCCAAGGGCCCAGCTCTTGTGATTCTGTTGTTTTAATTGAGGAGGCGCCATTGGAAATTACTTAAATCGCGTTCAGCTGAAAGGGGGCTGTGTTGGGGGGGTCTTTTGGAAATTAACCGTTGAAGAAGCTATGGCTTATTTCCGCAGAGAAATTCAGTATTAAGTTCAGGATTGGGGTGTCAACCGTCTCGTTCTGTTGGTGCTCTTGTATACCAAACAAAACATTAGCCAAGAAGGTCAGCGACGAGATTTTAGAAAATGGAAGTAGAAGGAAGTGATAAGAATCTACTGCTCCTCTTCCCAATCTCCAATTATTTAATATATCAAACCTGCTTCAAACTCATATATGGTCATACAGTATCCATAAGCTAAGCTGAGGTAACCTAAGTTGCGGTTTAAATTGCCAAACATGGGGTTTATTTTTCTTGTGTAATTGTCATCTGTGTCATTTATTTATTTATTTAACTGTTTTATTATTTCCCTACTGGTCTGTATCTTTAGCTTTTTTTTTAAAAAAAAAACAATTATCCCAGAGGACTTATTTCAGGGGTCTTCAAACATGGCCCTTTTTTGACTTGTGGACTTCAACCCCCAGAATTCCTCAACCAACATGGGGGAACTATGGCCCCTTCATGACTTGCGGACTTCAACTCCCAGAATTCCTGAGCCAGCATGGGGGAACTATGGCCCCTTCGTGACTTGCGGACTTCAACTCCCAGAATTCCTCAGCGTTGAAGTCCACAAGTCATAAAACGGCCACGTTTGAAGACCCCTGGTTTATTTGAATCACTTTTTTAGATGTGCATGTTTACTATTATTTAATCACTGGCATTTCGAAACGGGCAGCTGTCAGATGTCATTTGCCTGCTGACGAAGGAGTAGGAGAAAGGTAGTCCTTGACTTACGACCACAATTCAGCCCAAACTTTCTGTCGCTAAGCGAGACATTTGTGAACCTTCCTTTCCACAGTTATTAACTGAATCACTGCAGCTGCTAAATCAGGAACACGGTCGCTCAGTGAAACTGGCTAGCCCACTGACTTTGCTTGCCAGAAGGTCACAAAATGGGATCACACGATCCCAGAAAATTGCAACCGTCATAAATCTGAGTCAGCTGCCAAACATCTGGATTTTGATCATGTTATCTTGGGAATGCTGCAATGATATGAAGAACGAACGGTGGCAGGAACTGGGTATGTTTAGTTTACTGGAAAGAAGGACTAGGGGTGACATGATAGCAGTGTTCCAATATTTGAGGGGCTGCCCCAAAGAAGAGAGGGTTAACTTGAAGGCTGGACGAGAAGCAACGGATGGAAACTAATGAAGGAGAAAAGCAACCTAGAACTTAGGAGAAACTTCCTAACAGTTAGGAGAACAATTAAATCAGTGGAACGACTTGCCTCCAGAAGTTGTGTGTGCTTCAACACTGGAAGTTTTAAAGAAGAGATTGGACAACCCTTTGTCTGAAATGGTTGAGGATCTCCTGCTTGAGCGGAGGGCTGGACTAGAAGACCTCAAAGGCCCTTTCCAAGTCTTGTTATTCTCTGAAGAGTAAAAGAAAGGATTTGGATTGATTTTGGGTGGGGTGCTTAGTTGCTGGATTTTCCCGGCATCGTTTCTCCTCCTTGGCAGGTAACCGTCTGCCTTGTACACCTGCTGCTATAGTGGAATGTTCCCCAGGCTGCTGGGACTTAACAGACCTTGACAGGATGAATGGCTTGATTGTTTGATCAGGAACTGGCAGCTGGGATGGTTAATTACAGCATCAGGTTGAATAATTGACACTTGATAGATCTCAAAAGTGGGACGGCCTGTTCTGTCTTCTCCTTTTTGAATGCGCTGCCAGAGCGATTGGAGTCTTTTATTATAAAAGATTTGCAGAAGAGCCTCCGTCAGAATGGACTTTGGCCTTGAGTTGGTCTTCTGAAGCTGATGCTTTCAATCCGTTAGAACAATGTTGGTTTCTGTCCTACAAGCCCAGGGAGATGACGGACGAGTCATCTCCAGACTTGGAGGAGAGAAAAGTAGAAAGGACGTTTTGAGAACTGCAGCCTTGTTGCATCCCACCGATCACGTTACATAATGATAATATTTAGGAAATGTATATTAAACTTCCTGCTTTGGAAAGACAGAAGTATATAAGCTAGCACGGCAGGGCTCGGCACCCATCTTCTGTGCCACAAAACCCATCATTCTGCGCCTCGAAAGACGGATAACCCTGCCTTTTAGAAACTGCTCTGTTTGTAAAGGAGAAGAAGCAACAGATGGAAACTAATCCAGGAGAGAAGCAACCTGGAACGAAGGAGGAATTTCCTGACAGAACAATTCATCAGTGGAACGGCTTGCTTTCAGAAGCTGTGGTTGTTCCATCACTGGAGGTTTTTAAGAAGAGACTGGACAGGCATTTGTCTGAAATGGTATAGGGTTTCGTGCCTGAGCAAGGGGTTGGACTAGAAGACCTCCAAGGTCCCTTCCAACTTTGTTATTCTGTTATTTAATTAACGATGGGCTGGGCATTGAAGGGAAGCAATATGTCTTAATGCATGAAACAAGGGCTGTTTTGCCATAGGCCTTTTTTTTTTTTAAATGCATGTCTTTTCAACGCCAAGGACTAGAAACTTGCTTTTTTAAAAAAAACAAAGAATAACAGACCAGATTCTCAGGAGATAACATAAATTGATCATTTCACACTATGTTTCCATAACTGCAAGAGGACAAAAAGGCAAGCGAGACGGATCTGTCTTCTGAAAGTCACCAGAAAAATCAAGCTCAGCGTGGGGACTTGACTTTAAATGCAGGTAGTTCTCGACTTAACGAAATTTCGAGCCCCAAATTTCTGTTGATGAAGCGAGACGTTTGTTAAGCGAGTTTTGCCCCATTTTACGACCTTTTTTTGCCACAGTCGTTAAGGAGATCACGGCGGTTGATAAGCTAGCCACACCCGTAGACTTTGCTCATCGGAAGATTGTAAAAGTTGATCCCGTGATCCTGGGTCATCTGCAATCATCATAAATCTGAGCCAATGGCCAAGCATCTGAATTTTGATCACATGACCCTAGGGTGCTGCAATGGTCATAAGTGTGAAAAAGTCATATGTCGCTTTTTTTTTAGTGCTGTTGTAACTCAGAACGGCCACGAAACAAACCTGCAAGTCAAAGATTACCTGTATAATGGTGCCTAGATCCTTTGTTTATGTCCATCGATATGTTTTCTGCCTTTGAGTCAAACCAGAGACCAACCAATAGCTGTGATTAATCACATCTTTGCATCAAGCCATTTATATCCAGCATTTGGCATATATTATATAACTCCAGAAGTACAGGCAGTCATGTTCTATTTCTGTAACCACGTCTACTGTTTTTTTTATTTTTTATTTTTTTAAAAAAAAAAACTTGTCGGTATTAACCACTTTGAGCATTTAAAAAAAGGAAAACCACCCTATAGCTTTATCATAGTCACGAATTAAAAGCCGTCTCTGTCTCTTCCGTTGTTCAGCTTGATCTTGAAAGGAATAACACAAGTTGCGATGCTATTCGCTAAGGCACGTTTTAACATTTAAAACCAATTGTTTTATTTATTTTAGAGACGGTCCTGGTATCAACAATCTGGATTAGAGCGAGATTTTTTAGAGACGGAATTTTGGCCAGCTAATTTGAGGAGTTTTCATTTTGCAGGAAAAAAGATTTGTGCATTAACTGTAGCTTGGATTTGAATAATATGCTTTATGCAGCTGTTATCATACTGTATGTGTGTACGGCCCTTTCCTTTCCTTCTCCCTCCCTCCCTCCCTCCCTCCCTCCCTCCCTCCCTCCCTCCCTCTCTCTCTCTCTCTCTCTCTCTCTCTCTCTCTTTTTCTAGTGTGGCTCATATACATCCTGCAATATTTATGCTGAAATTGACTGAATTTGCTTGAAAAGGTGTGGGTTCATATTTTCTTCTCAATATTTACAGAGGGCCTCACATCCCTTTTTGTGTAAGCGGTGGGGAGGGGCAGACCCCCTGCTTGTTGCTAAGTATTAATAAAGAACCACAAATTTCATTTGAAGCTTTCTTCACTTTGTTGATGGAGATAGAGGCTGCAAAATCTGAACAGTGTTTTCCCCGCAAGGCTGCTGCAAGGTTTAAAATTCAGTTTCCCTCTCCTCCGGTTGTCACTTCAGCAAGCCTGCCTTCTCGACAAATTGTCAAAACATTTCATCCCGACAAAGGAAACAACAGCAGAACGACAATGTGTTTAATACCCTGGGCTTGTTTGCCTGCAGCTGGATTCCTTGGGCAACTAGATTCAGCTCCATTGTCTTACAGTGCCACAATCTCTCTCTCTCTCTCTCACACACACACACACACAACCCTTTTCCAGTAGAAGCATATGAGAAGGCATAATATCCTTGCACTTAAGTCTGAGGAGAATTCTGGAAAGGTTGTTCTCTGGCTGTTCGCAACACAAATTTACGTGTGAGTAACTCTGCTCTTGACTCGGAAGGACCCGTGGTAATTTATTCTTCCATTACCTGAAGCTGCTATGTTGCAAATAGCTCATATTGAAAAACTGTGTGTATGTGTGAGAGAGAGAGAGAAGAGAGAGAGGGAGAAAGAGATGGGAAGAGAGAGAGAGGAAGAGATGGAGAGAGAAAGAAGACAGGAAGAAACAAAGAGACAAGACAGAGATGAAGAGAGAGGAAGAGATGGAGAGAGAAAGAAGACAGGAAGAGAAAGACGGGAGAGAGGAAGAGACGGAGAAAGAAAAGACAGGAAGAGAGGAAGAGATGGAGAAAGGAAGAGGGAGATGGAGAAATGGAGAGAGACGACAGGAAGAGATGAAGGGAGAGGAAGAGATGGAGAGAGAAAGAAGACAGGAAGAGACAAAGATAAGATGGATGAAGAGATGGAGAGAAGACAGGAAGAGATGGAGAGAAGAGATGAGGGAAGAGGAAGAGATGGAGAGGGAGAGAAGACAGACGAAGAAGGGAGAGGAAGAGATGGAGAGAGAAGACAGGAAGAGGTGAAGAGAGGGAAAAGAGGAAGAGACATGAGAGGAAGAGATGGAGAGAGAAAGAAGACAGGAAGAGACAAAGAGACAAGACACTAAATAAACTGTTGTTAAGTTGAGGATTACCTATATTTACTCAGATTTATTTTCTAGGGTTCACTGTAGAGACCCACTGTGACATCAGTTTTAACCACCATGGATAGGAAGGGGGGCATTTTTCAGTTAAGTTGAAAAGATGCTGCTTTGAAGTTTCTTGCAGACTTGCAGATAAGCTGTAAAATATCAAGGAAAATCAGGCATTGAAAGCTTTTTGTTAAATTTGGGCAGTGGGTTTTGTAAAAAGACCTTGGTTATTTTCTTGCAGACATTTCACCATCCAAGTAGGTAACATCATCCATGCTAACAGGGAATGGGGGTTTTGCTCTCCGCTAACTTATTCCTATTCTGAGCATCTTTTAGAACAGGGCTAGTTTTTAGGATTCAGATTTAAGCCAAGAAAAGATGGGGAAAATCTTTTTTTTTTTTTTTTAAACCAGAAATCTTAAACTTGCCATTCGGGTCAGAACGTAACCCAAGGGCAGAACCATTTTAACCACATCCCACATTTAATTATGGCCCATGCATCGAACTCCATTCACACCTAATGGGGTTTACACGTGCTTTAATAACACACGAAGTCATCGGCCATCTGTTCTTCCCCCTCCTTGTGAAAAACCGATTATGTAAAGAAGGAGAGGAAAAATATTTTTGTTGCAAAGCAACATTGTCATCTGTGATTTCGCTGGATGTTCCTGAGCTATTTTATTTTATTTTATTTTCACGCGGAGAACATGGGAGAAGAAACGGTTTCACCGTGTTCTTCCATGTGGCTCGTGAAGCTGTCATAAAGAAACAGGTGTTTGGCCCATTGCGGGCGTTTAAATCCGTTCAGATTTTAAAGACTGGAGTGTTTCATCGCTCGCTTTGGATGGCCATGTAATAAAAAAGTCAGGGAGCAGTGGGACTCCAGTCCAGGGAATCTGGAAGAAGCAAAAGGAATTACAGATCTTAGGTCAAAATGTTTGGAAATGGGGCGCTGAGCACCCCAAAATTAGCAAGTCAAGAAGAACTAAACGTGCTTTTCTTTTTTTGCCCTAAACTGCCTTACTTTAAATTTTAGAGAAAGAGACTTTAAAGACAAACCTGTGAAATAGTGATTCCTATATAAGATTTGGAATAGGTTCATATATGTCTTGAATTGGAGTTGTCCAATCCCTTTTTCAAGAGGCAACTAGACTTTCTTTGTTTTTCTTTGAAGACGTTTCGCTTCTTATTCCAGAAGCTTCTTCTGCGCTGACTGGATGGTGGGGAAGGGAAAGATTTATACTCCTTGCAGAGAACTGGTCATTTGCATCCTTAATTTAGAGGGTCCTTGAGGCCACTTGGAGGCTTACCTGTGTCCTGAGTAGTCCAAATGTGTATGGAACCTCCATTTGCATTCTCTAAAACAGTGGTTCTCAACCTGTGGGTCGGGACCCCATTTGGGGTCAAACGACCATTTCATAGGGGTCACCAAACAAGGCTGTCCGCCATTTTCCCCCCCTTTTCTTTGGCCACGCCCCTGGCACCCGGTGATGTATAAGTGGTTGGGGGTCACCACAACATGGGGAACTGTATTATGGGGTCGCAGCATTAGAAAGGTTGAGAACCACTGCTCTAAAAGAATGCAAATGACCAGCTGTCTGCAAGGAGTATATATCCTTCCACTCCCCACCATCCAGTCAGAGCTGAAGAAGCTTCTTGGATGAGAAGTGAAACGTCTTCAAAGAAAAATAAGAAAGTCCAGTTGCTTCCTGAAAAATGCACCTTTGGGACAACCCTGACCTGGAGCACTTGAGAATCTCCATGGACATTGACCAGTTGCTTAATAAGTTCAAATTTATGACCGATCTCTCCCACTCTGACCAGCAGCGAGGGGCATGAACTCCATTGTGGTGGTGACGGGTACGTTGTTTGGAAACCTCGAAAGACAGGTTGGAGAACATCCATGGTGTTGCTTAGAGTTGGCCCTGACCTGAGGGCACCCAGTCAGCCAATCTGAAGACCAAGTTTCCTTGAGAAGTCCATCATGCTGAGAGAGGTGGAAGAGAAGAGAAGAAGAGGATGACCAAGAACAAGATGAATGGACTCAATTGTGGTAGTGGGTGACGAGTACATGATTTGAAAGAGACTTGAAAGACCAGGTTGGAGAAAATTGGCGTGGTGGCTAAGAGCAGACGTTGACTTGAGGGCATGAACCACTGCATCAGCTCTCTTCAGATGTCCATTATGCTGGGCATGGTGGAAAGGAGAAGAGGACAATCGGGGATAAGATGGATGGACTCATGTACAAGAACGATGAGGGCACCATTGGAAGAGCTGAAGGACCAGGTTGGAAATCGCTCATCATGGAGAAACTCTTATTTATGTGGAGTCAAAAACAAGTTTATGGGACATAATCAAGCTATCTCTCTCCCAGCTTGAGCTACCTGACAGGGTTGTTGTGATAAAATTGGAAGAGCAAGCACTGGATATATTAAGACCTGCGGGAATAAATTTAAAATATAAATTTAAAATGTGTATAAATATAAATTTAAAATTTACAGGCAGCTTTAATTACAATTTGTAAACAAAGGAGGGGATCTACAGCCTTGCCTCTACTAATTTTTTCATCTTGTAAGACGCCCAGAATTTGTAAGAGAGATGCATTAATAAATGCATTAATAAATCAATTATTTTTTTTATATTTAACCTGTTTATTTTTTATGCTGCCCACCTCCCATACAAATAAAGAACAATGTTGTTAAATAAAAATACGTGTAACAAAATATATTTAACATAAGAAATTAACACGTTAAATATATAAAAAAATGATTTATTAAAAAATGTGTTAACAAAATATATTTAACAGAAGAAATTAACACGTTAAATATATATAAAAATGAATTTATTAATGCATTGCTTGGAGCGGGGGCTGGCTGGAGAACAGCCTGCTTCTTTTTTTAAAAAATAAAAAATAAAATTCTTATGCCGAAAAAATATTTTTATCAACTCTGCAGAAGCCTTGCCCTCTTGGGGTAATATCAAATGCTTCAAAAATGGACCTCTGGGACTTTGTTTTTCGAGCAGCACCAGCGCAAGGACCACATTTACAGAAAAGCAAAAATCATGCAATTTCGGAGGTAGAATTAAGAAATAAAATTGCAAGGACTGGGGGGGGGGGAAATGAAAGGGAAACCACGTGATTTACAGATTATTTTCTCTCCCCCCCACCTTTTCTTCCTGCAAAACCCCGCCTCCGTGGCCACGCCCCCTCGCTTCCACGTCCGCCGCTGCTTTGCCCAGGCCACGCCCCTCGGGCTGCGGCACCCTCCGTCCCGACGGTGAGGTTAGGCTTCGCACGCGCCCCGCCAATCCGTAAACTCCTCCCCTCGCGCGCGCGGGCGCGCCACGCCTCTCCCCGCAGCCGAACCAATGGCAGAGCGCGGGCCCGGCCCGCTTCTCCCACCCCCCTCAGGCGAGTGCGCGTGCGCTGTCGGCAAGGGCTAGGCCCCGCCCTGCTTCCCTCAGCCGCCTGCCTCAGAGGGCGGCTGGCGGGGTTGCGCGGCGGCCGCGGTTTGTTCGGTGTGTGCGTCGCCTCCCTCCGGCAGCCCTTCTTCTTTCGCCTCGCCCGGCCGAAGCGAGCCGCGGAGGGCGGAGGGCGACTTCCCGCCTCCTTTCGTTCTGCTCGGCCGCCGATCGGTGCCCCCCCCTTCTCCCCTCAGCCTCGCCTCCCCTCACGGAGAACAACATGGCGGCGGTGTCGGGGGCCGGCGCGGGCAGCTGTGGGAGCCCTGCCGGGGTTCCGGAGATGGTGCGCGGGCAGGTCTTCGACGTGGGGCCTCGCTACACCAACCTCTCCTATATCGGGGAAGGGGCTTACGGGATGGTCTGGTAAGCAGGGCCCTCGCTTGCCCCGGCAGGGGATGATGGGGATGGGGGTCCGGCAGCAGGCGGGGGAGAAGCTGGCTGGGGGGGGCGGTTGCTCTGCAGACAGGTGGGACGGCTACTCCCATCGCTGCCTTTCCCAACTGGTGGTGGATGATAGGAATGGTGGTCCAGACGGGGAGAAATGTCCCATCGTTGTCCCAGCCTTTCCCCATCTGGTAGTGCATGATGGGAATCTAGGTTAAGGTTGGGTGTGTTGCTTTCCAGACAGACTGGAGAGCCTTGCTGTCCTGGTGGTGGATGATGGGGATGGTGGTCCAGACGGGGAAATGGGGAACCGTCCAGATAGCTTGGACCACAACTCCCATTGTTGTCCCAGTCTTTCCCCATCTGGTAGTGGCTGATGGGAATCTAGGTTAAGGTTGGGTATGTTGCTTTCCAGACGAACTGGACAGCCTTTCTGTCTTAGCGGTGCATGATGGGGATGATGGTCCAGCAGAGGATGAGTGGGGAGCCCTTTGCGCTCCACCTTCCAGACACATTGGACCACAACTCCCATCGCTTTCCCAGCCTTCTCTTGCTAGTAGTGGATGCTGGGATTGTAAGGTTGAGACTGGGTGGGTGCATAGCCCCCATTGCTGACCCAGGGACCTAAGAACCTTTCTCTTCTAGTGATGGATGATGGGCATAGTGGTCCAGGCAGGGGGAAGGGTGGAAAGCCCTGTGTTCCACCTTCCAGACAGATTGGATCACAATTCCCATTGCTGTCCCAGCCTCGCTGGTGATGGATGATGCCAATCTAGATTGCGAGCTGTGCATATGCTGCCTTGCAGACACGTCAGACCACAAGGGCGATCACTACCCCAAGGATCAGAGAGCCTTCCTATGTTGCCAGTGGATAATGGGGATGGTGATCCAGGCTGAGGAGAGGTTGGAGGCTGTGAGTGCTGCCTTCCAGATGGATTGGACCTCAACTTGGTGGTGGTAGATGATGATAAGAGTCCTAAGGCTGCTCCACCTTCTCATATTTTAAATGACAAGGGCAATGGCAATCCACACCATCTTCAAGGGATCCAAGCTTCTTTGTGGGGCTGTAACCCATCTGCACAAACTGACTTGTGGATGCCGCAGCCTTTTTAATTGCAACCTGCTCTCCTGTGCACTGGTTTTCGTTTCATTCTGCATCTCACACAGGAGCAAAAGGCAGCCTAGACACAGCTCCCCACTCTGCAATAACCCAGTGAGGTGGGCTGGGCCGAGAAAGAAAAAACATCTGGCCCCGAGTCACCCCAAGAATTTTCATGGCTGAGTCTGCAACAAGGTCCTTCTGTTCAAAAGTCCCCACTTTCACTGCCACATCAGGCTAATGTTCTGTTCTTGTTGGCCAAGATGCTCTACCTCAAGTGCAAATGCAGTTGGGTGCCTGGATTGCATTTAAAACCTGTCAGGGATGAAGTCGAGAGCTTGGAGATTCTGCAGAGCAATCCTGGGCATTTTTATTTGGGAATGAAACCTCTTAACTCCTGCTTAAAATATCCTTAAGATTGCAGCCTTGTCTGTTTAAAAAAACAACACATTTTCCTCTGCCTATTCTCCTTCAACGAGGCATTTGGGGTGCCTCGTAATGAGGTGTGTGTTGATGTATATCGTGATTTATTTGTTTTAAGCAGTCACTGTTTTGTTTTTTCTCTGAGTTCTCATTATTTTCCAAAGGAATTGATATCTGAAATTTCATTATGCCGTTTATGTACCAGGAAAACATGTCTTATATTTTACTTGTGGCAGATTCCTTGGGGAAGCATTGTTTTTAGGCAGTCGTAACCTAAAATAATGCGTCTTGTCTTGGGAAGCACATATTTCAAATTCTCATTTTGATCCCATGTATATTTTCCTGAAATTTAATGAGACTTTGCTGCCACGAATAAAATATAATGCCTGTTACTGGTATTATCACAGCTATAATGATCTAAGTTATTATCTCCTTTACCGGATTACTTAATAAAGCACCCACATGCCCAAGTTTATTTGCCTGCTGTAGTTTCAGCGAATCACTTTATACAATCTAAATAGTGACATTTAATGCCAGATATTAATTATTAACCATACTGTTCACTGCAAGCGTGACACTGAGTATGGGTCTGTATAAGTGTGCCTGTATCCATATTGAAATTGAATGCATGCCAGGTATTATTTAATACAGGGGTCCCCAACTTTTTGGGCACCAGGGACCGGTTACGTGGAGAGAAGTTTTTCTGTGGACTGGAGGGTGTGTGGTTTTGTTTGCCAACTGCACCCTGCAGATGGGCCTTTGCTTGTTTATGTGGCCCCGGTACCGGTCCACAGACTGGGGGTTGGGGACCCCTGATTTAATACATTTTATATGTGAGTTTTCTGGGGAGTCCAGAAAGATACCAGAAGAACATCTGATCCCTCACTGCATACTCAGCTAGGGGGGCTGGGGGGGCTGGAAGCAAAGGCCGAGAGTTCAGCTGTTCTTAAGTCTATTGTTGCTCATGGGGTGTTAGCTCTTGTTTCTCTGCTGGTACCCCTTCATGCTGTATTTCCAAATGGCTGTTTGCCATGGCTGCGCTTGATGAAATCAAACGAGATTTACAGTAGGAGACTAGGCCAAATATGAAAAGTGGCAATGTATTTTTATAGGGGTTTCGATGGATAGTGTGTTGTATCTTATGTAATTTTAAAAAATTGGGTGCCGAGAGCAAGGAACAGCGCCTTCTCTAGTTATTAAGAGTCAGCAAGGGGGCAAGCGATATTACAGGCTTGTGTTGTGAAGGCTTTGTGCTTAACACAGCTGGTGTTGCTTCTTTTCAACTGACATTCTGCAGTGTTCCTCTGTTTTGGGTCTCCTGCGTTGTGTAGACTAGCCAGTCTGAAGTGTTGTGTGGACTAGCTGCTCAGTCAAGTGCCTTGCCCTCACAGGGTGCAAGATCTATCACACCAATATCAATTCAGAGGGATAGGCAGGAAAGCGTTCTGTTCATAGCGTGTGCAAAGCGTACTTTAAGATCTTTTTAGTTAATTATTTTCCTCTTGAAAAACACTGTTCAGCTCTTAGCCTTTTTTTTTTTTTAATCAATGCAAGCTGGCATAAGTGCTCAGATCTTCCACTGGGGAATTGCCTTTTTCCGATCCAGCATAATGAGCTAGATGATAGTTCATTTTAAAAATTCTAATATCTTTATACTTAACAGCTGTTTGACTACTTGACCAATCCATGGATAGGTTTGTCTTAATCAAGTAATAGAAATTTTGAAGAAAATACAGTATTAATCAGCTAGTTGAAAGAACTGTGATTCTATTCTATTATGCAAACAAAACTTTGTAGCGTAGGTTTTGTGCTTCATGTCTGTGAAAACTGTTTCTGAGATGTAGTTTAAAATCTGAAGCATAGGTATGTGGCAATCAGCTGTGACTGTTAACTGATGCTAAGACAGGAATTTAAGAAAAGTTCTGTGTATGCAGATTAGTGAGAAGTTAAGACAGCCACGATTTATATACTTTTAAGCAGGTTATAAGTATATCAGCATCCTGATTCTGAGTCAAGTTATTAATGCTTTCATTTCATGAAAAAGTGTTCAGAATCGTCTGAGGCCTTGCGCTAACGAGGTTGTGGTTGCTAAAACATAGTGACCAAAGGTTCCGCTTACCCAGATTCCTATCCGTGTTTGTATGTCCGCTTCAATGTCAAATGATCATGCTAGTCAGGCAGATTAAAAAGATTTCACTAAATCTGGAAAACGCTGCTTGTTTCGATACCAAATTGATCCTCTGGGTTTCTCTAATTTCTTACACACACCGTTTCATTCTATTACCGTGGCTGGATTCATCTAACATTGCAAAGCCAGAATGCTTTTTTTCTTTCTTTCTTAGCCTGTTATGCAAACCCAATCACTCGTGGTCGTGGTTAAACAAATCATGGCTTAATAGGAAGAAATGCAGCCTTTGATTATTGTTCCTTTCACTTTTGGCAAAATCTGCCAGGCTCAGCCCTTGGATTGTTATCTTTTCCAACTGCTGAAGCTTTAATCTGTATTTTTTTTTTCTTCTGTATCTCTGCATAGTTGTGGCACGTTGCCATTTACCTGTTCTCCTTTCAATTTACACGCTAGCCCTCCTGTGGCTTATTCCCTTTCTTTCTCTCTCTTTCATTCCATTCCTGGGCAATTCAGCATTCATGTTTTTGAACCATCTGCTTCTAGTTTTCTCTGGCACTGATTTTTATATACACACATACATACTTTGGCGAACCATATTCTGATATTCAACCCTAATCACTTTTCATGAACCCCTTCTATTCTGGCTTCTTGTAGCCCTTTTTTGTAGCTTGGTCACCATTTCATTTTGTCCTTCCTTGGATGTCTGTTTTTTTTTTCAAGGTGCGGTGTACTGATTCTGCAGTCATCTTTAATATGTTATTTCTCCTGTCACTTCTGCCCACGCTTTGGGGCTTGTAACTTAGGAACATAGGAAACTGCCGTCTCTGGGTCCTCTTGCAGAAAATACCAAGCCATAATTCTTAAGAATCCTGACCTAACATTCACAAACGAGCATGCCAGCGTTCTCTACTTGATTTTTCAAACTCATCTTGGGTTTTTTTTTTGGGGGGGGGGGGTTGGTCAAGTAGGTAACGCTGAATGTTTTAGGATTGAAAAAGCTTAATGTTGCATCTGAACACGAATCTCACCTTATCCCTCGACCAACAAGATATAATGTGTAGCTAGAATGCGAAGTTGGCAGCTACCTACTTCATTTAAAGAAGGAATTGGCAGGTAATTCCAGCTCTTTTATTATGATGAGTTCTTCCTACCTGCAGGAAGAGTGAAGTGGAAGCATGCAGCCTTGAAAATAATCAGTCAGATTTTGAAACATTAATGTTTATTTACGAGTGTGGCCACTGAAATAATACAATAGTATCAAGACTTCTGTCTTTAACTCATCCCTTTCTTTAGCTCTGGACTCAAGAGATGCATAATTACTGCTCATCCCTCTGTTTGCAAAAGCTGAGAATCCCGAGCTGCTGATTTTCTTTCAAAGAAATTTGACTGAAGCTGCCCATTGTAAATTCATGTTTCTTTTTCCTCTGTTACATTCCAGACATGGTCTGGTCTACGCTTGCTCTAATAATAGTTGTTTCTTTGTCCTCTTTCTGCTAAAGCCTATACTTGTTCCACCTCTGCTCTCAGTTTATGCTCTGAGTTTGTTTTTGTTTTGTTCTTTTCTCTCTCTAAGAATAAAGGTGGTGACGAGTGCTTCTCGCAGGCTATCCTATTTCCTATTAGGTAAAGTGATGGAAATATATTCTTTTTAAACTTTTCAGTAGCCTAGAAGACAGCACAAACCCATCCCTCACAAGTAGCCATCATAGACATAGAATTCGGACTTGCCATACGGGATCCATTCTTACTATTATGAAGAATTAAAACATGCCAGTAGAATTCTTCCCATTCCTAGAGCGGTCTTCCTGAAGTTGAGCACTCAACAGGTGCGTTTGACCAACTCTCGCAAAAGGCTCTTGAAATAATCCTCAGAATATGCTAAAAAGAGCTTTACGTTTTTCAACCCTTCTCTCTCTCGGTGAATAGGCAAATCATAAATTGTGGAACAAGGATGGCCATTTTACCTGTGATTCTGAGAAAGTTGTGATCCTGAACGTTGAAAATCACTTGTGGCCTTGACAAAGGTGCGCTGGCAAGCCAGTGATTTGTTGCCCAGTGGAAAAAAAAAAAAGAAGGAACTTATCTCCTAACACGTCAAACAGATTGTACTCTGATCTTTGATCTAGGTTATACCTTTGGCCGCGTTTCCAAGGAATTCTGGGAATCAGGTCCCTGTACGCTGGAGAGTATCTGATTGAGGAAGTTTATAAAACATTAACTTCTTTGATTGTTGAGACCCACCCAGAGTCAATGAGAGTTGGGCAACATGCAAGTTCAATTATTATCCCCTTCCCCTTCATCAGCAATATAAAAAGTAATTATTCTTAGGTGTCAGCCTTTTATTTCACTTCAGTGTGTGATCTACCTGTTTTGCACACACATGTACATCTAAAGCTCTTGTTTCCTACTAACTTTCTTTAGCTTTTGATGTCGGGTTTCTTATTCTTTTAGTTTTCTCTTCCAGGTTATTGTATCACTTATAAAACCGTTATTAGACAGTTCTCCGAAACTCATCCTTTTAATTTGGTTAACTTCATGGGGAAATATTCTTTCTCTCTAAAGAGTAAAAGTGGAAGATAAAAGCAGGCTGGACTTAATCCTTCCTGAATTCCTCCAGGGTTAAATTGGCTGCAAGGGTTGTTTTTTTTTTTCCTTTGCAGAAGTTTTGTTTACTTAAAGCATTTTTAACCTCTGTAATCAGGAAGATTGTCTGAAAACTCACAAAACTCCTGGTAAAGAGAGTGCCTGGCTCCAGACTTATATCTGTAATGTGTGACACAGGAGGAAAAAGCAATCTGATTTACAGTTGTTATCCTGGTTATCTAGAAATAGTTCATTTAGCCTGTTTGAATAGCTCCTGCTGAATGAACCCTGGTGGGAAGAACAGAGACTGAGAATCTCAGCCAAATTTGGCTTAAATTCCTTTTCATCTTCTACATTATCGGAATGGCTCTGTTAGACTATAGGAGTTGCCTTTCTGTTGAAAACCGAATTGGTAAGCATTCTATTATTAGGCTTGAAATCTGGAGTGAAATTTAAACTAAATTAAGTGTGGTCGCCAAGCAACGGCAAGAACTGGGTCGACAAGCAATAATCTTGCTCATCTTCTAAGGACACATTCCTTTAACTGTTCAAGATTCGAATAAGCTTACATATTAGTGTTTGCCAGTGTTGAAAAACCACCAGAGCAGGAAAAAAAAAAGTGCCATTGTCAACAGCACGAGAAAGGAAAAACGGGTGGCGGGATTTAATGTATTCAAATCCACAGGAAAAATCCCACTTGTTTATTTTTATCCTTTGCTAAATGGTAGCACTTTTTACCTCTTTACCATTGTATCCCATAATAGCTGTATGTTTACAGAGCTGGGCAACCCTGTTGGCAGCAGAGCTAAATTATCTGAAGCTTTGCAGTAGGAGTTAAAAGTGAATATTTCTGTGTGCTTGATTCAGTTACATGTGCTGAACATGATGGGGTGGTCCAGATTCGTCTGCTCTTCTTCCTCCTAACAGCCCCTCTGCCCTAAAAATAGTGAATGGGTGTCCTGATTTGGAGGACCCCCAGTCCTCTCTCAGTCCCTAGACCACAACCCACCCCTTCAACAAGACGCTACAAACTCTCTCTGAAATTAGGCAAGACCATTAGGAAAAGAAATGGGTGGATAGCTTGCTCTTTGCAGCCTCAGGGTCTATAAAACTGGAGCCTGTTTTTTTTTTTTTTTAAACAACATTTCTTTTGGGACCAACAATTTCTATCTCCTATATTGCTGAGAAAGAAGCAACACAAGAAGGAACTCCATAATCAATATGGGAAAAGATTTAAAGAGGAAACGGGTGCTCTGTAGCTTTGTGGTCATTAGCATCAAAGGAAGCTTTTAATGTTAACTTTAAAGCTTTTAAAGTTAACCCAAAGGGGGTTGAAGACAAGGTGGAGATTCTGCTAAATTATTTAAGGATGTCTCTTGTTTTACCGATTGTCGAGTTTATTTTATCACCTTTTTTTTTTCTCTCTCTTCCAGTTCAGCCTATGATAATTTGAACAGAGTTCGGGTGGCGATAAAGAAAATCAGCCCTTTTGAACACCAGACTTACTGTCAAAGAACCCTAAGAGAGATCAAAATCCTGTTGCGTTTCAAGCATGAAAATATTATTGGAATCAATGACATCATTCGGGCTCCAACTATTGATCAAATGAAAGATGTGTATCCTTTAAAAACCCCACGTTCTTCTGTTCTCCTTGCCATCATCTTTTCTTCTTTGCATTAAAGTAAAATTAATTATTCTGGTTATTATTATGTGCATTGGCAGTGCATATATCTCTATTCATAAACAACACAGAAATGTTGTCGTTGTTTCTGCACAGAAGTACAATTTTAAACATCTGGGAAGCGCAGCCAAATTACATATCCGATATAAAACATTTGTTAGTTTTATTGCCTTAATTCAGCTTTCAGCTACATTGTGCAAGATCTCATGGAAACGGATCTCTACAAACTCTTAAAAACTCAACATCTCAGCAATGATCACATTTGTTATTTCCTTTATCAAATTCTGAGGGGACTGAAATACATCCATTCAGCCAATGTATTGCACAGGGACCTCAAACCATCCAACTTGTTGCTAAACACTACTTGTGATCTCAAGGTTTGTATTTAGCTTTTTGGAAATAGCTCAAGTAATTACAAAATCACATAGTTGGAAGGGGGACTGTGGAGGTCCTAGTCCAGCCCCCTGCTCAAGCAGGAGACCCTATACCATTTCAGACAAATGGTTGTCCAGTCTCTTTTTGAAAGCCTCCAGTGATGGAGGACCCACAATTTCTGGTGGCAAGCTGTTCCACTGGTTAATTGTTCTCACTGTCAGGAAATTCCTCCTTAGTTCTAGGTTGCTTCTCTCCTTGGTTAGTTTCCATCCATTGTTTCTTGTCTTGGTTTCTGGAGCTTTGGGAAATAGGTTGACCCCCTCTTCTTTGTGGCAGCCCCTCAAATATTGGAATACTGCTATCTCTGAAGCCTTTTCTCCTCGTGGACTATATCTCCCTAAAGTTTACCATACCTTTTTTAAAAAGAATTTTGCTGTCTTGAAAGCGAAACAAAACAAAAACTCTACTCTTTCTAAAAAAAAACCCCTTTCTTCTATCCCATAATAGATATGTGACTTTGGTTTGGCTCGTGTGGCAGACCCAGATCATGACCACACTGGCTTCCTAACAGAATACGTAGCTACGCGTTGGTACAGAGCTCCTGAAATTATGTTGAATTCTAAGGTGAGAGTTGAAATGTTTTGTGTTTAATATTATAGCAGAGTCACTTGATCCAGTTCAGTCAATCAGTTTTGTTTTTATTCCTCCTGGAAATCATTTTAGTCCTATATAACTGAACGAGCCTAGTATGTATAAAATATTACTTTAACTTTGCTGACCGTAAAAAAGGTTCTTCCTGTTTTATAAACAGTATTTTTTTTCTAGAATATTGTCCTGTGTTTTTTTTTCTGTGTAATCTCATAGCTTGGGTAACATGTATATTTTCCATTTGAGGTTGTTATTAAATACCTACTCCTGGATTCAAAGGAATTGAACTTTAAGTATAGTAGTTTATGGAGTCTTATTTTTTATAATGCAATTGTAATGTTTCAAGAAATCTTAAGTGTAGAGACTAAAACATTCTCAAATGGTAGAAGTAGTGACATGTGCTAGAAAATGATCGTATTTTAGAACTCCAGAACTATAAAATACACATTACAGCAAATGTTTTTTCTTCCATTTTATCTCTAGGGTTATACCAAATCTATTGATATTTGGTCTGTAGGCTGTATTCTGGCAGAGATGCTATCAAACAGACCCATCTTCCCAGGAAAACATTACCTTGATCAGCTCAACCACATTCTTGGTAATATTTTTTTTCTTTTTACATATAAATAATACAGGCAAAAGACTTTTAACATGCCTAATTGATGTTTCTTCCTTTTTCTTTGTTTACTTGTTGAAACTGGAAACTTGAGCAAACAATAGTAAATTTAAGTTGCCTATATTCGCCAGACAGATCTACTTTATTTTTGCACTAATTTGTCTTCCTTTTTTTTCTTCTTCATGTTGTAGGAATTCTTGGGTCTCCTTCCCAAGAAGACTTGAACTGTATAATCAACGCGAAAGCGAGAAATTATTTGCTTTCTCTACCATATAAAAATAAGGTTCCCTGGAACAGATTATTTCCAAATGCTGATCCCAAAGGTAATTTAAAAGAATGAGATTCTTTTTTATGCTGCTGATAGGGTGGAGGGAGAGAGGCATTCTTTGTAGTGCACATGGACATAAATTAGGGAAACAGGAAAAAGCAGCAGAAAAAAAAATGTTATTAGTTATCCTGTTAAGCAGAATTAAAAGCAGCTGACAGAATTCTCATGCCAGTCCATAGTTCTAAAAACATTCTTAATAAATGTTTTTATTGTAGGTGAAGTCCTGCTTGGAGTAGCACCCACCTTTTGTGGTGGTTGTGTGAAATTATTTTCGCATCCCGGGGTGGCGGTGGGGAATTAAACGTCACTGAACCCTCTATATAGGGTGGACACTGGGATGAGTAGAACGCAAGCACAGCTAATTCTAAAAATTGTCTCTCTAGCTCTTGATCTGTTGGATAAAATGTTGACTTTCAACCCTCACAAGAGAATTGAAGTGGAAGAAGCTTTGGCTCACCCCTACCTAGAACAATATTACGATCCCAGTGATGAGGTAGGGACGCTGTGGTATGGCTGTTTGACAGTATGTGTTGTTAGTTGCGAAGTCGTGTCTGACCCATCGCGACCCCATGGACAACGTTCCTCCAGGCCTTCCTGTCCTCTACCATCTTCTGGAGTCCATTTAAGCTCACACCTACTGCTTCAGGGACTCCATCCAGCCACCTCATCCTCTGTCGTCCCCTTCTTCTCTTGCCCTCCATCTTTCCCAGCATCAGGCTCTTCTCCAGTGAGTCCTTCCTTCTCATTAGGGGGCCAAAGTACTTGAGTTTCAACTTCAGGATCTGGCCTTCTAAAGAGCAGTCGGGGTTGATCTCCTCTAGGACTGACCGGTTGGATCGCCTTGCAGTCCAGGGGACTCGCAGGAGTCTTCTCCAGCACCAGAGTTCAAAGGCCTCCATTCTTTGGCCTTTCTCAGCCTTTCTTAGGGTCCAACTTTCACAGCCATACATTGCAACTGGGAAAACCATGGCCTTGACAGTATAGAAATAGGTTAATGCAACGCTTTGAATAGGGCTGGCAGCCAGACAGGCCAGTAAGTACTTATAGCTCAAATCCTGTTTTATATATTCATACCGATAGTCCTCAACTTACAACTGTCTATGGAGATTCTCAGTCATCCAGGTCCTGGTTGTCCCAAAGGTGCTTTTTATATTCCTTGCAGTCATTTGCACCCTGGTTCAGGTGATCCTGAGGGCACAGATAAACCTCCCGGTGGCCTTGAAGACCCTCAGAGAGAGTGCTAACGACCAGATGATTGCAAAGGAATAGAAATCCTTCCATCCTCCACCCTTCAGTCAGAACTAAAGAAACTTCTTGGCGGAGAAGCAAAACATCTTCAAGGGAAAAAAAGTCCATCTGCCTTGTAAAAAAGCACCTATGGGGCAGCTTACAAGCATTTGTTGAGTCACTGCTCGAAGTTATAACCGTACTAAAAAAAAAAAAGACAACTGGTCCTTGCACTTATGACTGTCACATCATCCCTGAGGTCACCTGACGGAATCTCGGGTGCTTGGCCTTTGCAAAGGTTACAGGATCATGGGGTCACAGGATCTCCATTTGCGGCCTGGTCTTTAACGACCTCGTGGCTGACTTAACAACTGCAGTGATTCATGGTCGAAAAGGCTGTAAAATCATGTGTGACCCATATAACAACCCCCTTAGCAATGGGAATTCTGATCCTGATTGCGGTTGTAAGTTGAGGACTTAAAAGTTTAGCCATTTAATGAGGGTCTCAGTTATAATTTCTGACGCTGTAAGACTTATTTGCTTTCAAGATAAATGTCTGTAAGAGCGGAACCACACTTTAGGTCAAAAATAGCTCTTCTGCCACATGAACACGGTAGTTATACTAATTTTTTTTCCTTGGTGTATATCAATAAATATGTGAGAAAATCTGAATCTTGCCAGCTCTCCAAACCATCCCTTAATAAATGTAACCAAGTAAAATTTCCGTAACTGCATTTTGGTAGACATGACTATCAATGCAGGTAATTGCAGCATGCGTTATTTTCTAAGATTCATATTCTAATTTTGACCACCAAGTCTTCTGAGCATCTTTACAACATTCAAAAAGTCGACAACTTCCCAATTTCACCTATTCCTTTTGTGCTTCAATATCATTCCTATTTCTGACGGGCTGTTCTTTGTTTATTTTTTTTAAAGCCTGTCGCTGAAGCGCCTTTCAAATTTGATATGGAGCTGGACGACTTGCCGAAGGAAAAACTGAAAGAACTAATCTTTGAGGAAACTGCTAGATTCCAGCCAGGATACAGATCCTAAACGGCATAAGGGTACATCTAGTGTTTTAATCTAACTATGTAAAACAGACGCTTCTTTTGTATTGAACGCAATCATTTGATATCTGTTAAATTGTTAGATATTATCACAGTTAAGACTTGTCGATCATTTCCCAACAGGTTTTGAAAAATTACTCAGGAACACGTGGAATAGCCCCATGTGGCTATTCCAAAATTCACATAAAATATCTGAAAGGATTCAGAAAAACAAAAGTAACGGACTTCAGTTACTTTTTTGAAAATGCCTACTGATTAAACCCCCCCCCCTTCTCACACAGGGTAATGTAGTCTTCCTTAATAAAGCAAGGATAATTTGCTGTTTTTGTCCAGTACTCAATACATACACCCAGAAGACAGCACCTGTAGTATTTTGCATAGCAAAAGCTGAAATATCAAACTTTTTGCTTTAAATAAATAAATAAAAAATGCTTTGTGGGTCTGCCTTCAGAAGCCAAGTTAAGCTTCCCTGAATGTATTGTCACTTTTTATGTATAAGTTGTAAGCCACCCGGAATCTCTCAACAATGAGATGGCAGCATACAAATTTAATAAATATATAAGGTTCACTGCTAGAGGTATATTCTGGTCAGCTTCTGCAGATAACCCTGTGTTATTTTTAGTCTCAGATACATTGTATAAATAGTCGTCGACTTAAAACAGTTTGTTTAATGACCATCTGAAGTTAACAGTGGCACTACAAAAACTGACTTGCATCCTGTGCAGTATCCCCATGGTCACTATCTTAACAACTGCAGGGATTTCCTTAACAAAATGTGGCAAGAAAAAATGGCAAAATGGGGCCAAACCCAACTGGAGAAATGCTTCGTTTAGCAACAGAAATGTTGAGATCGTAAGTCGAGGATGACCTGTACGGCGTGATCTCTTTGTACTCTGTCTGTGTATGCTCCATTTTTCACTAAAACGTTCCCCCTTTGTCTTTTTTTTCTTTTCTTCCGTAGGATAAAGGAATTTAAGGGCTGGGCACACTCTCCGTAGACGTTCTCTTCCTGGTTCTTTCTTTACGGTCATATGACGTGGCCTCCTTCAGTTTATCCACTAACATTTCAAGCCATTCAGGGAGACCATTTCTATGGTAGTCCTGGCTTTCTATATGTCTTCAACTGATTATTTATGCCTGAAGAATCGTTACCAATACTCCTGCGTGTAAAACCTACCCTCCTGGTCTTTTGCAGGTACTGTCTTTCTCTTATCAACACACACCACCCCTAGATGACAACCATGGGTTTAAACCACGTCCCTTTCTGGTTTGAAAGATGCAGTGTTGGTCTCTGATCTTTAGGAGAGCAGACGATTTTATACTTTATAATCCTTTTCGTTTTCTAGATTTTTGTAACGGCGTTTTGAGAGAGAGAAAAAATAATAATTAAGGAACATTGAGGGCACTTTAAGTCGAGGGCATTCGCCAGAACTTTTTGCACTTCTTTAAGCTTGCCATGTTGACTGGCATGCACAGTACGAGAGGACAGATCCAAGCATACACTGTATTTATACTTTCAACTCCCTCATTCCTACCCTGGGGCATAAATTAAGGCAGGTCACTTCAACGCTGAGACGTTTTGGCAAACGATGCAGGAGGAGAAAAAAAACCCCATGGCCCTTCTTTCTCCCACTTTAAGAGGTCATGGTACTTGTGCAATCTTAACTTTAAATGGTACACCTGATTTCTAATGCCACCTTTACAAGATGCATCTGCTTACCTAGAAGCTGGTCTCGTTATTTCAGCCGGACTTAGAGCTTCAATTGGTTTCAACGCAGCAAAAATAGCTTAGAACGAAATCTGGTATTTGATGGGTTTCTTTCCTGGAAATGCATCCAGGGGGTAATATGTATTAGCAGAGAAACATTTGTGGATACTGTTAAACTCCACCCAAATAATGAAGAATCCTCACTTGGTACCTTTCTTTTAAATGCATGTGGTGGGCTCTGAAAAAAAAAAAAAAAGGAACACTGCATCTTTAAAATAAGAAAGTGAGAACAACCTATTTCTTTAGCATGTTAGCATTTCGCGTTTATTTCCTGTAACGTTCCCCCTTTTCCCAAAGGCTTTCAGAATTTATAGCTCTGGACCTCTTGTTCAGTCAGCTGATGTAAGTTGCGTAATCGGGAACGCTGACCCAGGCCCACAAAATGAACCTGCCACTTGTTTCATCAATACTCTGCCTTTTTTTTTTTTTTTAATGATAGCTCTTCAAGTATTTGTTTCTGAAACTGTACAGTGTGGAATTTACTAGATGTTATGTTCCAGTGCGGTGCCTCATTGACAACTTTTTTCCCCACTGCTGTGTGGTGAGAAATGTTAACCTTGTTTTAAAATGATGACTGTGTCCTCGCATGACTGTTAAAAGCTTTCTGTGCACAGATGATTGTCTTAAGTGCCACATAGCTGGAGCTGAAACAAAAAAAAAAGTTACCTCTAATTACGCTCAATGAAATTCTCCCCAGCAAAGAGAACGTTTCATTGGGAGAATAAGTGTGTTTTTAGCTGTTCCATCTTTTTTGCTCTGTTGTGTTTTTGGTAGCAGTGCCCTTGTTATGAATCAAAATTTTAAAACTCTGTTTTGTATATTTACCTTTTCTTTTTCAAATAATTTTGTTTGCCTTCTGAAGAACGTTTTGATGGGAGTCTTGCTATTTTAGTCTTGGGATGACTTGCATTTAATTTTACTTCCTGCAAGAGTGAGAAAGTCTTTGGGGTGGATTCTTGGCGGGCCAGTCATTGTATATATATGCTGAAATGAATAATATTTTTTTTCTGTTAAGGAAGTAATGTGGCATTATGGTTCTCAGCTTGATTCACAGTTAAATAATTCATTTCTCTGGTCCAAATTTCCATTGAGCTCAGTGAGACTGTTGGTTAGGAAATTAGAATTATAGTTTTGGTCACTTTAAGTGCATCCAAAGTTGCATAAGGTGTATATCAAAGTTTATATTACGTGTTTACAGATGACAACATTTTACATTCATGCATAAGCAATCAGCCTGCTAAACCAAACTTAATAAATGTGTGTCTCTGAAAGTTGCTTTCTGTAAACTGTCATGGAATCAGCAAAAAGCATATATTGAGAATATTGTTGGAAAAGGTTTGACTGGCCCCAGGTTCTCTGCAACTTCCTATGGCTGTTCAGACCTGTCCTAGATCTGTTTTTAATTTTTTTTTAAACGGTTTACCATAATGACAGCAGTTGTTGAGCTGTTCTTGGGGCTCAGCTCACATCCTTATTGCAACATTAATTTGGTGATTTTAGACTGTTACAACAAGTCTCTAGAGTGAAACAACCCAGCAGTTTTTGTTACAAGAACTGAAAGTTTTATTGACTTTGTTTATTATGTTTTGTACTATCCTCTTCACCTGCAGTTTACAATTGGGCAAAGGAAGCTACAGACAAAACATACTAAAATCTGCTTTGAGATGTTCTTTCTCTCTGTCAATTGACTTCTGTTCTTTCTCTCTGTCAATTGACTAACTGTTCATTAAAAGCAGATCTTTTGACAGAATAGAATGTCTTTTTTAAAGAAATGCTTCTATCGGTACAGTTATAATACATTATTTCTTATGCCATATTTAATAGAAATTACATTATCGATAAAGAATATGCAATCATCTTCATGACTGTTCAAAAAGCTTTGATATATGGAAATAGGGAATGTAGCGATATATTGGACCTAATATGAATTGAATGGACGTCTGCTGCCATTTACAAAATACTTTGGATAACGTGTTTGAGACTATGCAGATCAATTTGGCAAAATGGAAGACCCTTTGATGCAGATCCTTCATGGAATTCCACCAGCCACATGATATATAAGCAGTCCAAACCTAGTTTTAAAAGTAACCCCCCTTAAACAGATTTGAGAACACAATTCCCAGAGTTCCTTGCAACTATGTTAGCCCTTTTAGGAGTTCTTGTTGTACCGCAGTGTCAGGAATATGGCTGGGTGTATCTTAATTCAGGGGTCTCCAAACCTGGCAATTTTAAGACCTGTGGATTTCAACTCCCAGAATTCTCCAGTCAAGCAATTCTGGGAGTTGAAGTCCACGAATCTTAAAAGTTCCCAAGTTTGAGAACGTTGCCGTAACTGGTTATGATTGATTGTGCTTTAGTAATGGAAAGCAGTATGTAAAACAAGTGGAACCTCTAACTGGCGGTATATTCCCCCAAACGGTTTTGCGGAAATACTTCTCATCCCCTGCTAATTTTAGAGCCTAAATGTTGGAACTTTGAGATATATGCACACCTTGTATATTGCCCGCAAACTATAGCACATCCCTATATCAGGCACTTTGCTATAGCATACTCGGATCACTGCAAGGAACCACAGGGATATTTTCAATCTCTTAAGGCTAAATTGGTTCCTGCGGATGAAATGAGCTCAGGTGGGGCAGACCTAAGATAATACTTCCAGCCAACCATGTTTTGAGGTAATTCTCAGTTCAACAGCAAGTTTAGCATCAAAGGTTCATGTTTACGCCTCAAAGGAAGTTCGGCTTTAGATTTTGAGGAAGCATTTTTTCCGAGAATTACAAAACGTTACGGGAGTTGTCCCCAGCTCTTTGGTTTGTCGTCTCTCGAAATCCTCCATCCAGCTAGCTTGTTGCCAAGAATCTGAAGAGCACCCAGGTTAGGGAAGTTGGGATTGAATTACTGAAGCCTTGAAGAAGACCCATCATCATGTCAAGTTTGGACAAAAACTGGAAGAAACGGTACCCTCTGAGAACACGCAAAGGTTGCGACAAGTCGGTTGACTCTTTTTGCCTTTTCTCGTGGCGTGTCAGTGTATAACGCACTCCTAAGGAAATAACGTTGCGCTTTTATATCGCTTTGTACTGTTGGTGCCTTAGTCATGTATCCCAGGCCGCCTGCATAGCTAGTTTTAATGAATGGTTAATTTAAAAAATCCAGAAATGAAAAACAGAATTTTATAAAGGGTTTCCTGTTATGTTACCCGACGACACAAAACATTTCTTATCGTGTGACAAAATTTGTGATTTGGTTCTTATGCTATGTATAGAATTATTGTAAGTAGAAAAAGTTTATATTTTTTTGTCTTACTTCTGTTGTAAGCGTATGTGCTTTTTTTTTTTTTTAAAGAAAAAAAATGGAACAGTTAATGTCTTGTTAGTACATGCCATCAGATACTTGTAAAAACAAATGTGAAGGAACTCATTAAATTTGATCCTGGATTACTAAAGCAACAAAGTAGCTGTGGATATTTGGAATGACAAAGAAGCTTTTTTCAAAAGGCGTTTAACTTATAGCGCACACATTGTCTACAATACAGGTAGTCCTCAACTTACGACCTCAATTGAGCCCAGCGTTTCTGGTGCTAAGCAAGACAGTTAAGTGTGTTTTGCCCCATTTTACGACCTTTTTTGCCAGGCTTGTTAAGTGAATCACTGCAGTTGTTAAGTTAGTAACACAATTGTGAAATGAATCTGGCTTCTCCCATTGACTTTTCTCGTCAGACGGTTCGCAAAAGGGGATCACTACGATTCTGGGACATTGCAACCGTCGTACATATGAACTGGTTGCCAAGCATCCAAATTTTGATCAAATGTCCATGGGGATGGTGCAGTGGTTGTAAGTGTGAGAAACAGACCTAAGTCACTTTTTTCAAGGGGAAAAGACTTCGGAGATAGCAGCGTTCCAGTATTTGAGGGGCTGCTGCCAAAAAGAAGAGGGGGTCAAACTATTCTCCAAAGCACCAGAAGGCAGGACAAGAAGCAATGTTTGGAAACTGACCAAAGAGAGAAGCAACCTGGAATTAAGGAGAAACTTTCTAAGTGAGGACAATTAACCAGTGGAACAGCTTGCCTCCAGAAATTGTGGGCCCTCCATCATTGGAAATTTTTAAGAAGAGACTGGACAGTCATTTGTCTGAAATGGCATAGGTTCTGTTTGACTACGGGGCTAGACTGGAAGACCTCCAAGGTCCCTTTCAACTTCTATTCTGATTTTAGGAATTTTCAAACTTCATTATCACTTTGGGAGTTTCTGCTGCAAAGGTTGTTTTGTGTTGCTATTTAGAGGATTGGTTGTGCTCAGAGAAGAATCAAAATTAATATTCCAAAGAATTAATTACGGTAGGAGACAGAGTTTCCTAAAAAATATTCTCCTCTTTCCATGTGATTGGAAATGATTCTAGGCTACAGTTCAACTGCAGTATGTTTGATAAAGCAACATTGCTTAAAAGTGTATAGCTATGTTTACATGGGAAACTATGTAAACTACGGTTTAACAAACCCAACGGTTGGAGTCAGACAACACGCTAAGCCAAAACCAAGCTATGCGAGCCTTAATGTGGGCTTGCCTTAATTTGATCCCTGTTTCTGTTTATTTTAAGGCCTGCAATTAATCATCATGTGAACCAAAAGGAGAGTACAATAAGTAAAATTTATAATAAACCAATAGTTGTCATTAATTAGGTTCAAAAACGACTTCGGAGGCTACATTTCATATTTTTTGCTTCGTTATAAATTGCATCCCATTGCAACGTGGCTTGGCCATCTCGGAATAATCTGCAACCTATGTCACTAACTCAAGGCCAGCCATCGTGATGGTTATTCTGCGGGGTTCTTTTTTAAGCACCACCTTTCATGTCTTCCTAAAGAAATGTAATTTTTTTTTTAGAAGAACTCCTGAAGATATAAAGTGTTTAGATGAAAAAAAAGAAGGGATCAAAGAGCTGGGAACCAGATTATCACCTCTTTTTCGTTTGCTTGCTTGTTCTGGATTGCATTACTTTTGGCATTACCCTACGCGATTCCGCTAATGCACAGTGCTCTTGAAACAAGTTAATTCGTGTGGCAAACGAAAACATTCTGTGCTGGTGCTGCCGCTAGATGTCAGCAACATTTTAAAGATTCCTGTGTCTTTCCTGCTGTCATAATTTCCTCCTGGTCTTGGTGGACCTCCTCTTTGCTCCTTCACATAGCTATGTCGCAAGAGCCAAGCTTGCTAGCAATGATTGGCGATGATGGTGACGACAACTTGAGGGAGCTGGGTGGTCTAGAAACATGAAAAATAGATACGTGATGAATAGAATAGAATAGAAAGGAATAGAATAGAAAGGAATAAAGAAAGGAATAGAATAGAATTAGAATAGAATAGAATAGAGAAAGGAATAGAATAGAATAGATATTGGAATATAGAATAGAATAGAATAGAAATACAGAATAGAAACACGGGCTCGGTCGCAGGGCTAGCGAAGCGCTAAGAAAAATTGGCTTGCAAAGAGTGCTTCTAATGCTTCCCCGCATCAGAGTTGGACTACTACATCAGGGATAGACAACCTTGGCTCTTTTATGACTCGTGGACTTCAACTCCCAGAATTCCTGAGCCAGCATGCACAGTACGAATGGCTCAGGAATTCTGGGAGTTGAAGTCCACGAGTCATAAAAGAGCCAAGGTTGCCCACCCCTGGACTACATAATAATAGTAATAATAACAATGACTGCTAATAATGATGACAATAATAACAATTATAATAACGATAATATAATGACAATGAAAACAACAATGACAATTGCAATAACGACAACAACAGTAATAATATTAAATTCATAACCCCCCCCCACCAGCCCCAGCCACCAGCTGAGCAGGCGCCTCCGTGAGGGCGCTAAGACCCAGCGGAGGCGGCCTCGGCGGCGGGAGCGCTCTGCGCCGCGATTGGCTGTCGCCCGGGGCAACGCCGGACGACGGCGCGCGCCTCTTCCTCGGCGCTCGGCTAACGGCCACCGGGCGGCGGGCTGCTGCGGCGCATGCGTCGAGCCGCGAGCCCTCCCAGGGGGCGGGGCCGAGGAAGCCCCAAGCAAAACAAAGCCCGAGGCGAGCCAGGCGGTCGCGGCGGCGGCGGCGGCGGGAGCAGGATGTGTCGTCGGCTGGCCGGGCTGAGGAGAAAGCGCGCAGCGGTGGCGGCGGCGGCGGCGACCTGAGCGGCGCGCGGCCCTCTCTATGCCCCCCCGCCCATCTTCGCCCGCCGGCCGTTGGGGGCGTGAGGGAAGCCCCGCCCCCGCCCCGCCCCCTCAGGTACGGCTCCCTCGGCCCAGGTGGGCGGCCCATCATCCGCCGCGGGACATGCTGGGGCTGGACTACAGAGCCCATCCCCTCCTGACGAAGAGAGACCCATCTTCCCTAGTCGGGAGGGGAGGAGGGGCTGGCTTCCCCCGCCCTCGTGGGCTGTAGATGGGCGGGACTACACAACCCATCCCTCTCACCTCGGGTGGGGCCCTGCTGAGAGGCCCATGGTCCCCAGCCTGCCTCCCTGGGGATTGGGGAGCTAGGAGGGATGGGGAAGATGGGACTAGGTTCCTAGGCCATTGTAGGCGTCTGGGTGGATTGGACTACACATCCCATCCTTCTCTTCACTCTTGGCTGGGTCCCCGCTAAGAGACCCATGCTCCCCAGCCTGCAGCCCCTGGGCCCTGCAGAGCCGGGAAGGATGAGGAAGATGGGACTCTGTTCCCTTGCCGTTGTAGGTTCTTAGATGGATTGGACTAAAGATCCCATCTTACCCAGCGGAGGGTTGGGAAGTCTGGGGCTTCATTCCCTGCCACCGAGTGTTCTACCTAGAATGGATTGGACTCCAAATCCCATCCTCCTGCCTCTTTGCCTGCTCCCCAACAAAACCCATTCTCCCCAGCAGGTGCCTCCCTAAGGATTGGGGAACCCGGGACTGGGGAGGATGGGGCTTGATAAGATACAGCTGTGTATTCTAAATGGCTTGGACTACAAATCCCATTCTCTCTTTCTTGGCCTGTCTGTACAGCCACCCAAGTCTCGTCCCATTTGCTGGAGAGTGGGGGACCAATTGCTCTGATGGCTGGGGAGGCCATTTCCCCCCTGTTGTGTGTGTGCGCGTGTGTGTGTGTGTTCTAGATGGACTACAAATCCCATTCTCACATCTTTGGGGCTGTTCCCTACCAACAAAGACCTATTACCCCCCACCGGTACATCGTCGAGGAAACACAAACGTAATGATAGGAAAGACTGGATGAGATGGGACTATAACGCCCATCCACTTCCAATCAGCTGGGGGCATCCCAGGGCATCTGGAAAGCCCCAGTGTCGGGGTGGGTCAGCCTGGAAACCTCCCCTGCCATCATCCAGGCCCATCAACCCACTCAGAGCGCCCCCCCCATTGGGCTATAATCTAGCTGGGTGCGATGGGAGTTATAGCGCAACCCACCTGAAGGCAGAATGGCCTTTCCAATGATTGTCCTCTCCCTTATGGAACCTCCAGCAGTGCCCTCGATTCTATTTTAAAACTGCACCATAAAAATATCCGTGCACAAATGGCCTGTGAGGATGCTTAGTGGCCCTCTTGCGTGCGCGTGTGCGCCTGAAAAGCGGCCCCCTTGCACCCACGGAGACTTCCCCCTTCCAAAGGAAGCACTAATCTAGAAAGGCGAGGCAGTGGATCTGAAATGCAGTGCATTATAAATGCAAAATCTTCAGCCTGTTGCAAGTTTTACCCAAAAGAAAGCAGCTTCATCAGCCTGTCTTTTCCTGACAGCCATCCCTGCTGATAATCAATGATTTCATAACACTTTAAAAAAAATATTTACGCCCCTCTCCCTCCTTTGTAGCTTTGAGCAATCCCACACCAATCTCTGACGTTGCCGTTCTCCCTTTGTGGAGGGAGGGAGAACCAGCATCTTTAAGAATGAAACCCGCCTTAGAGTGACCCTCCAAACGTGTGACTTTCGATCCGGCCCCATCTCACCTTCTAAGGCTGCGGAGAGGAACTGCAGAGCGGTCGGGAGCTGTGATAGTGTGGTTAGAAAGGCTGGCAGCAACAAACAATAACAACCACAGACAAAACAGCTGAAAAGACAAACACCCCCCCCCCCAAGAGTGTGGTTCTACTGCAAAAGATAAACATAGCTCCCCTTTGTGAAAACTGGTGCAGGCCAGGGAAAACATCCAGTGAGTGAAAGAAAAGAGAGATGGTTGAAATGAAAGGGGGGCTGGGGACTTGCCCTGGGTCCCCATTAGGTCTGAAGGAGGATAGGAAGGAAAAGGAATTGAGGAGGGGGCTTGCCTGAAGCCAGGACATGCCTGTGCAGTGCATTGTGGCATGCAAGGCCTGCTTGATTCGCCTCTGAATGTGAGTTTTATTGCGGAAGGATGCTTGTGCCTAACCTCTCCGTGTTTATTCCTCTTTTTCTGCTTTTTTCGTGTGAGACACACAGTTCCCTTAGTGGGTTTATTGGGAAGAAAAATATTTAAATCAATGGAGTTGCGTTTTTTTAAAAAAAACACCCAGTCCTGTTTTGAAAGCAGTGAAGTTGCAAATTTTTAATTCAGCCCTCTGTTTTTAGGATGCAGGTTGAGAGCTGGTCTCAGCCAGGTCTCCTTTCCAGGTTCTCAGATGAGGCTCTGAACTCTGTACCCTTGCAGAAAAGGTGTGTGTGTGTGTGTGTGTATGTGTATGGGGGGGGGGGCTTAACCCCCTCCAGCTGGTTTCCTGGGAGATACAGGTGGTTTTTGAGCATGTGGCCTGGAGCACTGGAATCATAAACCTCCCCGTGTTATCTGCTCCTGCCTCTGCCCCATTGTCTTGGTGAGTTTGCAGCTGGGGGCAGTCTGTTGGTCTGCTACTCAGATCTGTGCATGTTCCTATGACGATCACGGTAAGGCACGGAGAAGGGGGGGGGACTCTTTCTACGTGCTGTCCCTTGTCCACTTGCTAATCGGGTTTGGAGGCTTCAAGACCGTGGTTTGTGCCTGAGTCAAAACAAGGAAGCCCCAGAGGTAAGGGGAAATTGCACTCCGGGCAGCTGATCGCTCTCCTCCTGCCTTTGTTGTTGCTGGGGTTTTCAACTCCTGGCCACTTCGCCCTGGGTTTTGCATTCGATGTCGGGTTCGTTTGGGACGGCTTTCCAGATTTTGGCAACGGGAGCCCTTTTGTTGTTTTCCTTGGGTTTTTTTTTTTTCCCCTCCCTGGATGCAGTTGTGCATACTGGTCGGAATAACAAGAGGGGCATGCTTTACATAATATTGTTGCAAAAGCAGCCTCTTCGTTTCCCCCCAAGCCCCCCCCCTCCAGCTCTGTTTCTTCACTTTATATCAGAACCCCCTCCCCTTCCAGTGGCAAGCTGTGGCAAGCAGCTTCCTGCCAGTGAGATCAGCCCTGTGGTAGCTGTTTGTCAACACCGTAGAAAAGAATAGCATCCAGCCCTCTTGTTGCCTTTTCTATTATTATTATTTTTTTCCCCCCAACTTGGATCCAGCAGGTGCTGGCTGGCTACAGGGAGGTCTGAACAGTGTCTGGGACTCAGTTGCTGCACGTTCGCCTCCTTCCCCAGGTGCTGTGTTGTCTAAACCAGGCTGGAGGTGTCTTGTCTATTTTTAGCCAGCTGCCTCTTGCAACGGGAGAAAAAAAAAAAAAAGTCCTGATCCTCCTGCAGGCTTCTGAATTTCCTGCTGCCCACCAAGATCAGGAAGAAGATGCTCGGGTGACGAAAATTGAAGGGGCAGGTTGACTTTCGCTCGCGATGTGGGATTGCTTAGGAAAGTCCTGACGTTCCGGGATCCGTCCGAGGCTTGGGCTTTGTTCGGGTCACAGCCCGGGTGAGATCCATTGTTCAGTTCTTCTCCTGGGGCATGTGGATGTGTTTGCACAGAGAAATGCTTGGGCTCGTTTAGAATGAAGCGCTCTTTTTCCCCCCCCTCCTTGTACGCTTTGATGGGCTCTGAAATGAATGGGGGGGGGGCATTTGCAGTGTACCCTGAACGCTAGCGGTTCCATTTGGAGGCTTAAGAGGCCACTCATCACAATGAATTGAAAAGGAATGAAATGATTTGGCTTCCGACGAACGATCCCTTATATGTCTGATTTAATCGCTGCCTTTTAATGTTTAAGGAGGATGAAACACTCAGTTCCCCCTGATGAAGCCTAAACATACAAGGGATCACCCACCTGATTGCCATAACACTTGTTTTACCTGGTAGCTTTGCCAGTGGCGCTTTGCATATTTTATCAATGAAAGAAAGGGCTTTTAATACGAACGGTTGTGAAATGCATATTTATTTATGAAAGAGCGGGTTACCTGTGCCGTAAGGTCAGTTTGAGCGACCTGTTGCTTTGCAGGATTGTCAGATCCTTGGCTGGGGGGGAGGTGGTAGAGCGGCTGGATTTATTTTTGCAATCTTGTTTGGTTGTTTGTTTGGTTTTTTTGTGGCAGGTAACATGCTTAAATATTTGTTTATACATCCGGGTGCAGAGGAAAGACAGCCCTCTGTGTTTTAAGATTGGCTGCTGCTTGGCTACCAGCTCTTATTTTCTTTAAATGATGTCATGCTAGCAGGCAGAATTTCACACAGTGCCTGAAGAGTATAACGCTGTTTGGAAAATTGGATGGTGCACCTCAAAATATTTGGGGCACATTGCTCCTATTTTACTGGAGAAAAGAGACAACCCCAGCAATCAGCAAGCAATTAGCCTGATGTAAACTAAATCCGTGCCTTAACTCCAAGAATTTTTTTTTTAAATAGTTTTTGATCTCTGAATTGATTCTAGTGACTTTGGTTGGCTTAAAATAGATTTTCTAGAAAGTCAAGCCAGTCTCTTGAATTTTCTTTCACTTTCGAAGCAACGCTGCCAGCTAGCTGCGCTGGCTTTTTTTTTTTGTAAATGTTTAGGTCATGTTCTTTGTTGCCACGCTTGTGCTTTGTTGGATGGTTCTTTTGTTCAAGAAAATTTGCATCGGTCAGGCAGTTAGAAGCCATTGATATGAGTATGCCTAGCTTACATGGTTTTACTGGAGCTGAATCCATTGGTCCTGGAGTTTGGTACCGCAGCTGAATTAAACACAACTGTGAGATTGTGCTATGGAAAACTTGGGTATTGCAGGTACAGGCAAATGCCTTCCTGCTTTGCAAATCCTCCCAGAGTCTTAACATTTTAAAGGATGTTCTTAGTTGACCAACAGTCAGCCTTGCTGGATGCCATAATCCAGTCCTGAAGGTCTTTATCTTAAACGTAACTGCGTGATGTTTTCTTTTTCTATATATCCCCACTTAATTCTTATATCACATTTAATGGAATTGATTCGTTCCAGTAAGATTTCTGAGCATGGGGTCCTTGGCGCTCTCTGAGCTTGGTTGTCGTTTTGCCCATGTTTCATGACCCAGCCCAGTAACATCATCAGTGCTGGCAGAAGAAAACAACCAAGCTCAGAGAGCGCCAAGGATCCCACCGTTCAAATCTGAGCTGCCAGTATTCTCTTTTGTATTTCTGGACATTGCAGAATCAAGCTGTCCCCTCCAGCTTTTTGAGTCTCTCCAAAATGATGATGATGATGGCCTTTTTGCCTTACAGCAGGAGTTGTTCACCATCCTTCAGTTCTGTCACTAAGACACAGTGGGACTTGACAATGAACGCGCTCTGCCACCCCTTCAAACATGATCCAAAGCTCGCTTGAGTCACAAAACTCGTTTCCTTGCGGCATTTTCTCCCTGGTCTTGGCGTAAAGACCCAACCTCCAAACTTCCCATTATTATTGTATTTTTCAGCCAATCTGAGACGATTTAGGAGGCAGGGGGTCTCATTTTGAGTCCAAGAAAGCCTGCGCGCCCGTGGACCTGGCCTTCTTCTTAGAGGAGACCAAACAGACGGGGCTTTCATCTCGTGTCACTCCATCACTGCTGTCGTGCTGCCATTTTTCCTGCCGGTTTCATTTTTATTTTTATTTTTTGATGGCAGATGGTTTTTCTCAGATGTGCTTCCAGAATGGATGGGGAAGTGGCAAGGGATCTTGATGACCCCCTGGAAGGCCTCCTGGCCATTGGGTTGGAGAGCTGAAGAATCGGCAAGCCCCCCTCGCCATTTCTCACGGCCTCTTCTTCCCTCCTGTCACCCCGTCCCAATGCATCACGACAAAACACCAGCTGTCTTTCCTCCCCCCCCCATCATGTCACTGGTAGCGTCACATCTCAGAAACCAGCCTTGTTTATACTAGAAATTAAAAGTCTACAAAGGGAGGGTGGTTACGGAACTTGGATAAACGGTGGGATGTCAAGAGCAGGTCTGCCCGAGCACCTTTTCCTACAGCAGAGCTGAGTCCAAATCAGATATATTGACAGAAGAGAATAGTGTAAGGCTTGAGCTGTGGGGTCCTTGGTGTTCTTTGAGTGCCCTGATGGCTTTCCAGATTTGCCAAAGCACCAAAAAAGGCAAGACAAGAAACAGTGGGCGGAAACTAATCCAGGAGAGAAGCAACCTGGAATTAAGGAGAAACTTCCTAAGCAGTGAGGACGATTACCCAGTGGAACGGCTTGCCTCCAGACGTGGTGGCTGCTCCACCACTGGAGGTTTTTAAGAAGCCTCTGACATGGTCCAAAGTCTTCTGCTTGAGCAGAGAGTTGGACCAAGGTCCCTTCCAATTCTGTCATTGGTGATAGTGCCTCGTTTGGTCGTGAAATATCTGCCAGAAAACCACCAAGCTCAGAGAGCATCAAGGATCTCACATGATACGATATACAGGTAATCCTCAACTTACAACCACAATTGGGGGACCAGAATTCCCTGTCGCTAAGCAATGCAGTCGTTAAGTGGCCTGCGCCTGGTTTTTTACACTTTTTGCCTTGGTCATTAAGCGAATCTAACTTCCCTCCATTAATTTTGCTCGGTGAAAGCTAGCCGAAAGGGTCACAGAGGGCAGTCACACGGCCCCTTGCCCCAGTTTTGATCACACGACTGCAGCGAGGCTGCCGCAGTTGTGTGAGGAGCGGCGGCAACTCCCTTTTTGCATCACTTGGAAGCGTCATTAAAGAAATGGCCGTAAGTTGGGGACCACCTGCAGTACGACATAATCGGCTCAAAATTCCCCTCAGCCCTTTCATGTGTCTAACAGGTGCTCCTCCTCCCGTCTCCCCTTGGCCTCCTCTGTCAATCAGACCGGAAAAAAATATGGTACCGAACTGGAGAAGAGTGCATTTTGTTGGGAGCAAGTGAGCAGGAGGGGCTTCCAAGGCTGGCTGGGGAATTCTGGGAGTTGAAGTCCACAGAAAGTTGCCAAGGTTGGACACCGCTGGGCCAGGTGCAAGGGAGTTCTAGTAGCTCATTCAAGACCCTGGCCTCCGGTTTCATCCTTTTTTGTGTGTTTGCACCCTGCCTTCTCCTGCATCCCATTGCTGATGGCCTGAAGGACGGTGTGCAGAGATCTGTTTAGATCAGTGGTTCTCAACCTGTGGGTCAGGACCCCATTTGGGGTCGAACGACCATTTCACGGGGGTCGCCAAACAACGCACTCCGCCATTTTTTTCGCCTTTTCTCCCTTTTATTCTATTGGCTTGAATAGACTCTATTCAAGAGATTCTAATTCTATTGGCTTTCAAAAGCCAATAGGAATTGTCTAGGCTGTCTCTGCCCTGCTGAGCCCGCCAAAAGTCCCATTCTGCAAACGGTGCCGCACCAGTTGAGTAGTCCTCGCCTTACGACCGGTTGGGGGTCGCGGCATTAAAAAGGTTGAGAACCACTGGTTTAGATCCTTCTTTGGAGATGATCTGGTGACTGTAAAACAAGCAGGCAAGACCCCTCCTTTATTAAGTGAGCAGTGGCTAGGCACGGCCAGGTAAACCCCAGGTGGGGGACGGGAAGACCGAATGGCTGACGGCCCTTCCTTTCCTTGCAGGTTTTAACAGATTCTTCGGTAGCGTCTGTGTGGAAAGGGCCACACACCCTACACAACAACGACGGCTTTTGCCTGCCTTTTCCAGTGTTTCTTTTGTCAGCAAGTTCAGCAAAATTGTTTCTCAAGTGCCAGCCCTGAACAGACCGAGGAGCCAGCGACGGAAATGGTAAAAATGACAAAATCCAAAACGTTCCAGGCGTACCTGCCAAATTGTCACCGAACCTACAGTTGTATCCACTGCAGAGCCCACCTGGCCAATCACGATGAGCTCATTTCCAAGGCAAGTCTCTAGACCTCATGCATTTGCCGTTGGATGCCCTCATTATTTGAAGGGCCTCAAGTCAGACAGAAAAGCCAGACCAGCGTTTTAAGCTGTTTTGGAATCCTCTGCGAAAAATTCGCTGAATAAAAATGCATAACGTGCATAGGTATTGAGCAGTGTCTTTCAAACTTGACAGCTTTAAGACGTGTGGACTTCAATTCCCAGAATTCCTCAGCGGCATTGTGGGAGTTGAAGTCCAGTCAAAGCATGCTGGCTGGGGAATCCTGGGAGTTGAAGTCCACTCAACTTAAAGCATGCTGGCTGGGGAATTCTTAAGATGTGAAGTCCACACCTCTTAAAGTTGCCAACTTTGAAAAACACTAGTAGAATCAGTGTGTATGTATGTTGCGTATCAGTTTCCAAGAAAATTATGCCTTAAAAAACACTGTTTAAAGGTGGATGGTTTAGTCTGTTGTTTTTCCATGCTTAGAAATGTCATCGCTTACATAAAGCATAGCCAAGGAGTAATCGCTATCCATTCTACTACTAGGACTCTTTTTCTCTCTCTCTAAATGTCTATGGAGATGCTCAATCATCCAGTCATGGCTGTCCCAAAGGTGCTTTTCTTTTGTTATGTTTTTTTTTCTAAGTTGTTTAGTGAAAGCAATATCCGAAGCCACAAGCTCTTCCCTCTGAAGGACACTTTAAATTTCCTCCTAATCCATACTTGAAAAGATTTCAAACTGAGAGCCTGAAAAACTCTGTATTGTGAACCGATTCTTAGTAATCCGTCTCCAAAATTCTATATAATCCTTCGGCTTCTTGAGCTTATTTCTCCCTAAGAGTATTTCTTTCTCTCTGGTGTGTCTGGAACCTCTTCCTGCTGCATTTATTGGAGACAAATGTTGGATCCTCCGATGAGAAGTCACCTTGCAAGGCCCAGATTTTCCTTAGCATTGACCTAGTTATAGTTGATGTCCATGTTGGAACTAATGAACTCACTTGTGCTAGCACAGTACAGGTAGTTCTAGGCCAGCGGTAGGCAACCTTGGCTCTTTGATGACTCATGGACTTCAACTCCCAGAATTCTCTCTCTTCCTTTCATGCCAAGGGTAGCCTAGTTGAATTTCATTCTGACGTGGTCTTGTTTCTTGAGCTGACCTCCCATTTTGCTAACCATCTCTATCTTCCCCGAGGTCAACCTTATGTTGGTCTATTGCAGGGCTAGGCAACCTTGGCTCTTTGATGACTCGTGGACTTCAACTCCCAGAATTCCTGAGCCAGCCATGCTGAGGGGAAAGGGAGAGGTTTCCAGGCTGAGCCATGCTGGCTCAGGAATTCTGGGAGTTGAAGTCCATGAGTCATAAAAGAGCCAAGGTTGCCTACCCCTGTTCTAGACTTACAACCACTCCTTTAGTAACCATTTGAAGCTACATAGCCTTGAAAAAAAGCGACCTATGACCGTTTTTCACACTTACAATCTTGGCAGCGTTCCCCACGGCCACGTGATCAAAATTCAGACACTTGGCAACTGGCATGTACTTACGACGGTTGCAACGTCCCAGAGTCATACGACCCTCTTTTGCAATCTTCTGACAAGCAAAGTGAAGGGGGGGGGGAGAGCCAGATTGATTTAACAGCCGTGTTACTAACTTAACAAATGCTATTCTATCCTATCCTATCCTATTCCATTCCATATTCTATCCTATTCTATCCTATCCTAATCCTATCCTATCCTATCCTATCCTATCCTATTCTATTCTATTCTATTCTGTTAATTTAGAATCCCTTAATGACTGTGTTACCAACTGAACAACTGCAGCAATTTGCTCACCCACTGTGGCAAGATTGTAAAATGGGGCAAACTTAACCACCGTCTTGCTTAGCAACAGAAATTTTAGGCTCAGTTGTGGTCGTACGTAGAGGACTAAATGTAGTTCTATTTTCCTTCTTTTAGCGCCATTAAAATCTCTTCGCTACTGTTGAGTTTCTGGCTAAAAATAAGACTTCGTGCCTAACTGCCACCTGAACTGGTGCTATATGTATATATATATATTTTTAAAAAAATAAAGCTTAACTTTTCTCACAAAAACGCGCAAAATATCAGTGCCTCTAAAGAAATTGTGAAATACTGGCGCCGTTGGCGCTGAAAAGCAAATTTTACAAACTTAGCATCTAACTCCGAAACTTCTAGACGCCCTGGCATTCCTGGGGAAAAAAAAATAACCATAGTTGCAAGCTTCATCTTTGTATCCCTAGTCCGATCATCTTCCCCCTACGCCACGTAATAACGCAAGTACACGCCGCTTGATATAAACCTAATCCTGGTTGTGGCTAAAATCCCATTTATTTTAGCCAGTGTCTAAGGCAACCAGTAATGTTCTGGACACTTTAAAAGGGCTTCTAAGCTACGCGTAATATATTCTAATCTGCTTTCAGGCCCGATAGTATGATAATAAAATCTAAATAAACTCTTGAAATCTGCTGCTTTGTCTGTGTCTGAGCGTCTTTGTGTATGTTTGTACACACACAAACACACACACACACACACACACACCCATCACGATTTGAGGTCTGTTTTCCCTTTAGCCGATTATTGCAAAGAGCACAAATGGTTCCAGGCAGAGGGAAATTTATGGTGCCAAACGAGACATTTGTGAAATGAGTTTTGCCCCGTTTTACGACTTTTCTCGCCACATCTGTGAAACGAGTCACTGCAGTTAAGTTAGTAACAGTGATTCAAGGAATCTGGCTTCCCCCATTGACTTTGGTCAGGAAAGGGGATCATATGACTGCAACGGTCACAAATATGATCAGTTGCCAAGTGGCTGAATGTTGTTCCTGTGACCCAGGATGCTGCAACGGTCATTTAAGTGTGAAAAATGATGCTAAGTCCCTTTTTTTTCCAGTCCTGTTTTAACTTTGGTCACGAAGTGAACAGTTGTAAGTTGAGGACCGCCTGTGACATATTTTCAGAGGTTCTAGAAAGATGCCTTTTGATAAGAGTGTCTGGTGGATTCAAGCATTTCACCCATTTGTAGCACATAATTGATAACTGGCGCAGAAACCTGATGCTCTAGCATTTCCGAGCAGCTGAGAACTTGCAGCTCAAGTAAGGAGTTTTAAATCCTTGTGTGAAAATAGGAATACACCCATCCCTTTTGTCACTTTTCTCTTTATGAAGGCGATAACAATAACAAATATAGAAATGTTGCCCTTCTCTTTGGCTACTTTTAATTTTTTTTTTTTTGCAGCTCTGTAATTTATTGTATCTCTTTCCATGTACCTGGAAGATTTGCCACATTTCTGCCACTGAGCCGGTGCCATAAGTTTTGGTATCTGTGTCTGTTAGATCAGAGATCCACAACCTTGGCAAGTTTAAGACTTGTGGACTTCATTCTCAGCCAGCCCTCAGGGCTGGCTGAGGAATTCTGGGAGTTGAAGTCCACAAGTCTTAAAAGTCGCCAGGGTTGGAGACCCCCATGTTAGATGATCCAGCGTAACTCTCACTTACTGTGTGCATTCTAGGCAATGCCCATTTCAGAGTTACCATTGAAGCAGGTAGACCTTAGAATAGAATAGAGCTGGAAGGGACCTTGGAGGTCTTCTAGTCCAGCCCTCTGCTCAAGCAGGAGAACCTATGCCGTCTCAGACAGGTGACTGTCTAGCCTCTTCTTACAAATCTGCAATGGTGGAGCGCCCACGATTTCTGGGGTGCTTTATTGAAAGACTGCTGTGACATGATCTGACCACATTTTTTAAAAAAACAATCTAACATTCCCTTCTCTCTTTCTTACAGTCTTTTCAGGGAAGTCAAGGACGAGCCTACCTCTTTAATTCTGTGTAAGTACCATTCATTTTCTGCTTTTCTGGGGCACTGAGAAATATTTCGATCTTGCTAGCCTGCTGGTGGGTTGGGTTGGAGAGAGAGGGAGGGAGGGAGGGAGAGGGACAGGGGGGAGAGGGAGGGAAGGAAGGAAGGAGAAGGAGAGAGGGAGAGAGGGAGGGAAGGAGAGGGAGAGAGGGAGGGATGGAAGGAAGAAGAGAGAGAGAGAGAGAAAAGAAAGAAACCAAGGGAGGGACGGAAGGGGAGGGAGGGAAAGAAAGAAAGAAAAGAAAGAGAGGGGAGAGGAAGAAAAAGAAAGGAAAGGAAGAAAAAAGAAATACAAGAGAAGAAAAAGAGAGGGAGGGAGGGAGGGAAGGAAGGAAGGAAGGAAGGAAGGAAGGAAGGAAGGAAGGAAGGAAGGAAGGAAGGAAGGAAGGCTGCATTACAAGTTCCAGGCAGTAACATCACACATTGTTAGGATAATGCTAAGGAATGACAGGAAAGATAGATATTGTTGACCATTTACAGGCTCTTCACTGTACCCTACTAAGGTCCAGCTAGTTGAGCCATCTGGAAAGCCCCCAGACCATCATCCCCTCCTTACTGTTGCTCTTCAGCAATGCATATTTACCGCCCCGCCAGAAATTCAAAAGAGGCACGTTGAAACGTTGGGCCCAGCTGGACAATTCTGCCTGGGCGCCTTGGATGGAGGCGACAGACACCTTGAAGTCGTTTTTCGTTCGCTCACGCCGAGAAGCCATCGCACGCCGTCCCCTATTTTATACTAGACGCTCCCCGTAAACCCGTTGGCTTGGAGGGTGGAAACAAGGCGTTTGTCTTCAAAACAGCCCTTGCGTTTCCCTCCCAAGTCCTGGCCCGAAGTGTTGTTGCTTTGCCGTTGAGGCCATCATACGTTCAACGAAACCACCTGTGTTTCTCCCGCCCTCCCTCTCTCTCTCCCTCTCTCTTGCAGGGTGAACGTGGGCTGTGGTCCTGCGGAAGAGCGAGTTCTTCTGACGGGCTTGCACGCCGTAGCAGATATTTATTGTGAAAACTGCAAAACCACCCTCGGATGGAAATACGTAAGCCTCTGCTCTGGGCGTGGCCTTGGTTATCTTGGTTGGATGTGAAAGAGGGAGCACCCCATCCCTGCCAGTTCCTTTACGTTTTGGGTCCGTTGGTTGAGCTGACAGTAGGAGGAGGACTCAGGCCAGTTGCACCCAGTAGCAGTTGCGTTAGTTAGTTACACTTTTCAATCAGAATAGAGCTGGAAGAGATCTTGTCCAAACCATGGCCAAGCAGGAGACCCTACGCCATGCTTCCAAGTCTCTTCTTAAAAAGCTCCAGTGATGAAGCACCCACATTATCTGGTGGCGAGCTGTTCCACTGGTTAATTGTCCTCACTGTTAGGAAGTTTCTCCTTAATTCCAGGTTGCTTCTCTCCTTGATGCATTTCTATCCATTGTTTCCTGTCTTGCCTTCTGGTGCTTTGGAAAATAAATTGACCCCCCCCCTTCTTTGGGGCAGCTCCTCAAATACTGGAATACGGCCTTTACTAAGCAGGCCAGCTCCAGGTTTGAAAAGTCAGAGAACAGAGAGAGTCCTCAACCGAACGAACCACAACTGAGCACAACCGTTTCTGTTGCTCAGTGATTACAGTGGATAAATGAATTGCCTCCCGTTTTACGACCTTCCTTACGACCGTTGTTGAATGAATCACTGCAGCAGTTGTCAAATTAGTAACACTGTTGTTAAGTGCATCCGGCTTCCCCCATTGACTTCGCTCGTCAGAATGTCGCAAAAGGGGATAACGTGACCCCGGGAAATGGCAACCGTCGTAAGTACATGCCAGTTGCCAAGTGTCTGAGTTTTGATCACGTAGCCACGGAGGATGCTGCATTGGTTGTAAGTGTGAAAAACGGCCATAGGTCACTTTGTTTCAGTGTCGTTTTGACTTTGAACGGTCACTAAAGGAACTGTTGTTAAGTCAAGGACTACTTTATAAGCAACTTGCTTGCCACACTCCCATGTCTACTGCTAACGTCCCCGTTCTAATGTCACTTGGTCCAGGACGTTTTTTTTCAACTAGAGCAAAGGGGGAGAACCCCTATGTTCATTCATAGATAGATAGATAGGTAGGTAGATAGGTGGATAGATAGATAGATAGATAGATAGATAGATAGATAGATAGATAGATAGATAGATAGATAGATAGATATTAGAGATAGACAGACAGACAGAGATAGATAGATAGTAGATAGATAGAACTAGATAGTGAGAGATAGAGAGATAGATGACAAATAGATAGAGATGGAGAGGTATAGAGACAGATAGATGATAGATAGATGATAGATATATAGATATATAGAGAGAACTAGATAGCAAGATACAGAGAGGATAGATAGATAGATAGATAGATAGATAGATAGATAGATAGATAGATAGATAGATAGGATAGATAACTAAATAGGAGATAGATATAGATAGATGAGATATTAGATATAGATATAGATAGATTAGATAGATAGACAGATAGGATAGATAACTAAATAGGAGATAGATATAGATAGATTAGCTTAGATAGACAGACAGACAGACAGATATAGATATAGATGATTGATAACCTTTATTGTCATTTTTTTTACTGTGGGCACATTGGCACACATTAAAAATGAAATTCAGTTGCTTGCTCTCAAAGTGCACCCACACGTAACACACAGTTAATACACAACATGTATAAATACATATAAAGAGAACTTGTTCTTAGCTCCATGCGCACAGATTTCAAAGAGCTGGGCGGCCAGCGTAGAAAGTGCATAACCTCCAGTCGACACCCTGGCGAGAAGAAGAAGGCTTGTGTTGTCCTTCCTATTTGCGGCCCATCCTTCAGCAGAACGTGTGACATCACAGCTGCCTCTTTCCCCCTCTCTCTTCATCTTAGGCACAGAGTTAGGTGTGAACCAATTTCAAGATCACGTTTGTTAGGATTGTGGAGAACAGAGACACACATTCTACACGAGGCCCATTGCTTAGTGCTTGATTCCATTTCTGGGCTAAGCATCTTGGGAAGGTCACAACTAGCTTTCCTCTCAAACCTCTCTGTTGCATCGAAGGCCATCCTAGGTGATCCGGTGTCCTCTTAGCTTATATAGCTCAGCGTTCAAGCGGGATCGGGTCTCTTGGAATGCAGAATGTTTGGTTTATTCTTTGGCTGGAGGCATACCCAGCCTCAGGAGTCACCCGATAGGGCAGTGGTGGCGAACCTATGGCACGCGTGCCAGAGGCGGCACTCAGAGCCCTCTCTGCGGACACGCGTGCCGTCGCCCCAGCCCCGCCTCCCCCCGCAGCCCCCTCCTCACCAGCAGCCTCCCTGGAGGAGAATCGCACCTGGGTGCAGCCCACATGGAGCAGCGCAACCAAGAACATAGCCGGGCAGCTGGGACACGACTCCGCCCTCGAACTCCATAGCGTGCAGACGATGCTGCGGGGTATGAGCGGAGGGCGTGGCTGCCATGGTGCTGCAGGGCTGCCTGGGTGATCTGCTGCCGGCCATGGAGGCAGTCCGTGTCCCTGCAGGTGGGCGGGGCGGAGCAGGAGGGGCGGGGGACGGTTTTGGGGCACTCAGTCTCTAAAAGGTCTGCCATCACTGCGATAGGGGATGGGTGGCGTAGAAATTTAATATAGGTAGCTCTCTTCCAAGGACTGCAGCTGAGCCCAAAGTTTCTGGGGCTAAGCATGACAGTTATTAATTGGGTTTTGCCCCATTTTACGACCTTTCTTGCCACAGTCATTAAGGGAATCACTGCAGTGGCTTCCCCCGTTGCCGGGAGGCAGCGAAAGGGGATCGCAGGACCCCGTCCTCAAGAGGAACCCGTTGCCATTTTGATTACGTGACCAGGAGGATGCTGCAACGGTCCTGTGGAAAAAAAAAAGGTCCCTAGTCCCCTTTTTCAGGGCCGTCGTGACGCTGAGCCGTCACTAAACGAACCGTCGTAAGTCGGGAGCTACGTGTCGATGGATGGATGGACTGAGCTGTGCTTTGTCCCCTAGGAGCACGCCTTTGAGAGCAGTCAGAAGTACAAAGAAGGCAAATTCATCATCGAACTCGCTCACATGATCAAAGACAATGGCTGGGAATGAACTGCAATACGATTCCTTGTTTCTGGACAACCCATCTGTGGAACAGGCTTTATTTTATAAAAAAAAGACTCATGGGGGAAAAAAGAAAAAAAAACAAAAAACGGCGGTCGGGTGGTCGAGATGCTCCTCCATCGCTCAGTGGTGTAATGTTGTTGGTCTTTTCCTCTCTCCAGACTCTCCCTTGCTTGTTTTTTTTTCTCTCCCCCCCCCTTGTGTAAGTCCCCCCCCCTTTTTTTTTTCTATCTGTATTCCTGTGCACACGGTTCTTTTGGATGAACTTTTTCTATACTCCCGAAGAAGAAATAATTCCGTCGTTCCTTTGTTAGGTAGCTTCTCTCTTTTTGACCGATGCCTTCAGTTGCTCCTTTGTGCTGGGCGTGCTTTTTGCTGATCCATCTGCTCCAGTTTCGAAGGAGGCCCGTATGGACAGTCCTGAGAATGTGCAGGATTAAGTACACCTTCCTTTTATTTCCCCTCCCTCCCTTATATTAGCCACTCCTGTGGTCTCTTTGCCGTGAGGAGGATTGCAGTATTGTATATTCATTATTCTATCTTTTTTTTTTTTTTAAAGTGTACCGTGGCCCTTTAGGATTTGTTTCGGCTAGGTTTTGTGACAGATCTCAGTTACCAGCCCCTGACTGAATGTAGCCAGGATTTGTCTGTCTGTTTGGTTTTTGTTTCTGTTTTTTTTTTTTTAAAAAAAGAGAAACTGTCAGAAAAGAGATTTGAGTAATAATTTACAAGGATAACTTCAAATGGTAGATCCAATTCAGATGCATTCTGAAGATAAGCTTAAGCCTTGCTCCTGTGAAAGGGGGGAAAAAAAAAAAGAATGTATAGCAGGGTCTTTTAAGATCAAGGGGCTGAAAAATAGGCAGCTCTTATTTTTAATACGTCGGTTTAAAATATTGTTGGTACTGTACCTTGAGAATAGGAAAAAGGTACCAGAAATTTTGATGGCTGGTTCCATGTAGTTTCAACCTAGTTTTAATGCAGTGGATGAGAGACGGTTAATTCGTGGTCATCGCGGCTTTGGCAGTACTGAAGCACACCAAAATGCGTGCGTGGTGTGAGTGTGTGCGTGAGTGTGTGCATAAAGCTGTCACTAATCCATCTGGAGAAGGTTGTAAAGTTTTTGCAAGCGAGTAAAATGCAACAACCTGGCACAAGCTATTTAAAAAAAAAAAGGAAGCAAGAATGAATGAATGAAAATAGGTTTTTTTTTTTAAAAAGGGGTGCGTGATTTGCTGGCTGAATCATCCCTAAGCACAATTTTATAATAAAACTGTTAACGTAAAAGAAACATCATCTGGGAATTTTTACACCCTTCCTCCTCCATGGTCAGTGTGGTGGGTCAGAGAGGACCACCAAACGTGTAAAAAGTGTGTAGCGTTTCCTTACAGGAAATTTTATGCATACCATTTCAAGAGATTTGAAAACTTCAAGGGGGGGGATTGTTATATTTTTTTTTGGGGGGGGGAATTGCAATTTCCTTTTCCTCCCCAAATTCTTTCCAAGAGGAAAAATATATTGGAGAACACTATACCTAAATAAGACCAACCTGCTGATAGCATGAGTAACAATAACCATAATAATTATATAGGAAGCTTTACAATGGGAACGCTGTAATGTACTTCTTATCTGTTGCAACTCAAGCTTGTTGTCTGTCCTTACTGGCTGCTACTAAGCCCCTCTAACTGACATTCAGATCTCAAACTGCACTTTAGCTTTCACCCTTCCTTATAAAAACAGGAACTGTCTTTTCCTGAAAATTGAATGCTGCCCCCTCCCCATTTCATTCCTCCATAAATTCTTTGGGAAGAAGAACGATTTTACACTGTGATGCAAAAAAAAAAAAAAAGAAAAGAAAAGAAAAAAGGATATTGAATATATATCTATTTAAGTGTGTGCGTGTGCGCGTATGTATATATAGTTCTTTTAGGCATTTGGATCCAAAGAGCTGTCCCTCCTGACAGCTAGTCTCAGATTTTGTTTGACCTTTTATTCTGGTGCTTTATTTAGTGTGAATGAATTTTGAGACCCGTGAATCTACTGCCCGCGCGGCAGAAGAGAGACTCATCTTGATTCACATCCAAACAACAGCAGTTTCAGCCCTCGGAGACTTTGACTAGAAGAGGAGATGCTGGCTTGTTAAGGGATGCTTGTTGGTTAGGTGCTTGCTTGTTAGGGAGCACGTTGGGGTGTGTAATAATTCAATGCAGGGCAACTGGATTGAGAGTAATCAGCAAAGGAACCATGAACAGCATCCGTACTACGCCCTACAAATTTTCTGACTTGCAGCCCTAACAAAAGAACCGGTGGGTTATTCAAATGAAATTAGCTTCTTGTGCTCCGCTCTACAAATCCTTTAAAGGTCCAGTTCTGATGTATCTCTTTATTGTTTGATGGCAGCGGACTATCCTTCTCTGTGAATTTGTCAGCAGCCAAACTTTCCACCTTGTGGGCCTACAGCGGTGGCTGTCACCTTTTCCCTTCAACCATGAATGCTTGCTTGCTAACGTGGTTGCTCACCTTGATGCATTTCTCAATCATCCAAAAGACCACTTGGGTCAGATTTTGAGAAGGTTGATGAGCTTGAAGGGAAGAAGAAAGACGGAGGGGAAAATCTTATGAAAGACCGTATTTTGATCAGAGAATGCTTGGGCCGAACTACATGTTACACACCAATGTGATTATTTCTCATAAAGCTGAAAATTCACACTGGGTGGTAGAAATCCATTTGAAGTGGATTTTATACAAAGCTGTCTATCAAGGTGTAGTTTCTCGTCGCGAAAACAGGGACACCTTCCTACATATTTGCGTGTAACATGTAGTCCTGCCAACCTTTTGAGTAAATATATGCAGACGGGCATTTTCCCTAGAATTTTTTTGCTTAAGCGAGAGGCCCCCCCCCCAAAAAGGGGGGGAAGAGTGGAACATCAAATTGCAGCTTAAAATCAGATGCAATTTATTTCTAGGGAGAAGCATTTAAAGGTACCAAACAGAGCAATATTATGAAATTGGGGAAACAAGGGACATAAAAGGCTGTAGAGAATTTTAAATCCAGAACAAATTGTGTAGACCTGAAGTAGCACTCCTGAGAATCGTTGGGCTTTTTGACTTGGCCTTTGAAGGATTCCTTACAAGAAACTGCAGAGTTGAAATTGAGAGATTTGGTGGATCCAGATACTGCTGGACATCGTTTGATGTCTAAAAAAGGTCAGTCTGGTTACTGAACTTTCCAGCGTTAATTTAAAAAAAAAGAAAGATACTTGAACATTTTACAAAGCATTTTCCCATTTAACATTTTTTTTTTTTTGTAACGTATTCTATTTAAGAGTTTGTGTGTGCTTTCGTGGGTAAGTTTAATCTTTCCCTTCAACTTGAGCACCTTTGTTGCTTGTTATTTTTTTATTACTGTTGATCTTAACATTATATAATATACTATATATTTTATAAATTGTAACAGCGACTTTTGTGAACATCTACGCATTATCTACTACTAGATCTCCCTCCCCTTGGTAAAGTGACTGAACTGACTCCAAGCTGGTTCTTGAGATTGTCCATTGGCACTTAGAGGAACACGCTGACAACTTTTACATTTGTGAAGTGTGTGGCTTTTTTTTATTTGTTTGTTTGTTGTTGTTCTTCTTGGGAGTCAATAGTCATGGCTCTTGTAAAACAGCCACATCAACCCAACCTGATTCAGACATAAAAAATGCACAAAAAGTCCCGTTTGGATATTCTTAGACGTTCCCACGTGTGGGAGAGAATCAATTCTTGGTGGACATTTGAGAATTGCTGTTTCAGCTCTTCCTTCTAGGCTGTATTGAAAGCATCCTCTGAAGATGGAGGGTCTGAATTTCATTGGGTGGGCAGTTGTGGGTGACTTCTACACAACGGCGCACTTTCAGGAGATTGTCGACAGCGTTTGTGAGTTGTCCCACCAGTTTTGTGAGGCCGAAGCTATCTGGCCTGCTGTGATGCTTCATGAATCTGTTCCCTTGCGTTCTGATCTTTCCTAAAGCCACATCCAAATCATTAGGGTCACCGTAGAGAAACTTAACACGACAGAACCGTGTGGCAAATATCGTTATTAAAACTCACTTGGATCTGCAGGAAAATTACACCTCGTAGCGCTTAACGTTTTCAAGGAAAACCAATAGCCCGTATTGGCCGCGAACAAGGATAATCGGCATGAAAACAGTACAAATTTTTTGGCCCTTCATCTGAAACGGGACGTTTGATTTTTTTTTTGTTTTGTTTGTTTTGCTAAAATCTACCCCGTACCTTTTTATCCGGACTTGGAAAGATAACCATACCGAGACCTTTAATTTGCATTGCTAGGCCAAGAAAGGATTATTCAAGTGAATGGATCAGTAGCACCATAGTCATTTCTCCCAAGTGTAAGACCGACCAAATAGTGTGAGTTGTAAAAAAAAAGAAAAGAAAAAAAGGATTTTAGAGAAGCAAACACATAGTGTCAAACCCATGGCATTTGCGGCAATCGGTGTGTGCCTCATTGCTGGAACAATTTGGGGGGGAAAAAACCACAAAAAGCCCCGCTTTATTTTGTAGCTGATGTGGCTTCTTCCTGGTTCTCGCCTGAGCAATACTATACACAATTTGTGGTTTCACTTTATTGTATCTCTTTGACAGTATCACAATAAAAACTTTCCGTTGTTTTGTTGGATGTGACTTTTTATATTCTCTCTCTCTCTCTCCCTCCCTCCCCCCCTCATGCCAGGTTTCCCTCCCCAAATGGTAGATTCACACAACCCCAGGATTCTGCAACCGTCATGAGTCAGTAGCCAGGCATGCAGATTTTGATTACATGACCACAGAGCTACTGTAGTGGTCGTAAGTGTGGAAAAGGGTCACATCACTTTTTTTTTTTAATAATTTTTTATTTTTCCAAACTCCCCCCCCCATACATATACCGTAATATCTATCAGATGTTAACATACATTCTTTTTACATTCATATATAAGATACTTTTAATAAAATAAAATACATACACATGACTTTTGGTGTTGCTCGCCCATTTCCCCTTTCACCGTATCCACACTCCTTCTTCTCTACCTTCTTTCTCCCTTTCTTCTCTTCCCTACTTCCCTCTTCTTCCTCTCCTCTCCTTCACCACTCTCCTCCCCACTTCTCCTCTTCTCCTCCAGCCTTCCTACTTCCTTCTCCCCTCCTTCACGCTTTTCTCTCTCCTCTCCTCTCATCCCTCTTCAGATACAATTCAGGGGTAAACACATCACTTTTTTTCAGTGCAGTTGTAACCTCGCTCACTGAACGGACAGGTGTAAGTTGACAGCTACCTGCATTTCAGAAAAGATTTCATTTTTTATTCCTTTATTAAATTTAAATTCCCCCCCCCCCTTGGATAATGACTCTGGGTGGCAAAACAGACAGTTTGAGTTCTTTAAAAAAGAACTGCCTCCCTCCCAGTGTGTTGAAGCTACACAAAGGCCGATTGTCACAAACACTTGCTGATCTGGCAGAAAGATCCCCTTTCTTTCCAGGACAGCTCTAATCTGGAGGCGATGATACACGGGCCAAAGAATGGGCACAATTGTTGGCCCTGTTTGCGTCTGTCGTCTCCCAATGACAGTCCTTCTCCCTCTTATCGGAGTTGCCCTTCCATCCATCATTTGTGCGCTGAGTGTCTCACTGAACTTTCCTCTGTTGTTTTTGGAAAGCTTTCCACCATCCCCATTAAATTTATATTTCCAGTATTTTTTGAAAACCTCCAACTGATGCCCAGCAAAGTTTGTTTATTTATTAACCTTATATGCTGCTCTGGGTAGCTTCTCACATCGCAAAAGCCAGTACAAGTTGCCCTTCCAGGTCTTAAAAGTTACAAGGGTTGGACAATCTGTTGTAGAGCATGAGTAGATGTAAAGGCTGATTTTTTTTTTCTTTTCAATGCAGCTGAAATGTTTTTTGTTATCCTGGATCAGACAATTAATTGTTAAAAAAAAAAAAAAAAAGGATAATACCTGGAACCGGTAATAGAATTGCAAGAAAGACATGGTTTTGGTATAGGAAATAATGAGTACTAGGGCACCCAGATCAGAACTTTTTTTCCAGTTTTATTTGGCTTTGATTGTTCCGTGCTGAACAATGTCTTTTTCTGATCGGGAAATTATTTTAGAAATCGTGCATTAGAGTCTTCTATATAAAATTAGAACTTTCCAATAAAGCATAAATAATACAACCCGCATAACCTCTCTTAACAGGGATGATTCACTTGGCTTTAGACATTAAAAGCTTTGTTAAATGCTCTTTATGGAAAATGGTTACAGCCACTAATGGGCTTTCAGACTACATCTTTGTCCCAGAACAGTTTTCAAGTTCTTACGTATGCTGGCTGCTTCCTCCAGATCTCCAGTGGAACCCGTAAGTGTTTGGAACAACTCCATCCAAAATATTTGAGGTTTTTCTTGAGCGTAGTACTAACTTAATACAAGTTTGTGAGCTGCTCTCTGAGCTTGGTTGTTTTCTGGCAGACGTTTCATGACCTGCCTAGGTAACTTCATCAGTGCTGGAAGGGAGTGGGGGTTGCGGAGTGGAGGAGACGTGGGGGAGGAGATGGGGAGGAAGAAGAGGAGAAGGACTGTGGGATCTTTGGTTCTCTCTGAGCTTGGTTGTTTTTTAGCAGGCGTTTCATGACCTGCCTAGGTAACATCATCAGTGCTCTGATGCACTCATATAGTACTGATGGTGTTACCTTGTTGGGTTCAAACTGCCCTAAACAGTTTCTGCTCGATGCCTTCCTCCATGGCTCAGCACCCTCCCTGCTAATTATTCTACCTGTAGACTCACCACCCATCAGTTACTTCACTCTTCCTTTACTGGCCTAAAAAATCAGTCTGCAAAAAAAAAAAAAAAACTGGGTTGTTTTCCTTCTTGCAAAATATCCATACAAAGATCATTCTGAACTTGGCAAGTTTCACCAGCCTCCTTTCAGCTTAGTAATTTTTCTGTCCACCTCTCGCCCAGCCACACGGGCAAAAATAACCTCCAATCCTTTCTTCCAAAGAGCTCTTGGTCCTTTTGGAAATCTTGGAAAATGCAGGGGGGGGGCTTGGTTTTTCTGGCAATAAAATGACTGGGGTGGGGGAAAAAATCCTAAGTCAGCAGGCTTCTGGGGCGGGGAGGGGTAGTGGGAGCCCCAAATTGATAATCAGGAAACAAATGAAAACTTTTAAAAGCTTTTAATATTTCACATCATCCATCCTGCTTACCAATGTTGTAACCCGGGAACCTGTACGAAAAAAAATAAATAAAAATGTTGCAACGATTAATTTTCAAAGATCGCTGTTTAAACCTTGCACGCATCAGATGTGCACCGTTTTCAAGCATCTCAGCAAATCCCTGACTAGTCCAAGAAAAATGCAGTGACAGCGGCTGTCATTTCTATCCAGGTAGGACAGACTGAAGCCTACAAAGCTAACTCCTATTTTGGCTTCTGTAGGACAAGTGGCAATTCTCCTTTTTAGCATGAATGGAGTTAACTGTCATCTTCCTGCTGCTGCAGAACATTTGTCAATGAGATCATCGTCGAAGGAAAAGTGGTGGGCGAGGAAGAACGTTTTTATTTATTTTATTGTTAAAAAAGCTCCTTGCGTGTTTTAGCTTGGCAGCTACTGCATTACCTAGAAACGGATGGGAGAGTCATCGGGAAGTTCACGCTGGATCCAAACTCAATGCTTTCCGACGTTGCCAGGTTGAACGGCCACTTTGAGAGATCTTGGTGACCCTCCAGGTGTGTAAGTTTCCCAGAAGGCCCAAGTTGGCTGGCCTGTGCTGGCAATTTCAGGAGTGGACAGAACCAGTCTGGAGCCCTGCGTGCCGTTTTGAGGGAGAGCAACTAAACACACGTGTGTCCTCAATAGACAGTAGTTCCATTTTGGTGGGGATGGAGGAACTATGAAAAGTTGCCCTGAAAGTTTACTTGAAGGGTAGCGATGAAGAAAAGAGGCTAAAAATGTGACCCTTTGGGGGAAGATCTTTCAACCCTTGTTATTTGCCTTTCTTCAAACAGACACTTAACTTCCCAGTTACTGTTCTCTGCTCAACTTTTATCACTATTAGCAGGGAACGTAACACCTACACAATCTGGTTTTGGATTAGTTTCTTTCTAGGGTCCAGAAATCCCTCTGTCTTCAAAATGGGCCAGAAGACTTTAACCCACTGCTCTCACAAAGAGAGTACTATACTGTATTTCTGATAAATGCCTATTCAGTTTCTTCTTAAAAGCCTCCAGGGAGGAAACACCCACAACTTCTGGAGGCAATTTAAATTGAAAACCCTTAAAAAAAAAATTCTTCTGATCAGCACAAGCCTCTCCAGGCAAAATCCAAAAGGGGGTGGGGGATTTCCTTCCAGTAAGGAGAGGTATCCTCCATCTTGGCCCTTTGATGACTTGTGGACTTCAACTCCCAGAATTCCTCAGCCAGGCACGCTTGGCTGAGGAATGCTGGGAGTTGAAGTCCGCAAGTCGTACAAGGGCCACGTTGGAAGCCCCCTGCAGTTAAGGGGTCTGCAGAACCTCCGCTGGGTCTGCGCCAGGGACAGGAGGAGGCAGCAGCAGCCACAGGCTACCAATGTCAGGCAGATGCAAACAAACCACCTTGCAAAGCGCTGCGCTTACCAACACGACAGGAAGCAAAGCAGTTCCCAAAGGGATTGCAAACGACAGAAGTACAATTCCAGAGAGTAACAAACAAGAATATGTTAAAATACTTAACAGAAGTAATTCTAGCCCTCTAGTCCTCAAGGCCAGCAAGCAGCAGGTCTTCCAGGCAGCTCTAGGAAAGCAAAAGCAAAAGAGATCTTGCAAAACTCCGCCAATCTGCTTCCGCCACGTGACCAGGCACCGAAAAAAACACCCCTCCACTTCCGGCTTCTCCTCTCCGAGCCACGTGGCTGCAGAGGCGCTTTTGGTGGCGGTTTTGCACGTGTAGCAGTGAGTAGCCTTTGTGAATGAGTCCGTTTTTGGGAACACTGGCTAAATAAACGTTCATACCTGGGGGGGGATTAAGTGTACATAGCCATTTGTGGTAAAATTAAGAATTAAGTCCCACTTGAATAACTGCCCCCTGCGTTTAATTAAACGGCCAGTTGCACGTCCGTTGCATTTAAACATGGAGACCTTGTTCAAGAGCCACTGATAGACTCCTTGGCTCCCTTTTTTTCCAGACACCCAGTGGAAAGGCTTTTTAAATAAAATACAATACAATAAAATACAATAAAATAAACTCCTAGGGTTTTATTTTGCGATTGTTCCAATTTACTGCGCACTTGAGTAACCGCACCTGCTTTTAATTAAACGGCCAGTTGCATTTAAACACGGAGACCATTTTGAAGAGCCACTGATGGACTCTGGGGCTCCCTTTTTTTTTCCAGGCACTCAGTGGAAAGGGTTTGTTTTTTAAATAAAATAAAATAAACTCCTAGGGTTTTACTTTGCGTTTGTTTAAATTTACTGAGTATTTAAATAACTGCCCCGTTTTCAATTAAACAACCAGTTGCATGTAGCTGCAATTAAACATGGAGACCTTGTTGAAGAACCACTGAAGGACTCTCTGGCTCCCTTTTTTTTCCAGGCACCCAGTGGAAAGGTTTTTTTAAAAATAAAATACACTCCTAGGGTTTTATTTTGCATTTGTTCCAATT